ACAGGTATTATTTATACTGATTTCAATTATGCCGTGTATAAACTGTACTGTGTTTTTTTTAGTTATCACTTTATTTTAAAAATTAATGGCTAATTAATTAAATAAAATTGAAACTATATTAAACATATTATTAATTTAAAAACTAAAAAATATCAAAAATATTAAACTCAATAGCCACGAAAAATTACTGAAAAGACGCGCAAACGTATTTCCGAAACAATATTACCATTACTAACGCTAAACACATACTGATCTTTGACTTTTCAGTAATTTTTTGTAGCTTTTGAGTTTAATATTTTTGATATTTTTTAGTTTTTAAATTAATAATATTTTTAATATAGTTTTAATTTTATTTAATTACGTATTTTATTGGTTATAATCATCAAGACGTAATATTATGAATATTAAAATTTGCTTCTATAACAAAAATTCAACTTTTAATTTGTTAAATAATAGGTGTTAATTTTTTATCGGTCATTATTTAGGCATACTAAGTTAGTCAATATACATTTATATTAAGTAAAGGCATATACAGGGTGTTCAGTAAGTAAGGAAACAGGTCAGTTGCTACAAACAATGAGAAAAATAGACAACATTTTCCTTACTTACTGAACATCTATATAATTAGGTAGTTTGAATTTAATATTAGAAAAATAGTATGAATTACATAAGAATGTACACGTAATCCCTATCATATTTAATTTTATTGTTTATAAATCATAACATAAATGATGATTTACGAAATTGTATCCATGATGAAATAAATAGCCATGACATTATAATAATAATTACGTTTCTATTAAGCACGCATTATTATATAAGAGTCTGGAACTAAAGAAAAGTTACAGACAGACTAAATAATATATCCGTTAAAAAAGTGGTACACATTAATTTTTCTCAATGAGTGTGAAAAAAATTAATCATCTTAAAACTTAAATTAGTTACTACTTTAAGTTATATGTTATAATTATAGCATATAACCTAATACAAATTTAATTTTGTATTACCTAAAATAATAATGTCATATCTTAATAAAATATAATCTTTATAAAGCATCAATGTCTATTACTCGAGTATTTGACATTGATATATCCTATTTTAGGATGGAAAAATCAATTGCAATATATTTGAATTTTTTGAGTTTTAATATGCAATGTTGTTCATTTTGATTATGTTTTGACTAAAATTTTTGTTTAAAACGATAATAAACAGAACGATTTTTATCCCTGTTATGAAGAATTAAACCATTTAAAATAACATCCTTGCGTTAAGTTGCACTGAAAAAATCTTAGTAAAATCAACAAATTCATTGTTAATACACAGGCATCAATAATTTTTTGTTATTAGATTACACAAACAAATATATCGTTTCAGTAACAAAAATATTATCGAATTGGCGATAAAAAATTGTCGGCTGCATTTTTTTTTTTTTAGTGTGGCATTGAGTAGACTCAACTTATATAAAATGTTTGAGAATGTTTGTTTAAATTATTCGACAAGATTAGTGAGCGAATTAAACAAGTTCCATTTATAACATAGATCATAGCCAAATGTACCTAAGAATTGTTTAACTTTCACTAAAACAGTACATTTTGTTGTATTAATTGACTTAATTTTATTCAATGTCATAGGCGCAAATAAGGGGGTGCTATGGTTACTTAGTAATCCTAAGATGACATTAACCTCCAAAGGATATTTAACCATCTTTTAAAATGTTTGTAATGAAAAATAAAATAATTCCTTATATTACTGTGTAAATAATTTGTTTTTTGAAATTTCATCTTTTACATTGTAAGTTTGCAAAGTCATCGGTGTAAAACATAGTAATATGTTTTGGTTTCAACAAGTATAGTTAAAATACTATAGTGGTTAGAAAAAAATGTATGCATATAATGTTGTAATTAATTGTTTATTTATAAATAGTTAAAAAAAAAGTTAATTATATAATTTTGAGCAAAGCAAAAAAATGTGTTTTCATTTTTGTAACTTAAGCAACTCTAAGTTCAAAACAAATTTACGGTTATATTCAGTGCATCAATAATATACATATTTTATTATTTCTTTGGTAAATTAAACTAGTTATAATATTTTATCGTCTGATAATTGCGCATGAATGGATAATCAGTAGAACACATTGAAGCTCTAGCAAATGCATTGTATGCATATTTGAGATTACTCTCAAATACATTTTGTATGCATATAAAATTAGGTCAACAACTTTAACAAAAAAAAAATAAAAAATAAATTGAAATATAGTCACTTATCCTTATTTAACTACTTTGAATTATTAAATTTATTTATTCTAATAAGATTCATGACGTCTATTAAGTGACGTTAAATTAACAAATTAAAACACATAGAGGATTTAAAATACTATATTTTCATTATATCTTACTATTTTTGCATAACTATAATTTACTGTTGTTTCATATACATTTATATTTATCTTTGTTTCATCTAAAAAACAGAACATAACAATTGTACACAGGATAATTCATTTGATGAAACCACTTAATTAGTCGAAGAATAAAAATAATATTGAGAATTTTTTTTAATTTTTTTTAGATACATAGTTTCAATTTATCAACCATGCAGTATTTTTCATGTTTATTCTATATACCTTATAAGGGTATCAACTTTATTTTGTCAAATGGCAACATACATAATAAACTAATTTATTTAATAGATAATTATCTATTATAATTATATTATATTATATCTTTTATCAATTATAATTGAGAATAATAATATAGTTAAATTTCAAAAATAACTGGGTCGATAACAATTTATGGACCAGTATTACTGAATTGATATAAATTTTTATACTTAGGCTGAAAGAAGAGTGTGGTCGAAAAATAAATAATGATAAAATAACATCACCCACGCCTTACCTCAACCCTTTGCTATAATATGTTATAGTAATGTTATAACAATATTTTCCGAAATACTGATCCAAAAATTGTTATTGATCCAGTAACTTTACCAATTAGATTTTTATTTATTAAATAAGCTAGTTATTGCCATTTGAAAAAAATTAAGTTGGCAACTTTATAGGGTATAAAAAATAAACATAAAAAATTCCAAAGGATCAAAAAAAAAAATTTTCAATTTTATTTTTTGACTATTTAAGCGAGTTCTTGATAAATGAATCATTCTGTATTAAATAAAATGATAATTTAGTTCTAACTAAAATTTTTACTTTTATAAAATCATGTATGTAAAATTTTGCTCTTAAGAATAGTGCAAAATCTTTGTTTAAGAATAGCAATGGGCTTATTGATTTTCTTAAAGTGAAATGTGAACTGTTTAAACAATGGCGGATCGCGAGATCACTGACCTGGTGCGATTCTGACGAAAACGGGATAGTCTATTTTTAAATGACGAAACATCTATACTTAAACATTCTAATAGTAATCTATAAAAACTGAATAGTATCTATGTACATAAATATGGATGAGTCATAAAATTAAAAACAATTGGAACAGAAAAATGTATTAAAGGACATATTTATAATTCAATATTGAAAAGCTTATAATTTTTTTTTTTTTTTTTTAAGCATTGTGTAAACTAACTCAGATTAAAAAACAAAAATATCATTTATTAATGTTTTAATTTTGGGTGAGATTTCAGTTAATAGATTTAATTGTACAAAGGACATATTTAGGCCTTGATTTACCAATTCTCGGGTCCCATCAAGGTTATTACAGTGTTTAAAAGCGTGTTTTAAATGCGTTTAACGCACTAAAATGTTCAAATTATTTTTAAATTACATTAGTCTTGTGGGACATTTTAAACTGTTTACTTATATTTAAACAGGTCTTTTTTAACAATCCTGGATCCCGTACAATTAAAAAATAAGGCCTCTAAATATGGACTCGGACTATAAAAAAAAAATCATCATACAATTTTATTTTTCCCAAATTAAATTGAATTGTTTTGTTTTTCTATTGTCAAAAGTTAATCTTTTGTTTAGTCATGTGAAAATAATCTTATCTTTACATAATTACACGTATCATATCAAATTAAAAGTACAATAAATTAAGAATAATAATATTAAAAGCATAATGTTGTTCATTCATCTGATAAATTTACGGCTATAACTTGTTTTTTCCTATATATTTTAAAAATGTTACTTTATATTATTTATTATGATTAAAATTTGTATCAGACCTTAAAGTAAGAGAACTCAGTCTTCTAACCTTAGCAATGGTTAACTATCGTCCCCTTTTAAAATATAATCGAAATGTTTGTAATTTTATCGATAAAGGGAACGTTCAAAATGATATAAAGATTGACCTTCTGTGTTTTTTTTTTCTTTGAATCCTGATATATTTAAACATTTAATTTAGATGTGCAACTTATGGACGTAGCTTAAAAATTTTGTCAGCAGGGGCTGTAGCCAATCTATTTTATAAGTTTCAACCTGAAGTGGACCTTTCATACCACATTTATTTATCTTCCTCTTTTCAATGTAAAAATTTAGTTTATCCGGGGGGCTAAGATTGTTTTTATAAAGACTAAACCCCCCACAGTCCCATGCAAAATACGCTCATGATGTACTCCTGTTAAAAAAACTAAGATCCGCTACTGCAGTTAACTGTTAATGTTCTAATATGAAATTAAGCATTTTAAAAGGATGAGTTGGTTCTTGTCTTTGCATCATTCCATAGACTATTACAATAAAATATTTTGTGTATGACAAAAATATTAAATTTGATGGGCAAAAAAAAAAAGGTCATTAGATTTTATAATTCAAAAAAGCCTCTTAACGATTTTTACTCCGGGACCCTCAAAGTTCTAGTTGCGCTAATGAATTTCCGGACAAATTATATGTACTGTAATAAAATGTATGTACATAGGCAACACTAAGTTTTGCCAATCCAATGGATTTAAAATTTTTTTTAATTGAAAACTGTGTTAATTATTTAAAAGTTCAAAAAGTTGAAAGAGATAAAATGGATTAATTAAGTGGTCAGTAACACTATTATTTATTTTTACAGGAGCTTTAATTAATTATCCAAGAAAAATAAAAACCATATAGCAAAAACATCATAAGTATGAGGATGGTGTAATTCAGTGAGCATCTTCAAAATTATGTACACTTGAAAATTCTTGAGTATAAATATATTTAAAAATTTGTTTTTGTATTACATTGTAGAAACCTGATACTGAAACTCTTTATAATGGTAATAATTATGGAAATACCTAAACGAGGACAAATTATGCTGTACACAAATAGCTTGTTTTAAATTAAAATAAAATCTAACTACTATAATAATTATTTAAGGTAAATTGTCTCTTCTTAGATGTCCTAAATAAATTTATAACGCAAATTGGGGAAGGGGTCAATTAAAAAATTAGCTCCTTCAAAATTTTAGAAAAACTATGTGTTATTATATAAAACCATTTTTTTTTTTAATGGGGAAATTAGATACATTAAGTTCCTCAAAATTTTTTTTTTTGGAAATTACAATTATAATGATATAAATTTAATTTGTACGTATGATAATAAAAACAACATATTTATACAAATCGTAGATAATCAACATTCTTTCAATCTTTATGTTAAGGAAAAAGGTAAATCTTCGTACTCTAATTTCCTAGGCATTTGTCACTAGTCAATCCGCAGCGACATAAATTATTATTATGATATTTCTTCTCTGTATCCGAGTATCATATAAATGTATTATGTTTATGTAGCGAGAGAATTATGTTTACATAACATGAATTTTACATCAATTATTAATATTAGCTAATATTGATAAAAGAATAGTCATAATTGTTTAAATAGAAAAAATTATTAAACTAAATTTTATTTTAAGTGGTAAATTATTTTAGAAATGCCATTTTTGACTGGTCCAATGTTAAATTATTCGTTTTAAGTGGGGGACATCGTATGACCGTCCTTGACACCGACTTATTTACGTGTAAATTTATTGTATCTATAGAATGAATGTTGAACAGAAAACATCACTTTATATAAATAATACAAAATACTTGAAGTTTTTACTTATTTTATATATATTTTTAACAAATTTATAGACGCAGATCAATTTCTATCCCTAAGAATTTATTACTCTTATGATAAACAAAAATTTGGCCTAATTAAATTACCGTTCTGGATAAATATAATCATTTAAAAATATTTCCCAAAAGAAAAGTGTATATTTTTTCATAATAAATGTTTCGATATCAAACCAAAATAACTAAATCTATAGCAAAGACCATTATATTTTACTAAATATAAAATAGTTAAAAATTATATTTTGAACAACTAATATTTTACAGAGGTTTGAGGACGATCAGCTAATATTACACTAAAAAAAGTCCTCTGGTAAAATCAAACAAATGCATTATCAAAATACATAAGCTCGCACAATTAATTTTCTGTCAGACTTTACACCTAACTAAATTTTTTATAAGTATTACTGTTATCCAGTCATTAGTGTTATGCCTGTTTCCAAGCTAATAATTAAGTGGAATCAAAAATTATTTTTGTGACTGAAAAACGTTTTCAAAATTATGAAGTTTTTTTTAATAATTATTTTTCAGTAGAATCATCATCTTGTATAAAAAATCTGCTGACTAAAAATATTAAATGTTGACAAGGGCGGTGGTGATACCTTCACTGGAGACTGCTTTTTGTACTTGAATTCTAGACAATTGTAATCCAACCTATATTTTTAATTAAAAAAAAAACCCAGCACAGTGAGGACAGTTAGTTGGGTCCAGTATAGATAATATCGGACAGTGATTAAAATCACCATTATAAAAAACACTTCAATGCAAATCTGTAGATAGTGTTTAATTTAAAAAAATTGGTGGATTATTCCAAAAGCTACATAATCTCCTATTTCCATATTTATATTCTGATTACAAGATTTATGATTTATAAGTGTAATATATGAATATATATATGTATGTATAATATATAAAGGAAAATGGTAGTATTTAAAAAAAAAGTATGTTGCATAAAAGAAGAATATAAATAGTATTTTTCTTACAAAAATTATAACGATTTATACATTTTTTCAAAAAGATATAGCATTATAAAGTTAAAAATATAAAAAAGATTTTTGTCACAAAAATCTTATTCTTTTTATTAACTTTGATGTTGGTTTTCACCGTGAAGACAAAATAAAGTCCAAAAATTTTTTTTCCATAATAAGTATATTACATTAGCTTTAATTTAAGACACAGTAGAATTCCAATAATCCGGCACATTCGGGACCGGCTCCGTGCCGGACTATCGAAAATTCCGGTCTATCGGGCGGTGCCCTTTCCTTTCAGTGTAGGCTTTGCTATAAGAACAATTAAGTTAATAATTAAACTAAAAATATAGTATGCAAGTACAAAAGTTTGTTTTACATATCATATAATTTATGTGCAAGTACTGTAATACATATTTCATTTAGATTTAAAAAAGTCACGAATGTCTTTTTGTTTTCTTGACTTTTGGCGTTTAGTATAAAATTTATATCTAATAAATATGGAGATCAATAATTTCTGAAGCACTGTAGCTAGTACTGAGACACAGTTTACTACAATGTAAAAGGACACAAAACAACAACGCACAGCGAAGACGCTTCGTGATTGATTAACTGTACTGCCCTGCACCTGTTTTATTGTGATAGTTGAGACTAACCAGCCGCTAATTGTTTCCGAACAATACTGTCGAGGCCGTGTAATACAACTTCCTGTTATCAAATTTTAAGCGCGCGTTCATTGTACTCGGACCGCTCTAATTTTGTCATATATGATAAAATTAGACCGGTTCAAGTACTACTATGTATTGTTGGTTATTAGTTTTCTACTCTATTGTAAATTCGTCCGGATGATCCTTAATACCCTGAAAACTTCCGAATAGCTCCTGATCGTTCTTATTTGCTTTAAAGGCATTTTTTTGGAAAAAACCAAAATGTTTACAATTTTCCGGAGCGATGCCGGACTATCGGGCATTCCGGACTGTTGGATGCCGGATAATCGGACTACTACTGTATATATATAAGTGTCAGACTTTCCAGAACACTTTCAAAAATTAAGTTGAAAAAGTTCTACTTTCTATATGCATTATTTAGATTTGAATCCTCCCCCCCATATATAGGGAAATGGTCCGATTTAAAAAAAAAGTATTTCGAATGCAAGATGTATATTTCTACTACTTCTCATGAAAAAATTGTATTGATCTATACATTTTTCAAAAAGTTATGGAAATATTAAGTTAGAAATGTAAAATATAAAATCTAGAATTTTAACACAAAAATAGCATATGGTAGCCATTTTCACCATGAAGACAAAATAAAGTCCGACATTTATTTTTTCCATAATGAAGTATATCGCATCAGCTTTAATTAGATATATATATAAGTATCTGTATTTCCAAAATACTTTCAAAAGTTAAATTTTGTGAAAAAGTTGTCATTTTGAATACCCATGTGGGCAGGTGAAGGGTCAGATTTATAAAAAATATATACCAAATATCAAATTTTTCTTTATTTATTTATCAAAACTTTATTTATAAAATGATAATTAAAGACATCATGCATCTACAAAAAAAAATTATAGTGATTTGGTCATTTTTAAAAAGTTATGACATTTTTAGGTAAAAAAAATTGAGAAAATTACAAAAATTAGCGATTTTTAAATTAGTAATTTTTTTGGAGATTTGCCCCATTTAAGGAGAACGAGGGAAATTTTTTCGATTTTTGAGGGTAATTTCTTCGGCTAGATACGATTTTTGATCTTTTGATGTATCGTTGAAAGAAATCGGTTGGGTGAAAGCTGAGAAAGTGGTAACAGACACAAAAATAAATAAATAAAAAAACATATCATAGTAAAATTAAGACCTTCTCAGCTTCGCATTGAAGCTAAAATTAATATTAAAGTTAATTATCCCTGAAGTGATAAAACATAAATTATTACACTATACTGTATATTATGTAAAGTTTTTTGAATTAAACATTTTTCTTTACAAAAATTTTTAATTTTTTCCGAGAAAATTAGTATTATTATACAATGAATATAATGAATCAAACAAATAATAAAAAAAAACCTCGTAGTAAAATTAATACTTTCTCAGCTTTCTCATCGAAGCTAAAACAAAAATTAATATTTTATTAGTGTGATATCACCTCTAGAATAGAGAAAAAAAAAGAATGAAATTTTTGTAATTATAACTTTTGTTAGTTCATTATAATTTCAATTATGAAATTAAAATTGCAATTTTTTATAAGCCATTGAAAATAAGTCGAATATTGTTATGAAAAGGACAGCCTCTTTCTTTTAATATACTTAATGGATGGACATTAAAAGATGCAAAGAATCTTTCCACAAAATATTTATAGTTAACATCTAAATCTTACTATTTTATTTTTTATTGTAAAGAAAGGGGGGTAAATGAAGTACATATGTCTCATCTATAATGTTAACCCAAATAGTCGGGACACATATTTTTTTACTTATAGTATATAACGAGATTGAAGGACGCAGTATTTCCTGAACATTTTCAAAAGTTCTACTATTTATACGTATGTTTCAAGTTTTAAATTTTGTATAAGAAAAAAGGTCAAATTAAAAAAAAAGTATTTTGGATGAAAGGGAAATGTATGAAGTACTTTTATTTAACATTTGTTTAAAGAGTGCAGTATTTCAGTAAAAAAGAGTTTAACTTTATAATTAATGAAGGATTAGATGCTCATTACTGTAGATTCCCAAACGGTATTTTAAAATAACAAAAAAATTAACTAGTTGTGCATTTTTTAAAAAGTAATAACGGTATATAATAGAAATTATAAAAAAAATTTATATAAGGAATGTTTAAAATAAAAATTTTTTAAAAGAACCTGTGGTTCTCTAATCTTGCCTTTTTTGATAACAATGAAAAATGTACAAAAATACAATAAGTATAATTTTTTTAATTATTTATCAAAAATTAGAGGTTTAAAACAAAAAAAAAAGTAGTTTCAAAAGAAAATTAGGAGTTTTGGTTCCCTAACCTCCCTTTATTAATAAATCAATTAAATATACCTTAATCTTAAAAACACTTTCAAATAAATTTTTGTACAATTTATACAATTTGCGATTTTTACACAAAAATTGTTTTTTCTTTAGCTTAGTTTACTGATTTTATCATGACGACAAGTCTTGAGTGCAAAATTTTTTTTTCAATATAAAGTACATTACTTTTAAGTTTATTTTATAAATAAAGATGTCAGGATTTTCACAATATTTTCAAAAGTTACCTTTTTTGATCCCTCTCTACAAGGAGGTACATTATTCATTCATTTTAGTTTTTATGATAAAAAAATAAACATTAACTCAAAAATTTAATAATTTTCTTTTAAAAATATCGGTATGAAATATCTTAGATTGTAAATACATAAAGTGAAGAAAATGTTGAAGTAATGAAGTTAAAAATTGACAAAATGAAAATTTTAATAAATAAATTAACATATATAATTTTAACAAATTAGTAGTTTAAAAATATTTCCTCTGAGAGTAAAAAATACAAAAACAGTATCAGTATATTTCTGCTTAGAGTTTATGAGGTAATCGCAAATTTTGTTTAAGTCTTTTTTGTGATGTGAAAACCTAAAAATTATTTTATTCGTTTTAGTTTTTATTTAATAATAACTATTTATTCTTACTTTTTTGAAAAAATGGACATATCTGATTCAATATTAGACAAATCAGTCAGCGAACCTAGGCATTTTATTAACTCTGCATCAACATTCAATGCTAATATTTCTACACGGACTTTTGATGACAATTTCATTAATGTCTTAGATACAGCATTGGATATCTAGAAAATTATAAGTTGTTTTTAAAACATATACGCTAAACATTTTTCATTAGGCTTACTTGATTTTCATAACGTCTTTTTATATTGGTTGATAATTTTTCTTCAGTAAAAAATATGATATTGACATGGTGATTGTCTTGCTGGGATATTAGTCTATTTTCATTTTTAATTGAAATATTTACTTGAGTATTAGTGTTAGTAACACTATTCTGACGGTTCTTACGTCTCATGGATTCTAAAAATTCTGAGATGCTCATCAATTTATCTTGAAACCTAAATAAAAATAGTAAATAAGAAAACATTTTTTTTTAATGAAACGTTTAACTCACTTTTCTTCCAAGAGATGTCTAAATAGTATAGATTTTGTTTCTTTAAGCATGGCAATATTTGATACACATAATTCATTACAATAATCTTGAATTTGTTCCATGGTCTATGAATCAAAAGTAAAATGTCATAATAAACTAATAGTAATTTGAATATAAACAGTATACCTGTTCATCATCTAAAACTAAACTTTTAATTCCCATTTTCCATAATTCATTAGCAACATTTAATTTTTCTTCAGTCATATTACTGTTGCTGTATGATGAACAAAGTATTACATCAATACCTGAAGATTCCGTTTGAAACAAAGCAGCAAGTTTATCTAATGAAAAGCTAATTCCTGTAGCTGTTTGTTTTATATCACTAGATAAATCTACATTTTTTCTAAAAAAAAAAAAAGACATTTCTTATAATTTATACATATTTAAAGCAATATTTGAAGATATAAAACCTGAGCGCAGATATGAGTTTGTCATATCTTCCTCCAGCAGCTAAAATATCATATTCTGTGACTTTTTTTTTATGTTTGTTTGCGTAAATTACCTCAAAGAATAAACCAGAGTAGAATTGCATATTATTAAGCAATCCAGGCTTTATAACAATAGAAAACTATAAAATAATATAAAGAAGTCTTATGTAGGATAAATACTTTTTATATCAAATAGTTTTCTATATTACTTGTATATTGAGTTTTTGAATGTGCTTTATAACAGTTTCAAGTTGCCGCAAACCTTCTCTGCAGAATACTCCACATTTAGATTTACGAATAGTAATTTTTTTACAAACTTCGATCATATCATTAAAAGGGAGCTCCATAGAAAAAAAATTGATTGCAGTGTTTATTTGATGGTTAGCAAATCCTAATTCTTCTAATTCTTCAATTTGTTCTGATTTCAGACTGTTTTTATTCTAAAATAAAAACAACATATAAAACAATAATAAGTTTTGATGCCATATTATAATTAAGTATATATTTAAAAATTAAATGTAAATGCACATGAATCTAAAAGTAAATTTTTCACAAATAGTAATAAATAAATTTACCTTTAGTTTAGTAAAATGGCTACATAATTCTAAATGGCGAGCTCTTTCTATACCAGAATACATTAAAATTCCTTGAATTAAAGATGTATGATTTAAATTTATTACACAACTACTTTGATTAAAATCTTTAAGTTTATTTAAAATTTCTGATGCAATTGATAGTAATTCAGCTTCAGCAAATAAATCACCTTAATAAAATTTAAAAGTGAAAATAATTTTATAGAACTACATTTCAATAGAGTGACATTTAATTAAATTTTACATCACAGGGTTTTTTTTACCTTGTGATGAGCTGATTATATCAAAGGCAGCTTCATAAAGTTCTCTTGGATGAACTCCATAAACTCTTCTTTGCCTGTATACTCGATCAATAAAATATCGTTTCAAGTTAGTTATACTTGGATTATGAGCCAAAAATCTAGCAAATGGTACTCTAAGATTGTGTGGTATACAAGTCATTCCACCCCAACGTGCCATCATAGTTACTGTATTGTCATTGACCATACCATTTAGAGCAGGCATTAATAATGGAGTGTACAACATAATTCCTCCATGAAGTTGAAAGACTTCTTTTACTAAATCTATTATTTTATCAATATGGACGTAATGAAGCACATTTCTACCAGTTGACATTGTAAAAATTATATCTTCAACAGGAGAAACTTCCTATAGGTAGTCACAGAAAAAAACAAAAGGTTTTTTATATTCATAATATTTATAATAATAGACTAAAATTAATAATAATAATGATAAAACTAATTTGATTGTGTCATTTACACAATCACAATGAAAAACATTTTTGTTAAATTGTCAGCTTCTCAGTAAAACCTCTTAAATCACAAAAACCTTTTTTTGTAAAAATATGTATTCATTATTTTTTTAAACATGTTTATATTATAATAATAATAAAATTTCATGGTAAAATGTTTTACATTTATGCTTAAAATCTAAAACTTATATCTACAGTGATAAAGCATAACCGAAAATCGCTTCTTCTGTAAAATTTGTGAAATATGACTTATGAGATTTTACCACATAGTCGAAAAAATGTTTACTAAATTAATTACATAAAATAAAATAAAATTATTATTAAGAATTAATTAATGTTCTCTTTTATTTTTAACAAAATCTGAATATAATAACTTAATAAGTCCCACTATTATTAATTAAAGATTGCTAAGTAAATTGATTCTTACTTTAAGGTAAAAAAAATGTTATTTCATTTTTATAATTTAATAGAAAAACTTTTTGGATATATTATATTACCTGATTGAAACAAGCTTCAATAAGATGTTTGTAGTTTTTACTTTTTGAGTTTGATAGCGTGTTTCTCACCATTTCGTGAAGTTCAGTATCTTTTAGCTGTGGAGGGGGGATGTACTGACTCTGTAGAATCTCTATTGAATTTGGCCGTTTACATGGGTCATGGTTTAATAACCACCAGTTAATGAAAAAGAAAAAAAATATATTATTTTCATTAAAAATTAGTCAGGTAGACAAAAGGTTTTATAAAATATTAACTAACTTAATAATATGTTTTTGAGTAGGTTCCCCTGTTTTTAGAAATTCTTCTGGTAGTATACAATCATATAACCTTAAATCAGTTAGTACTTTTATTCGTTCCATATCCGTTTCAAAAGGTTTATGACACATTTCAAAAAATATTATGCCCAAACTGTAAATATCTACTTTCTGAAAAAAGAAAAATGTATCCTTATTTTAAATCAAACTTAATTGTAATAGAATTTAATCAGTGCTTGAAATTAAAAAAAACTATTGTTTTATAACAATGTATTATTTTATATAAAATTATTTATTAAAGACATTTATTGTTGTTATATTAAAAGCTAAAGGAATAATTTGTTAATAGTGTTATAAAAAAAATTGTAACACAATTAAATGTTATAAACAGATGTTTATTATTACAATGTTATTTACATTTATGTTTTACTGAATATTATTTTTAGTTTTGTTTCAAGTGAGCGATATATTTTAAATTGTAAATATATGAAATTAGAAAACTATAATCTTACATACTTCATTATACACTGCTTTTGGGCCCAAAATATTTAGTTCAGGAGCAACATATAAAGCAGTACCAATATTTCCTGTTTGAGATGTGTCAACATCTAAAATTTCAGCAACATTTGCTGGGTCTATATCTGCTATATGCCTTTTAAATATTTTTATAAAAAAAAATCAATACTTTCTAAGCTAAAAAATAAAAACAACGATTTAACTTAATCTGACAAGTAAAGTAACTTTTGTTCTAACAAATATTTCTTATTAGTTTTTCTTAAATAGGTGCAGGTTGATTTAGTATAATTTTTATCAAGTACAATAGTAAGAATAGGTATGTACAATTTTTAATTGAAAACTATTAAAAATTTTCTCAATACATTTTTTACTGAAATATAATAATGAATTAACTATTTATCAACTATTTATGTTAGTTTTACAGATAACAGAAGACTCATATTTGTTTTTTTAATAATTAAAAAACTAAATTGATATCACTTGTCATATCAAGCAGAATCTTTATGTATATAATTCTATTTAAAAAATTATTTTTATACCTTTGAATAATTGTTGTGGCCAGACCAAAATCTCCAATTTTCACATGATCTTCTGAATCAATAAATATATTAACAGGTTTAAGATCACGATGTATTATACCTTGTTGATGAATATAAGATAAACCTTCAACAATTTCTCTTAATAATCTCCATACTCTTTTTGGATTTTTAAATAATCCATTATCTACAGCATTTCTAAATATTTGAATTATTAAAATAGTATAAAAATTTGTTAAAAATATATTCATGTTGATCTTACCGTAGAGTACTTTTTTCACAAAATTCCATTTGTATATACATAAATTGATCAATTGAATCAAATGAATTATTGTTTTCTTTTTGATTACAACTATTTTCATTAAACTTTGTTGTAGAAAATTCAGAATTCTGTGCTGAGCATGAAGAATGTCTATTAAAATTAAAAATAATATTATAATTAACAATAATCACAAAATATTTTAGATGATATTTATTAAAAACAAATACTTTAAAAAAAAGTAATTACTTAAATGTTATCCAATCACTATCATCATCAGAACTACTACTATTTATTTCTTCAACTAAATTAGAAAGTCTCCAACTACAGCTAATATCTTTTAAGGGATTGAGGTCAGATGTTTTTACTATTTTCTGATTACAAAAAAAAAATCAAAATAAATTTATTTTATTTCTGAAAATTTGCTTTTAATCATATATTTACATTTTTTGTTGGTGTTTCTTTTTGACTTTTATTAGCTACTTCAATCCAAGAATTAAAATATCTCACTACATTTTCATGGTTAAGTCGAGATAGTAATTTTACTTCTCTAGTAATTTTTTTATTTAAGTTTTTATTTTTCCTATTTAATTCAATTCTTTTTATAGCGTATAAACAATCATCTAATTTATTTTTAACCTGCAAAATGTTTTCCTTCAATATTTTAAAAATTTGATAAATTAAATAAAATTGTTCAAGCTTTATGCATGTATATTATTATAAAAAAAACAGTAGATTTATTTTTATCAAAATTTATAAGTTTTTGTTGAAACAAATTAGGAAAAATTAATAAATTAACTAGGTTTTGCCTTCTTTACTAACAATAAACAATAGTATTAGATAGGAAAGTAACTATTAATAGCAAAGAAATAATAATAACAAATAATTTTTTTAAAGATTAATATTTCAGGATATTTACTCTAAGAACATCTCCAAAAGCTCCTTTACCAAGCCAATCAAGTATAATGAATTCTTTGTCAAGTCTAGATCCAGTGGATACAAAATTGGAATACAAAAAATCATGGCTATCATCAGACCACATACTTTGATCCTAAACTCAGTAAAAGTACTATTAAATATTATCAAATATAAGTATAATATTAATTTTTCAATAAAATATTTAATAATGAAAATTTCCATGTAAATTAATAGATTATAAAATATATAAGTTTTAAGTTATGCACATAATAATATAAATTACTTTTAACTGTTTTTTGTTTTTTTTTAATGGATCCTCATTAATTTCAGTATCTCTGAAATCAATAAACAAAATTTAAAGTATAAGAATACACGGTAATATATAATACCAAACTTAACTTTATCTAAGATATTTCTGAGGCGAAGTTTGGTAGGGTGATAAATTAATATCAATCCTCCAATACTTTTTCGCTATAAATATATAAAATGAAAGATTAACAGTGGGAGAAATAATAACATATACCAGCGAGCCATATCAGAGTGATTCGAGGGCAGATTTTAGGAGTTTATAGAAGTGATGGGCATTTTCAAATATTTTAAACTATCAATAACTATTCAAATTGTTTTCATACAACCAAATAGTTTATTTTAACATAAACTTCAAATAGTTTTAAAAATTATTCAAATGGGCTACCGAGTGGTTTTAAAAAATATTCAAGTAGTTCTACCTAAAATTTTTATTAAGTACACTTAATTATAATAAGAAGATAATTAACAAATACTTAAAATAAATTATTATACAATTAATAATAATAAAAATTAGTGATGGGCATTTTCAAATATTTTAAACTATCGAATAACTATTCGAATTGTGTTTATACAACCGAATAGTTTAATTTTAGCATAAACTATTGAATAGTTTTTAAAATTATTCGAATATATTGTGTAACTAACAAATATTTTTACTATTCTAAATAATTTTACAAATTTGAAATATAAATTATATTAGATAGCTAATTAACATCAATAACATTTAGGCAATACTTCACCTTTATTTTTTTTAGTTTATTTGATGGATCAAGTAATATCTTAGTTATTAATAGAGTGAAGAGTTATATGCATTTATAAATTTTGTTATAAAACAAAATCAACCAGTCAAATTTTTACTATACAATTATTTTATAATTTTATGACTAAGTTACAAAAATATTTCAAAGTGGTTTAAACAAAAGTGATAAATACATATAATTCCATGTTCTAATTTATTTACAAATAAATAAACAAACAAATAATAATAATCAATAATTTAACATACTTTTCACAATAATTATCTTCATCATCTTCCCAAAAAAGATCACATGAAATTTTTAATGATTGATTTTTATGCATTCTATGTTCTTCTTTTAATGCTTCTCGTTTCTTAGATATTTCATTAAAAATAAGTTGTCTCTAAACCATAATTTTTTTCATTAATAACTAGTAAAATGTATGACATTAAAAAAAAATTTTTAAAGGAATTAAAAATTAGTAAAATTTTACTGTGAGTTCTTCTTTTTGCTTTTTAGTATGTATTTCTTCTAGCTCCTTACGATGTTTTCTAGACATCATTTCATCGTAAAAAGATTCATAGTGAGGTTTATTATTTAAAGACAAAAAACTCTGAAAATAATAGGTAATTTAAATATTTTACTGTAATATGAAGTTTCATAAAATAAATTAATAATTTGTATACCTGTATATACTGAACAAGTTCAAATACCATTACTTCTCCAACATTTTTAAAGGCTAAGTCGATTAATTTTTTTTCCAAACGTAATAGATAATTTCTAGGTAATCCTTTAGCATTTTCAAGATTAATTAAAGGAATTCTAAAAATTAATTAAAAATCAATAAAAATATGATGTAGAACAACTTAAACAAGTTTTAAACTTACTCATTAGGATAGTTTTTTGATGCCATAATATGCAGGTCAACCTGTGTATTATTCTGTTGCATATAAATTGCACTCTCAGGTAAAACAGTAATAGTAATATTTAGAGGTTTCCATTCATTTCCATTCATTTGTTCATTGTTATTCCTAAGTTGATCATTGAAAATGGACTAACAAATAAAAAAAATGTGGAAATAAAATAGTAGATTTCATATATACTGGTAAGTGAATAAATATAAAAAATAAACCTGTAATGCTTCCAATTCATTTATTTGACGTTCTTGTAGAGTTTCTGCCATCGAGACGATTTAAAAAATATTTATTCACAAAAATCATTTAGTTAACTTAACTGACATTAAAAAAAAAATTTTTAACTTTAATTCTGATATCATAATTTAGTTAAGAATTTAGTAGTTCAAAAAATACTATAATAATAACATAGTATGTATCAATACATATAATTTTGAGGAATCGTAACTGATTTATCAGCTATAATTTTTCACGTGAGCTTTATCAACTGCCGGGTTCAAATTACGCGTTGATTTTGATCAACGACAATTATCTTGCATGATAACACTAATATTTTTTTTAGTTGTTTAGTTTGATCCTTTAAAATTTAATAAATGAAGAAGTTCTTTATTTTTAAATTGAAATTATTTATAGCTCTAAAATTTACAATTTTTCTATCTTACTTTGAATATAAGTAGGCGTTCAAATTTTGGAAACAAATTATTAATTCTTAGAACTGAAATAATTTCAAAAAACTATGAGCATTTCTTATGACCAATTTATCAAGTATGCAATGGATTTAAAAGCCCATTCAGATTTAATAGATGATAATTGGATAATCAGTGAATATGTTAATCCTTTGGTAATTAACTTTATAATCAAACCTAGCATGTATATTTTTTATATATTCTCATTGTGTTGACGATTTTTATTTTTTTTTTTAAATTAAACAAATAATTAGCAATATATAAGCCTGTTGTAACAAAATTTAGATAAGTACTATTTTTTTATTTTCATATAGGTATGAGAAAATTTTAAGTTATAACTATTAGTACAATAATGTTGGGACTAGTTATCAAGTTATCATCAAAAATTACTTTATATTTCGAAATGATAAATTTTAATTCAAACCTATGTAAGTCAATACACAGGCATGCTAACAAGGTGCTAAATATGTTCAACTATACCTTGACAAATTAAAGGTTTTTTTTAGCAGTAGTCCAATGATATAAAAATTTCATATCTATAATAGCATTTAATTTTAAATTCAATAGTATGTATTTTGCAAGGTTTCATTTCATGAATTGTAAAATTGTTATTCTTTATCATGGACTACTGGCCTATTTTTACCTGAAAATTTTTAAGATAGGAAGCTTATATTAAAACATTTGTTGTAATTTTTTTTAAGTTCCTTTAAAATCTTAGCTCTTTTAGCTTCCAGAATACATTTATGTCAACTATGATTGATAAATATTTATTAACCGTAGTACAAAAAGTTATGGATGATATATGTTATAATGTGATTTCAACAACTATAGATTAAGATTTGTTAATTAACATGAGTTTTATTATTTTTAATAGACTTTAAATAGTTATCTTTTACCTTTAAAATGTAAAAATAAAAAAATTATGATCTGGAGGGGAGTAAAGAAAAGTCACTCACTCATGACTTAATTGATTAGCAAAAAAATAAATTATTTTAAGGGCCCCTATTACTATAGTAAACCCCAAACTAAATTTGCGAACACTTATGATTCAATGAAAAATTAAATGTGAAATATTTTCTAATATAGAAAAAGATTACTGAAATCAGATAAATTTTGTAAATTAATTAATTTGTGGCTATTTATAAGAAAAATGTTTTCTTTAAAAATCAATGAAGACATCTTTGACTTATGTTTTGATTATTTAAAATCATTGAGGTTAACTGGTTCTTGGGGAGTAATTTTTATGATAAATATAAAAATGATGTGTAGATAAGACAATTTCTATTTTTAAATCTATTCATGTTTTTCATTAAATTGTACAATGTGTATCCAAAACACTGTTAAATCGAATGAAGTAAGGTCTACTAGCATTTTATTTTTATCATTTCATGTTGCGACTGAATCCCCAAACATTTTACACAATAAAAAATTTAAAATTATCGTATTTTTTTTTTTTTTCATCAGATTTAGTATAAAAATATCAAAATTTTGAATAATATGCCCTTTGATTTAGAAAAACACATAAATATGCAAAATAAGCCAAAAACCTCAAAATATGCAAAAACATGCAAAATAAAACTTCAAATATATAACCATGGTACCTTAAAATTGATTTCTATATTATCTAGCTTTAAATACAACTTAGCAAGATTGATATGCAAATACATTAACTTCCGAGCCCTGTATATCATAAAATAATAATGTATATACTAAATATCATTTAACATTCAACATTAATAAAATGGAATTTTTTAAGAGTCAAATACTATAGAATTTATGGAAACTTCTGAGACAATATTATTCTTTTCCTAAAAAAGATGGTGGAAAGACAAGACAATCTTCAAGAGAAGCCAATAGAATCTAGACATTATGCCTTGCGTGTTTTTTTTTTTTTTATAATAGGGCTTTGCACTTGTGACAAAATTATATTGCAATCATTTTTATCCTGGGTCTTGTAAATCATATAGATAGTCCTGTAGTAGAAAACTACATTTCAAGGATTACTAAATTTGTGTTGAAGGGTCAAAATTGAGTGGTGACAATGTGAAAATTGAAATTTTGTGAGGAAAACATTTTTTTAGAATGAACTAGAGCATTTGTATTATCTCACATGGTTATATTCAGTGGTGTATGTACAAGAGAGGTTTTTGTGTACATTCCCCAAACCAAAAATTTCTTATAAAAGTTTTTTAATACTCTAATTTTTACACTCTGAAATTTTAGTATTCAAATATGATAATTTAATTATATAAAGTTTTATGTATAATACATATTAATTACAAATTTTTATTCATTTCGTAGACTTGTCTATTCTAAAGTAAAATGATAAATTAGTTTTATAAATATTACCTATTCTTATCTTTTAAAGTAAAAAGATAATATTATCAACACCTATAATCTAATTTTTAGGTGAGTAAAATCTAATTACGGGAGAGTTAAAGCTTTCCATCCAATGCTTATTTTTAGTTTTAACTTAATTGAGGAGGGAATGTTAGAAATTCGATATTTTGACCTTTTAATTTCAATAATGTTGTAAATTTGGCTATCCGGAGTTTACTCAATACTTGGTTTATACACACTTTTTTACTAGGTTTTTAGTCAGTACTCAGTACATTTATTTACTACATGGAACATCTCTAATTTCTACTATTACTGTTCTAATAATAAAATATTTAAAAAATTAATTGATGATTATGTTTTAATAATTTAGGAAAACAAGATTGTAAAATATCTTTCAAAAAATCAAGTCTTAAAAGCAAAAAAATGTGATATAGATGAAAGTGGTTCAGGTAAAAATATTTTATGTTGAAAATTAAATCTTCAGCTTATCAATTGAGTTAATAAGCATTCCAGTAGTTTTAAATTGTAATTAAAATTATTGAATGAATTATTATTATTGAAGAAAAGATACTTAACTGAGGTTTGAATGGATAATAAATAAATACGACTATAAATCCATTATGTGTAAATAACTTTTTTAAAAACCGGATAAATGATTACAAAACTTTTATTGATGATATTTTAAACATTTGTCTTTCTAACAATATAATTTTTTTGGAAATCCAATTATTAATCATACTTATTAATATGGTCTTAAAAATCATCAAATTTTTTATAATGTTATTAAAACTTTCTAGTAGTTATTAGGCATTAAGCAGAAATCATACAATTTTCTATAAAAATGTCTGATTATATAGTTTTTTTGTATAATAAAAAATACTCATATCGTTCTTAATCATTTTAATTTAAGCTTTTTTTAATGTGATTTAAAAAAAGAAAATATTCTAGTGACTTATCCTCCTGGAGTAATAACTTCTAAAGTAAAAAATCATGTAGATTGTTTCATTTATGGTAGTAACGCACTCAATCATAAAAAGTGTTCCAGAAATTGTGTGAAATAGGCATTAGGATTAAACACAGACCCAAGGTGTTGTAGAGACAAACTTTACCACTAGGCCACTTATGTTTCAGATTCCTATACAATTTTCATATAGGTTGATAATGGCTGAAAGAAGCCCGTTTTTGTGTCAGTAGATATGTTAAATTTCTTTTAGTTTTTTCAAATATGCATCAAAGTTTTTTAAAGCAGTTATTTTAATCACTGTTAGATATCAGTCAATAGTAATCTAAAAAATACCACAACTCCATTACACTGGACTATATCTAACTTTTTTTTAAACTACCTATATATATATATATATAAATTTGGAACTGGATCATAGAATGTATATAGTGTGTTATCATTTCCTTATTTGAATTTACAATTTTTTTATTTTATTCCTTCTTATTTTTTAGAATATGATAACACAAATACTTTACTTGATATAATGTGTGAGTACCATGTTCTATATAGTCCAACTTACTGTTGTCCAGATTTATACTTTAATATGTGGTTCACAGGTAATTGTAAATTTTCCCTTACAATATTATTCATAATAATTTTTATTATATCTTTAGATGGAAGATTACTGTCATTAGAAAATATTTGGTCTTTAGTAAATTTATCATTAAAAAATAGTTTAATCGCAGATAAATGGAATGCTATAACACAAAAAGTGTGTTTGACCCTTTTTACTTAAAAATGAATGACATTTTATTCTAAATAATTTTTTTACTTTAGTATCATCCTATGAAAAATATTCCATTTTATACGTTGCATCCATGTAAGACTACAGAAATAATAGAACTTTTAAGTTCTTCAACAAACTTGTATACCAATGATGTTGAAAATAGGTATTTATAATATTTTGTTTTGTATTAATTACTTTTTGTGTATATTTCATATGATTACTTGGGGATAATTATTTCCTTGTTCCTTATTACAGTTAATTGATAACATATACTTGCACTATAGAAGGTAACTATTACAAGTATACTTTTTATTTTTAATGATAACATTTTTAAAATGATTATTTAATGAACATTTTAAAAATAGCCATTAAAAAAAAGTGTAATTCTTAGCTTACTTCCAGAATACAAAATATAAATTAGTGCAATTATAATATTAAAATTTATGTCTTATGGTGGGGATTCAAGTTTGGCTTAATAGAAATTTTAATATTTGTTATTAAATAATAAAAATTTAAATGCACATATCTAACAAAATATGGAATACAATAATTGTATTCCAATTTATACCAATTAGCTAAAAAAGACAATTAATTATTAATTGCCTTTTTTAGCTAAAATTATAAATAAAAGTAATAGAAGTATTACTTGAAATAATTTTTTTTTTTTTTTTTAAAAAATATTGTTTACTTTATTTTTAATGTATTTGATGCTGTAATTATATATTATTTAATTTTTTTTATAGCTGCAGTCCATTAATAGCTTGGTTAAGCACTATCAGCCCTCTAGTTGGTCTTAATGTTGATTTGTCTTATGGTATTCATAAAAAAAATATACTATAATAGTAATATTGACATTTTTTAATAAAAGGGTAAGATTATTAAAAACCACTTAAAAATACAGATTTTGAATTTCTTTATTAATTATTTTAATTGAATATTGCAAAATATACATTAAATAATAGTTTAAAAGTAAAAATAATATAAATTTAACACTTATATTATAAAATAAATATACATCAAGTTAACTTAATATATTGCTATACAATAATATTTAATTTTAAGCAGCTGCTGCCAATTATTTTATGCACTAATAATAGGATTTTCAAATTTATGTTTATTTATTTATTCCACATTCAAATATTAATTTTAACATAGCATATGTAACAGTTACAATTGCAATACAAATAACAATTAATAAAATTAAATCTTTTTATTAAGATAATTACATATTTCAATACTAACACAGTACTTTAAATAACTCAATAAACAATTTTCTTTAGAAAATGTAACTAAGCATTCATAATTATTGTTTAACAAAGATAATCCTATCTAGTTATTTTTAGTCTGTGTTAATTTATTTTGTCTGTTTAATACTTCTTGTCCAGCTTCTTTAACTTCATTCCATGTCACTTCAATATCTTCAAGTTGGGTATAACGCGAACATATAGCCATCCGTAAAAAGAAAGTTCCTTTCACTTTTGATGGTACCATATACACTTTACCTCTATCATTAATTTCTTTTAACAATATTTCATTGAGTTCATTGGAACCCTAAAAAATAAAAAACATATTATGCTATTAAAAAAATAAATGATACAAATTATTCAGATGACATAAATTATCATAAAAAATTCATAAATAAATATAATCAATATAATTACTGATATTTCTTACTTTGATTCTAAAGCATACCAGTCCCATTGTAGTCTCATTGAAAAGTTCAAAGTTAGGGTCACTTTCAATTCGACTAGAAAATTCATGTGCAAGTCCTATATCTTTCCTGATAGATTTTTGTAAATTAGTTACCCCTAGAAGTCGAAAAACAAACCACATTTTTAATGAACGAAATCGACGACCTAATGGGATTTGCCAATGCTAAAAAAATATATTATAAATATTTTTATTATTAATTTGATATAAAATAAAATATTTACTCTATAGTCTGGCATTTGTCCTTCAAGTTCATGTTTCAAATATAGTGGGTCTACGTTAAAAGCGTTAATCACATAGTTTGGATTTCTTAACCACTAAATAAAAAATTATCAAACCAAATAATTATTTGACTTCAATTAAAATTTAATTTTTTTTTCTAATTTAAAAAAGGATTAAACAAGTAATATTTACCATTGCTGAACAATCGAAAGTAACTTGCAGCCATTTATGAGGGTTAAAGTTATAAGAATCGACTAGTTCTATTCCTTTTAAGTAATATCTGTATTCTGGGCAAACAAATGCTGAACCTAAATGATTATAAACAATTAGTAACTAATCATTAAAATATTAACAACTATTGTTTATTAATATATAATTAAAATTTTATAACTTTATTATTCATCACTAACTGAATTTTATACTATGCAGTGCGTAGCATGCATTAATGAATAAAATTAGTATTATTCAATTTATTACACAATCCTTATATTGAACAAAATCTATGAAATGCTTCTATAAAATTCTGTACCATACAATAATAATAATACTAATTATAATTTTAAGAAATTTAATGGCTGACAGGATCAAGTATATTGCATATTTAATTTATAAAATAACAAATTACATCATTCATCTCCATAAATAAACTCAATATTTTGTTGATACACTTATGTATAATATTTTAATAACACATGGATAAATAATTTTCATTTTATTATAAAATAAATAACATGATAGTTATAAATATGAAAAATTTTAATTAAAAGGCTCACTGCAACAACTAAGCAAATCTACTTTTTGAAAATTAATTTTTATACACAATATTATATAACAGATAATGCTCTAAATATAGGTACAATAACAGATATGTCCGATCATTTTTTACCGAGTTGTTGCAAAAACTATTTCATATTGATTGCTACATCTTAAATTAAACCAAATTTGATACTTCCCTCTTTCTTTTTCTTCTATAATATTATACAATTGAAGAGAATTTTAACTTACCAGCATAAGCGGCGTCCACATGAACCCAAATCTTTTCCTCATTACTCACTACAGCTATCTCATCCAAACGGTCAAAAGAACAACAACTTGTTGTACCTAATGTAGCTACCACAAAGAATGGAATGAGCCCTTTTTTGCGGTCCTCTGTGATAGCATCTTTTAAAGTTTCTCCTCTGAGTTTGTGTTCAGTGTCTGTATCAAGTGCTCGCAACAAGACACCCCCCAAAAGACCTGCTCGTTCAACTGATGAATGAGACAATTGTGAAGAGTAAGCTACCAATTTCGGAACAATTTCTCCATCAGTTAATTCTGAATTTTCAGCTTTGATAGTCTGTAGAGCTTTTGCTTTGGCACCAAGCAATGCAACAAGTGTAGCTTCACTAGCAGTACCCTATTATAGTTAAAATATATTTATGTACTTGGTTACTGTTTATAATGGTTAAGGTACAATCTGCTTTATAGTCAAATAGATGAAGGCTTGGAGTAGTTTATCAAAATTTCAGAAAAAATTAATTTAATATAATTATTAAAACTACAGTGCTTATTCTATAATGTATTCTAAAATATTATTCACATATATTAATTGCTAAGGCAGAAGTATAATTAAGAAATTATAGAATAAATCATAAATAATTATTCAGTGCTGATATAATTTTTTTCATTTCCCCTTTCCTAAAAAAATCTTAAACACGTGCCAAATTATTTGAAAGTTGTTAAGAGGTATAAGATTTCCATTTCTATCTCATTTTCCCCATAACATAATTTTAATAACTTATGATGATTCATTTTGATGTGTTTATATTGTATATTTTTTCAAATTCAATTATCAATGTAATATTATACAGTGTTCAGTAAGTAAGGAAACATGTAAATTGTTACAAACAATAAGAACAATAGAAACCCATTTTCTTATTTACTGAACATTCAATATTTTATTTATTCATATATGTAAGGGTCATTAATACCCATAAAAAAATACTATTTTTTGAAACTATTAAGCTGTATAGAATTGTTTTTAATAATTATTTTTTATTTATAAGTCATAATATTAATTTAAAATTAATGATATAAAAATAATTTGATGAATATTTTTATAGTGTAATACTAATGTTAAGTGCAGTTTCAAAATGCATAGATTTTATTTTTTACTTTTAAAACAATATTAATGGTAATGAGAAACTTATTCTATTTATTTTAAATAAAAATAAAAGCATTGTGTAATATTTTTAAAGGCACCTGAATAACTCCACCACCGCCTTGTCCAGCTGAAGCCAAAAAGAATTCTGGTAAACCAATCATTTTGGCTAACCAATCCATCATTACCACTTCCAATTCAGTACACGCAGGACTTGAAATCTAAACAATTTAATGAGATTTTAGTATTCTATGAGGTAATTTTTAACATAATTACTTTATGTCTCTATTAACTATTTGTTTATTATACGAGAAACAATCTTGTTTTACCCTTTATAGTTCATTGTTTATATTTTTATAATTTGTAAAGAGTATGTGTTTAGCGTTGATAATGGTAACATTGTTTCCGAAATACGTATCCGCGACTTTTCATTAATTTTTTTTTGTGGCTTTGAGTTTAATATTTTTAATATTTTTTAGTTTTTTAAATTAATAATATTTTTAATATAGTTTTAATTTTACTTAATTAATTAGCCACAAGTGATCAATTTTTATTATATAATACATCTATTAAATATACGGAGATTTTATTGATAATAAATACAATTTTTTCGTTTTATTTTTATATAAGCTCTACAAGACAAACACTAGATACAATAAATGAAAAATAGTTGATCCTATATTAAGTTTATAATAGATGAGAAAATAAAAATAAATTGAAAAGAATTGATAATCAGTCAAATAAAGTTTTCTGATAATCAATTATTTATGTATCATTTTTTAACGTTTGTAAGGTTTTATTTTCTAAGTATACTTCTCAATCTTCTCAATAACACTTCTTTTCTCTTTAGGATTTACATAGAAGATTTTTATGATTAAAATAAATTATTATGAACATAACAAAATTATTAGAATTGAAGTTAATATAATTATACTATTAGTGGTTTTATTAGTATTGTTGTGTAAATATTCTATGCTCAATCTTGAACTGCTCACATCTTGTAATAGTTCAACTATTATAAACTATTATTAGTGGTTTGAACGTTTACCCATTTGCTTATGATATAAATCTGTAATATTACCAGACATGCTTGTAAAAAGTTTTCTTTTGTAGAATACTACTTGTGAAAACTTATGTTCTTGACAATAGTTGATTTGAATAATTTCATGTTGATTATCCGTATTATATTTGGTAGTAATATTAGTTGTAGTTAATTCAGATGTATTGTAAGAATTAACAGAATCGTAATATATTATGAGCATATTAATAGAACAGTATTTTTACACGTTTATACACATTTATTTTTAGTGTCATAATTTAGGTTTGTCAGGGGGTAATCTTACTTGTAATCGTATTATTGATTGATTGAGATATAATTTGGCGAATAGATCATGGTTTTACTCTTTACTAAATTATGGTTTTAACCTTCTTTGTACAAAACTTATTTAAAAGTACAATTTTATTCTTTTTAACTTTTACGCTGCGAAGAAAATTTATTATTTTATTAAAGTATGTAACGAGTAATTTATTTAAATTTGCAATTACCCACGAAAATCCAATGCAGGCAATAGCATCACTGAGTATATCAGCTACCATAGCTGGGTAACTATTAGCTGTGGGGAAATAAGCATGGAACCTTGGAGAATGCCAATGTGTCACCTATAATAACATGAAATTATTGCATTAAATTATGTGTAATATTTATAAGTTTTGATTAGTCAATATGTAGTAATTTTATTTAGAAGTTATCGATGATTTGGACAAAATTACAATGAGTCATAAAATTTTAATTATTCATGAAAATGAATTTGTAATATGTTATAATCGAGTTATCAAAATCTCTTGGTTTTTGGACGTAGTTTTTGTCTTATTGTTATTTTTTGACCTAATAGAAATATTTAAAACGTATAGTATAATATTATAGTATGTATATTATATTACATATTATTAGGGTAGGCATTTGGAATATTTGTCTGGGATTAACTCAGTAGCTAATTTTAGAGCATATAATATGTTATTAATATTAAGTCTTCATTTATAGAAAATAAAGAAAAATTGTGTTTGTTTTATTAACTAAAATTCTTCTATTTTATAAATAATTATGAAATAAAATGGTTTATTTTATTTAAGATTAAACATATAATTAATAATGTTGCTTACGCCCGGCATGATCAATTTTTCGATATCAGTCATAACATCTTTCCAGTCATCAGGGTCGTTTGGTGCTTCAGTAGGTAATAGAGGACGCAGATAACCAGGTTTTACCGATGATAAAACTTTTCTAAAAAAAATTATTAATAATAATATTGTGTTTCATAAAGTAATTGAGTGTATTATTATTAATATTTATTATTTTTAAAAACTGTTAATTTTATTTAAATAAATTTATTTATTGATATTTTTTATTTATTTAATGTATAAAATTTTGTTTTTTGATAAGTACCTTTCTCTTATATTTTCCAAATAATTACCAACGTATTCAATCATACTTGAAGAAAATTCTTTAAACTCCTTAAACTCCATCTTAATGTCAATCTAAAAATACATAATATAAAATGAACTCTTAGTAATTTGGTTAATAAACTATGCAAACTTGGACTTAATTGTACTAACTAATTTGATAAATATTACTATAAAAAATTTTAAATATCATGGTCTTTAGGTATTTAACGAATTTGTATTTAATTACAATGTTCTACTAAAATTTATCGTATTAATATATATTAATGGGATCAAAGTAACATTTTTTATCTTATGATACAATTTTTCAATGAATTTATCAATGTTTTTGTAAGTTCCCATTTTCCATATTTCGTTTACAAAAAAAGTAAATGAATTTTGAATTTAAATAATGTAATGAGAAAAAATCATTTTTCTATTAATTTTTCATGAGGAAAAATTTGTTTAAATATGATCTTAAAACTGTTCTAACATCGTTTTATATTTATTTTTACTGTGTAATACTAATGCTGTTTTACCATTGTAAGTATTCTAATTAATATCGTATTAGTTAGGGTTAGTATGTCACTTGTGAAAAATAATTTTTCTGAATTTTTAATTATCAATTAATTAAAAAATCTTATATGTATATGCTGCATAATAAATGATAAGGAATTTCGTATGGCTATTCAACTATTTTAAGTATAAAATCTCAGGAATCAGTAAGATAATCCTGCGTAAAGAGGACATTATCATTGTATCATTTCAGTCATTTCATTGTTACCGCTAGACTTTCGAAAACATAAAATTGCTTTTAAGTGTTGGAATGATCCACACACAAGGCCAATCGAGTAAAAGTCAAACTCTTGTTGGGAATACACGGGCGGTCAATATGTATAACATTGCGTTATGGAATCAGATAAGTATACTCTTACATTGTGCAATGACAATTTCCTTGTACAAATAACAAATATACATGTCCTTAACCCGTTTAGGCTTTATAATATAATTACTAATTTTTAGCTACAGGGATAACACAGGTCGTGGTGAAAGGTCTTTACCTTCTTTTAATAGTTTTCTTAAAGACATCGCGCACGAATGAAGGCGTATCTTTCCCTTTAATTTGTACTTATCGATGACTTTTGTATACGTGGGCGTTAACGACCTTTATCCGTGGACGAGATTTAATGAATCTATAAGTTCAAGTTTGTTATTATACAAATTGAATACAGTTATCTTTCATATTTTTTCCCGCCTGAAACTTCACTTCCACACTTGATTAGTTAATAAAACAAACACTTATTTATAATATCTTTCCTTATTTTAAAAAGTAATATTATTAAAATCTTTACAAAAAAAAAAAATAATCGCTATAAATTCTAGCAGAATAATTATTTTTCGAATTGCTATCAATTTTATTTTATATTATATAATCATTAAAGTAGATAGTTAAAACTAGCTTTTGCTACAATCCTTTTGTATGAATTGACATTTGTTCTAATTCAACTAACTGTAGTACTCGGTATTAGCTAACCGTTAAGTTAAAAAAAAAAAAATGAAAGGATTCAAATTAATTATTAAAATTTCTGCAATGACAACACTGTAATGATTGTCATCAATTGGCCTGGTTTTAAAAATTAAATCAACTCGATACAAAAAATTCTCAGCTGTAATCAATAAATCAAGGATATAATTATTTGATCAATTAAAATATTTCTCAATTATTAATTCAAACTACTAAAATTTTTACTAATAATTTATTTCTTCAAGTTTTTCTACAAAATGAATTATTTGTCTTTTCAGTATTTGGAAGTAATAGTTAAAAATGATTGATGAGAAAATGTATTAAGAGGCAGTGACTCGCATCTATTAGCTTATCGGAAATATTAAAATCAATGAAATGCTTATTTAACTTTGTATCGTCAATTAAAGATTATATTAATATTTATATTCCTTGAATATTATCAGGGACAATTTTAAATTTGACATTTAATATATTTTTAAATATAATAAAAAGGTTATTATAATAGGAAGTAGAATAATATCTGTTCAGCTTCTGATAAATTTCTTTCATGTTTACTAGAAAAAAATGTTAATTAAACAGTGGTAGTAACCTACTTTTATTGAGAAGGGATATCTTAAATATAATATATATATATATAGGTTCACCACTATCGCGATATTAATGACTTAGTTTCGATGTTGCTAAAAACTTAAATATTATTAATACTACAAAAGTCAATATACTTTGCAAAAACCAATTAAAAAATATTCTGCACATAGTTGGTGTCATTAAAAAGTCTTGAAATAACAGTGGCGTAATTTGGGTCACAATTGCCCCTTCAGATGTTTGATTTTAATTATGATTTTGTTATTTATTTTTAAATTCTGTACTGCCTGTCTTTCCTCCAAAATGGACTCCAAGTTGCGTAACTACAAGTAACAGTTTTATTTTTTAAATCGGTTATTAAAAATTGAAAATGTTTGAAAAACCGTTGTCAATATGTTTCTTACGAAAGGTTAAGACTTTGAAGTCGAAATATATTTTTTCGAGATACGACCCTTTTGTACTGTACAATATTCGTAAAAATGAAAGCAAAATAATAAAAAAATCTAAAGAAAACAACTCTCATGACTAACTTATTACATCAATAACAAACGTGATGCAGAGTTAAATCGATTTATGAAAATAATTATATGAATTTTATTAATTTACAAAAATAAATCATTAAATATAAAGGTCAAAACGAATAACTATTTTATTAATTATAAATTTATTACTCCTACAGTACTAAAAAAGACTGGAGTAAGTATTAAGTTTACTTCCGTAGATTTAACTACTAGTGAAAGGGTTTAAAGCTGTTAACGATATAATATACTGAAATATCCGACCTTACTTTAAATGTAGTCCAAGGTGGTTAAAAACGAGTTTATCCGATCTAGTTATTTTATTTATCATTTATATTCTAAAATATTTGGAAATTACTACTTTGCTCTATTTGAATTGAAATATTTGTTTAAATAATTGATTGATAAAAATTGTGTGAATAGATATTAGTTTAAACAAAGTACCGATATCAACATTTGTAATTTTTCTTTATAAATGCCAACAAATGGTTATTTAATTGTACGATTCTATTGCATTACATTAGAATAAAATTAGAAAATATTAAAACCATGTGTATGTGACTCTTCAATAACGATTTTGACTTGTACGGAAATAATTGTGAGAAGTTTCACAATTTTACCGCGATCAATCTATTCAAGTATATGCTTAAATATTTCGAGAAATCGTTGAAAAAAGGCCTCATTTAAAAATGTAATTAATGTTAGGCTACAAAGTTATTAGTGTTAAGCTATTTGTTAACCACTTTTAGTTGATTTTTTTCTCTTTGTGTTTCGGTAATAGTAAAAATAAGAATTTTATTTAATCAAAATAATGTACTGTTCTTAAACATTTTTATAAAAAAAATATTTTGACAGTGATAATGATTAAAAAGGTTTTGTTAAACAAGTTGCATTTGTAAACTCATCATGCAAACCCTTCTTGAATAATTAGTTATAATTTATACTGCCGTGATTTCATTAGGAAAAACACATATCAAATCACTCGAGTGATTTATAGTTTGATTATGAAGTGCCCACTGCCTCAAGTCCCGAAAATATAATGCTCAGTATCTATAGATAATTCAAATCATTGTGTTATTTTCATTAAAGATCCAAATAAAGCGTTTTAAATGGATAAATATAATTATTATAATAGTTTATATACTAATTGTTATAAATTATAAAACTGGTTTAACACATATATTTATTAAGGAGACAAATAATGAATTGAAATCACTAACTGTTATATAAATAACTTTTACTTACCTATTGGACGACGAGTATTGGAAAAATATATTTCTGTGGTTGTTGCGGGAGGCTTAGTTGAATGAACATTGGCGGACAATCGGTCGGTGGCGGGCAGATTTAAAGCTACAAGTGCGCTCTGCCGTCGAGGTAACTACACAGAAGCTGTCGCCGACACAATTTGATGTGATTTGAACGACTGTGGAGTAGGTGGTGCACTTTTACAGTAGGAGTGCGGCGAGAAGGGACTAATAATATGGGTTTTATTCGTAGAATAATGCGAACGTTCCGTTCTCTCTCGTGTGCTGTCTTTTCTTCCGCTACCGGATAAGAGCCTTTTGCAATTGTTTCTGGTATCAATTGTATGGGGTTTTTTTCAAAGTCCAATTTTCGTTTATCCCCTTAGGTTGATGATTTTAGATTTTAATCGCCCGAATTAAACAAATCAGTAATGAGAAAGTATGTCATTATTGTGTTCTACTAATATTTGCCATAAACTTTAGTTAATGTTTTATTTGAAAAACAAAAACTTAGAAATAATATCTTTTGACAATGCGAACAAATTAAAGTGAAGGTATCTTTTCCCGAGAAAATGAAAAACATTATCGCTTGAAAACTGAATAGTTGGGACTTATTTGGGATTCCGGCACTACATAACACAATATAATAATATCTAGCTATTTCTATCCATTAAAAACTGATGTAGAGTTATTGGCTAATGATTTTTTCATTGTTCTTGTTACTTTTGTGTAAATACAATAAAGGAAGAAAAGAACATTTTTATCATTACCATCATAAATCATTACAATCAAACTTTATGGTTAGAGTATTTTTGAGCAAAATCTGATCTGAATCTGATTTTATGACCGTAATATTTATACAGTTTTAAATACTAAAAACATTTTCAAATGAATACTGTTAATTATAATCAGAAAAAATTATATACAAAAAAATATGTATATATTACTGAATATTTAATGAAGATACTGTTATTTATGGCCATCTCTAAATTAATTAACTTTAATACGCTATTTGTAAATTATCAAAGATGAAGACACAACTTTTTGAGTTATATAATCGTTACTGTGTTCAACAATGTTATAATTATTATCAAAAATTAACGCACATTATTAGCTGAAATCGCCCCATAACTAGTGTTTATATTGCGTCAGTTAAAGAAAGACATAATATAATCTACATTTGAAATTAATTACATTTATTACTGTTTTTATAATATCCATTAGTAAGCATAAGGTCATTAACAATTTCTTGATTATCAAGTATAGTAGAATAGAGTCGTTCAAAAATTAAATAATTATGTAAACATTCTGTAATATATAATCCTGCGTGATAAGGAGTGTTGAATGTGGTAATAATCTAAATCATGGTCAAGGTATTATTAAAGTAATTTAGATTTAATTTGATTTATTGTCTTATGTTATTACTTAATGCATAATTTTGAATAATTTATTACATTTATTGATTTTGATTAGAGGAAATTAATTTAGACTTATTTTAAAGTATTCGCTATAGTTTTAATTTTGTATTTCATATTATGTGTGTTTAACTTTATTGAATCCCGATGACATAAAACTTAACAAACGAGTCTGACTTTTTCATTTCATTTTGTTTTCGACAGTATATATTAATATGCTCTGGCAAGTAAGTATAATGTTGTCATGTAATAAACGTGTGTAATTTTTTATTTTCTGAAACTGATTTAGATCTTGTGATCAAGTACCTATTATTCAATTTCTTATTACAATAACTACATTTTTACCAAATTCCGTAAAAAATACAATATTTGACATTAAAATATCTTTACACAAATATGGAGACTAAATACTACATCTTTTTAAACTAATAATTATTTTAACATATTTTAATTTAATTTTAGACATATAAGTGACAAATTAATCGACTCTGTTTATAAATCAATTATTAATTATTTTACTGTTCATTTTTTTTTATTAAACAGGATACGATAATTTTAACCTATTACATAAAAGTGTACAATATATTTTTCTAAAATTTAAAAATTAATTTATTAGCAAAAGTAACATTAACATATTAATTTATAATGTTCTGACGAAAAGCTTCAGTATATACTTTGTTAGTCTGCTTTTTTTATGACGCTTATGAATGTATTTTGTGAGTAGTGTAATACCAAATTTAAAGATTTTAAGCTATAAAAATTAAATTTGATTGAATCTCAAGTTATGGTTTATTAAATAATTTCGGGTAAGGTATGTAATAATTTTCTTTCGTTAATAAGAATAATCTTGTAGATATCACATAATAGATATATATATATATTTATCGTGTCACATGTAAAAGTATATCCTCTAGGCAATATTCAATGTTACCGGAACAATATTGAAGTTTCTTTTAATATTAATGTCATAATAATAGTGTAGTAAAGATGATTCTCTTCGACACAAAAGTAATATATCTGATGATTTTTTTAATTGAAATGCACTTGGTCTTAGAATACAATAATTTAATGGCAACGATAGTTATGCAATACAACTAGTATTGAGCAATTTCTGCAATAGTGTTAAACTACTTGTTCACAATATATAGATTTAAAATTTTAAATATCATCAAATATTACCTACTCAGTAAACTTATACATAATATTACAGGGTTGGCCTAAAAACCTGAATTCTGTTGACGACCTTACGAGTTATACCTTTTTAGTTCTTAATTAAAATTCCCAATTCTTGTAATCGTCAAAGTAATTTATTATACGAAATGTAAAGAAAGAGTTCCTCAAACAAAAATGAAAAATACCTACAAATTTCTAATCAGACTTTGATTGAGTAGTTCCCAATTAACAGGAAATATGTGTATTGATATATCCATCTATTTTAAATATTGGATGGTAAGTGTTGAATACAGCTTCATTTATGTTGTTAACTTGTCTTTATTTACACAAGACTCGCATATTATAATTAGATTTACAGCAGATCCGCTTTGACTAAACGGAGTTTAAAATGTAGGCGATGTGGAATGAAATGCTTTTACTGATTTTCGAGGCGGAAGTTCGCTTTAGCAGTCATCGAATTCGCGTTTTAACTATAAAAGAGAGAAAATAAATATACTAGTAAGGATTTAAAGTGATGAAAAGCAAAAGATAACGCCAAGATGAATCTATTACCCACACAAACTCATTTGATGATAACAAATAGAAGGGATTCAAAACCGTACTTTGTGTAAAAGATAGATGATCTATTTATCTAGTAACTGTTTTAATTTTCAAACTTTTGATCTAGGAAAACCATAATTATCATTCTCATAAATATTTTGGAAATAAAATTAATTCACCATATTGTTATAAGTTGGTTTTTTATTATTTTCAAAATTAGAAAAATGTACTCGCAATAATATAAAATATAAAAATTAATGTAACTTGTAAAAGTACACCAGACAAACAATTCTTTTTTATCATTTTTTTTTATGTAATAATATTTTTATTAGTCAAAAAAGAAATTTAAACTGTATCAATATTCTTTGTTGGATTTAGAAATACAATGACGAATATACGTCATCATTTTACAAAAATTTCACTAAATCTTTTCATCGTAATTCTTTTAATAGGTTTTAAACAATGTAGTTAAAATTATTAAGCTTTGAAATTAAAACCTATTAAATGATTTACAAATGTTACATTTTTTTCAAACATCGATAAAATGTATTAAATAATATAACTATAGACTATTTGTTGTGTACATAATAAATATCTGTCTTTGCAATCCAATATTATTTAATTTTAATAATTTCAAAGTGTGTAATTATCAAGTGTTAATCAGTTATCGCGCCATACTATTATTCTTAATTTGTGTATATCAACGATCTAGAAAGCNATATCTGTCTTTGCAATCCAATATTATTTAATTTTAATAATTCCAAAGTGTGTAATTATCAAGTGTTAATCAGTTATCGCGCCATACTATTATTCTTAATTTGTGTATATCAACGATCTAGAAAGCAATCATGCAAATGTATTATGTAATACGCCTAATTGCTGTTATACCCCACAGAGATATCTAAATACAATAATAATTTTATAAATAACATACTTTCTACATTGTACATGAAATTTTGTTTCCTAAATCACTTGCAATTTATAACAACATTTTAATTTTATGTCTATGGTTTTCATGATATTTAGTTTATGCAATCATTGTTATTGCTTTAATTATTTGATTTTAAGTACTTAAGTCCTGGATATATTTGAATTACTACCAGATTTACCAATAAAATCTGAATTTTTTTATTAAAACCAAAAATTCTTTCCATTTTAATACGTTTTATGTTTCAACCAATCTATGTATGAATATTTCGTTGAAAAGTTAATGAGATTAATGGACTTAATAAAAAGTTGGCGACTTGTATGAATAAAATATTTCGTATCTATTTAGTTTACCCACAACATACATTATTCAATAGTTCGTCCAGTATATATGCCAACCACTTGAATTTACTGTAACCCCTGCGATTTTTCTCGTGTAATTTTCTTCATTACTAAATTGTCGGAATGCGTAGCCAAGGCAACGGCATGATCTCAAAATGTACTAATGCAATCTCTAACACGGATGTTGGAAATTTAACCACTTATAAATAATGAGTAGGAAAAAATCTACAACATTTTATTAAAAAATCAAGTATATTGTTTATATGTCACTATGTTTTAGGAAATGCATTTCAAATTCTTCCAAATAAGCAAAGACGGCACTTTTGTTAATAGTTTTTATAATAAAAATTTAAAAAATTAATGTTCTAACGTAATAAGTTATGAACTTAATAATATGATTAACCCTATATCAATGATAATATGAATATATAATTACGTTTGAACTGAATGATTAACAATCAATCTAATATTTTTCAAGTAATAATACTGCTTGATAATATCTGTTTTATTATCAAATATTATTAAGCTAATAAAATATACCATAAGATACTAAGAATAAAATATAGTAGCTACACCCTCATATATTAACATGTCCAAACTAAAAAGCTTGGACGTGTTAATACATATAAAGGTTACATGACATAATACATGAATTTGCACTTTCCTTGGCATATATCATATATCATAGGTGTTAGGGACTAACGGCAATCAATAAAATTGTTTTCAATAAATATATGCTATACTTATTTATAGTAAAGTACATTGGCCGAAAACTGTCCAAGTACTTCAATATTTAACAAAACATTTCCATAGTGACATGTTTTTTTGTATTATTTTAATATTTAAAATCAAACCATTTTACTAATTTCTACACTGACACATAAATAACACTATGATATCGACTTCATTAACTTAAATTTTTAAATCAAGAACCTTAGACAAAATTATATAAATTCAATCACGCGTGTGCATACCATATACATTGAAAATTCATAGAAAGCAAAATGGTTTTGAGTATAATTGCTTTTGTGGTGGAAATGGCACTCATGGTGTTCGAACCCTTATACCGAACATATAAAACTATTAGGTTGGGTTCTGTTTCTACTCCAGAAGATCGGCAAGCACTGTTAATTCATTGGTCTGTTTATGCACTATTTCGAATGGCTGACTGGATATTGTGTTTTTTACCATGTTATGGTTTGTTGAAAATTGGAACTATAGTTTATCTACGAACTGGTGGTGGTCTCGAGATGGTGTATTGGACTTTTTTAGACCCCTTCTTTGCACAAAACCAAGCAAGCATTGATAATTGTTTGGAACGTTGGGATCATGCGAGGGATACAGTAACAACCTTAACACTACCTCAAAACTAAGTGTGCACTCAATAAACGTATAAAATAAATTTTTATCTAATTAAGACATTTATACAAAATTTGCTTTTATCAAAGTTTAGAATATTCCTATAGTTATTCCTTACACATTAGTACTACGTAAATTTTGTATTGTTGACTTTGATAATTACTAAATGTGCAGTTTATTTTTAGATATATTTTTTGAAATAAACTATTAAACTTAAAAAAAAAATTGTTTCTTGAATTTCATATGTATAGTTTGTTATTAATATTTTTATCGTATTTATTATTGCAAAAAATCTCAGTTTTTACAGATACTTATTTTTTAAAAATGTTTGTGTTATATAAAAGAAGATTCATTAGATTCATTGTATGATAATACTCATTTTCTAGGAAAAAATTGAAAATTCAAAAAACTTTACAATATATATAGTTAAATAATCACTTCAAGGATAATTAACTTTAATATTAATTTTAGCTTCGATGCGAAGCTGAGAAGGTATTAATTTTACTATGATGTGTTTTTTTTTTTGTCTGTTACTACTTTTTCATAGCTCTCACTGAACTGATTTCTTTCAACGATGCGTCAAAAGATCACAAATCGTATCTAGCCGAAGTCATTACCCTCAAAAATTGAAAAAAATTCCCTCGTTCCCCATAAATGAGAGAAATCTCTAAAAAAATTACAAATTTAAAAATGGCTAATTTTCGAAATTTTTTCAATTTTTTTTACTAAATAATGCCATAACTTTTCAAAAATGACCAAATTAATATAATTTTTTTTTTATAAATGCACAATGTCTTTACTTATCATTTAATTTATTTTTTTTATAAATTTGACCCTTTACCTGCCCACAGGGAGGTATTCAAAATGATAACTTTAAACAAAAAATTTACTTTTTCAACTTAACTTTTGAAAGTGTGACACTTATATATATCTTAAATTAAAGCTAATGTAATGTACTTTATTAGGGAAAAAAGAAATTTCGGACTTTATTTTGTGTTCACGGTGAAAATGGCTACCAATAGCTATTTTTGTGTGAAAATTCTCGATTTTGTATTTTACATTTTTAATTTTATTATGCTATAACTATTTGAAAAATGTATGGATCAATACAATTTTTTTATAAGAAATAATACTTATAGACTTCTTTCATTCGACATACTTTTTTTTTTTAATAGGACCATTTACCTTAATACAGGGGGGGTTCAAATCTTAAAAATGCACATAAAAAGTAGAACTTTTTCAACTTAATTTTTGAAAGTATTCCAGAAATACTGACACTTTTATATATATCTTAAATTAAAGCTTATGTAATATACTTTATTATGAAAAAAAAAAATTTCAGACTTTATTTTGTCTTCACGGTGAAAATGGCTACCAAATGCTATTTTTGTGTGAAAATTCTTGATTTTATTTTTTACATTTCTAACTTTATAATGCTATAAATTATTGAAAAGTGTATGGATCAACACAATTTTTTTATGAGAAATAATATTTTTTAATAATCCCTTTTTCACACAGGATATTAATAAGAAAATAGAAGATAGCTTTTGGAATAATCCACTGTCAGATATCACTATACTTGATCCAACTATGCTACGTCACCACTGTACTGCAACCCCCCTGTGCTGGGTTTTTTTTTCATAAAACTGTCATAACTTTTTTAAAAATTACCAAATCAATATAATTTTTTTTTATAAATGCTTGATGTTATAACCTATCATTTGGTATATTTTACCATATGCTATTTTTGTGTTAAAAATCTCGATTTTATATTTTACATTTTTAATTTTATAATGCTATAACTTATTGAAAAGTGTATATAATTTTTTTATGAAAAATTTTTAAATAACACCATTTCCCTGTATATATTTATATATTTATTCATATATTACACTTATAAATCATAAAATTTGTAATCAGGATATAAATAAGGAATTAGAGATCATGTAGCTTTTGGAATAATCAACCAATTTTTTAAAATTAAACAGTATCTAATGATTTGCATCAAAACGTTTTTTTTTTTAGTGATTTTAATCACTGTCAGATATCATTATACTTGATCCAACTATGCCACGTCACCACTGTGTCGTGACCCCCTGTGCTGGGTTTTTTTTAAATGAGAACCACTATTTTCACCTTGATAACATGAAAACATTTACAATCAATCTTGTTATTTTATTATTTTTTATTCAACCGTTCGTCCGTTTCAGCGTGTTAAAGTTCAGTGTTTTTAAACCAAATTTCTGTTGTTATTCTACTGTGTTGTATACAGAAGTCATTGATGACTATTAAAAAATGTATACTTATTATATGCAGTACAAGTTTACTATCATACATTGTTGAACGACCAGTGTAGACAAATTTTCTTGATAAAAATAATTTATGGCTCATTGAAACAGATTATTGTTGTATTCGGTATTATGAAAACCAAATTAGTGATAAATTCCTATTATTGAACTATATATAATTGTAAAGTTTTTTGAATCAAACAAAATATTTTTACTTTTTTTTAAAGAAAATGAATGTGTATATATATATATATCATTATATATATATATATATATAATGTGTATATATCATGTACTGTCGACTGGACCATAACGTGAGCCAAATTTTAAGGGGTTGCAAATTATTTTAATTTTCTGGGAGGAGGTTATCAACCTTGCTGACTTCCATTTAACCAATTCTAAGTTTCTATATTTAAATATATAAAATATATAAATTTGTTCGCGAACTAAACAATAATTTATTGCACATTGCAGTAAATAAGCTTATATTGCTTGTGTTTGATGGCGAAGCCAAATAGGCGGCATCTTATAATCGTATATATAAAACAATAATATAGCAGGGTACAAAAAAGTTTATTTTATTGATTTTTATTTTTTTTTCATCAAACAAAATTGTTTGTTTTTAAATAATGTTTATTATATGGTTAAAACAAATAGTTTTTTATCTTAATTAATGTAATTGTCTTTATGTTAATTGGAAATATTTGATGAACTATCAGATTCTCTATTGATATGTTACTATTATATTTATTTTTTAAGAGTTGGTCCAACTGTTTAGGAAATAAGTTAACATGTTATCATTTTTGGTCGGATATTTATGAATTTGAAAAATGGGGTATGTTACATATACATTTATAATATAAGGTTTGCAAATTTCAGAAATTTTATTTTGTAATTTGTTGGTAGTTTTTTGAACTTAATCTTTTTATTTTACAATTTCTATTGGGTAATTAAAAAAAAAAAAAAATGTAAATATTAAAACTAAATAAAAATTAAAATAATATAAATATTTATTTTGAAATTTTAATTTACAGGTTATTATTGTAAATGTATACATTTTTGAAACGATTAAATTATTACTTATATAATTGTTAGGAAAGTTTGTTCATCTGTTCAGTGCGTATAAATAAATATTACTTGTTTGTGTATAAACTCTTTTTGTAGTTTATTAGTACACTTACCTGTTGCACCTTATTTGTACCCACCAATTGGTAAATTTTACATACTGTTATATTAATGTTGACTCGGTCAGGGTCAATTAAATTTGTAATTATTTCTTTATCAGCTCACACGTGTCACCACTTAGTGTACTTGCCAAGGTCTTTGTGACCATTATCATCTATATTTCTGTAATAATTAGTTTAAAATTAATTATTATTACCATATTGAACTAAAATTATCAGTTAATGAAGCTTAAAAGTATTTTTTTATCTTTGAAGGGAGTTTTGTTTTTGTTCCCTAAATAATTTTTGTAACTTTTAAAAGTAATTTTTTTAAGGTTTTCTAAGTTTTCAACTTCTGAGTTTTAGTTAATGTATAGCCTTAATTAATCAATTTCTTATTTCTTATCCCAGATATAATCTACTGACTCAACAAAAATTAAAAAAAACTTTTGAAAAAGATAATTTATACTGTAATAAAACCCTATACAGCATATGGCATAGTTTGGACAAGTATTTATGATATTTGATAGTGCAAACGATGGGGTTTTTTTAAAAACAATTTAAATTGGTTATCACATGTGTCGGAGAGCCAATCAGAACTAGTTATTTTAGTCACAGATTCTACTAATGTTTGGTATGCTTTTGGTTACAACAGTGCTAATACATAGGTAGTGTATCAAAAATATTTGAGAATGTATTCCGCTTATCGTGAACGGCCATGTTGTGATAAAATGTTGTAAACAATCGTAACTCGAAGCTTTTGATCATCTTGAAAATTAACGGCTACTGATTAAAATTATATATACTTCTAAGGATCTATTTGTAATTAATGGCTTTACAATTTCATCAAAATATTTTGAAAGAATTTCTTTTAAATCTGATTATATTTCATATTTAATATTTTATTTGGTAATTAACCTACAATGGAAGAAGGTAATACTAATTTTAAACATCCCTCTATTTGTGTTTTAATCGGTATTTTTATAATAATTATTATCTGATATTTTTATTCAGTTAAGTTTTTATGTATGTATTTTTAGGTATTTATTTAAGCTTAACTTTTTGTTTAAATGCAAATTGTCTTCACTTCAAACAATTAAACTTTACATACATGTTACTTTTTGTTTTTCTATGGATTTATAGATATATTGTGTGTTCAAAAAATTTGAATTTTTCATTATATTGTTAAAGAAATCCTAATGTTTATTATAATTATTTATTCTAAAGTACATTCAGTAATTTATGATTCCATATACTAAAAATACAAGTTGTCAAACTTTTTAATTCTGTTATCAACCTTGTAAGAAACTGAAGATATGAATTATGTATGATTGCTGTAGAACATAATGGAAAGATTTTCCTTAGATAATAAAAGATCTAGGTTCATTTTCCAACTTTCTATCATTATTATTCCTTTGTTTGAAGTTTATCTTGTAATAGTTTTAAACTTGCATAGTTCTTTTTAACTCATTGAAAAATTTTTACATGACATTCAACATTTAAAAAAAAAATCCTAAATGTTGGTCAAAAAGCTAGTTCCTTTCTAATATTATTCATGTATGTAAAAAAATAATATTTATATAATGACAAACCTAAATTCAATAATCAAAAAATAAATTTAATTGGTCTATTTAATAAAAAATTAATTTTGCAATGGAAATTTTTACTGTTTTGCTTTAATACTTGTCTTAATTGGAAATATATGTATGTGTGTGAAAAAATATTAACAATTAAAAATAAGCTTTTATAAATTAAATTTCAGAATCTGACACATTTCAAACTTGGTGGGAAATACCAAGTATAGTACACCTTTGCAATACATTAAGTACATGTGTCAATGACATATATCCTATTACTATTGAGGTAAAGTGATAATTTAATGTATGGTTTTATTATTTATTTAATTTTTGAACATTTTTCAAAAATAAATAAATTTATTATTGGGACTAAATTACAAAATGTGTAATAGTATCTACTATTTCAAAACCAATTACTTACTTCATTATATAAGAAACCTCTTATGTTTAAAAAATTAAATAAGCTAGATTTTTCATTTTCATTTTTTGCATGTATTGTATAAATGTATGATCTAAACATGGAGTTAAAAAAAGTAGTTAATATCTATTCATTTTGTATATATTACAGAGATTTGAAAAAGGCTTCAATGACAACTCAAATATATTAATGAATATTGCTATACGATTTGTAAAAGTCTGTGGGTTCTATGATCCTCACTCAAATAAATGGTGGGATTTTATGAAAAAATTATTAAATAATCATTGTCCAGTAAGTAATTATAGTTTGTAATTGTTTTATTTTTATAATGTGAGTTATATTAGAAAAAAGTTCTTTTGATTAATTAAAAGAGAAAATACAAAAAGTTACTATGCTTGGAAATCCAATGCATTCAAAAAATATATTATGATACTGGTTTTTTCATAATTTATAATATACTTTTTACTCTTAATACATGTTATAATAAATACACTAGTTTAAAAATGTTAATTTTTTATCACATTAATCCTCATTGTTTTAAATATAATTAATTTAATTTTTTATTTTGTAGGTTTATAATTTTGAAAATCCAATTGATGAAGATGCAAGTTTTAATGATTTATCTCCAAGAAAACAAGTTGAAGTGTTATACATACTTGGTCATTTAATTTTGGACGTTGAAAAAGTTCAAGAAACTTTAAATCAAAATTCTGAAGTTTTAAGTAAACTTAATGTGAAACCATTAGGTTATGATGTAAATAAATCAGTTTATTGGTATTTTGGAGGCACTAGATTATATAGAGAAGATTATGACTTAACTTATTTACCAGATTACGTATTAGAATTAATTGTAAGTTTTAAATATATTTTTATTCCTAGTTTTTAATCATAACTGTGGTGAAATAATATTGTTTTTTTTAATTTTTAAAGAATCCTGAATCTAATGAAATTATGACAAATTTAAATGAGAAAAATGATGTAAGTAATTGAAATTTTTGTTTAATTATTTAACAATTTTGTTCGAGTTTTATTTTATTTTTGAAAAAATTTAGTTTTTTCCAATAAAATGTCAGTATATAATAATTTAAATATTTTCTGTTATACTTTTTTGAGGTGTAAATGCATTGAAATTATCAAAAAATAGTTAGTTTAAGTTATATAGGTTAGAACAAATATGTATTAAAAATGCTTTAACTCAATTACTCTTCCTAAAATTTTAATCCCCATCTATTTATCATTTTTATAAGAAAAGTATTTAAAAATTAACTAATTTGAAATTTTTATATATACAAGCATTTTTTTTATTATTTTATAATAAAAAATATGATTCAGTGAAATCTATGAATGCATAAATTATTTAAAATATATATTTGTATAGCAAAATTTTATTTGTATCAAAAGTTATATGTTGTCAGTTTAATCTGTTTAAACCTGTGTACTAAAATTTAAGTGTATTTGCCTCAACTGTCTTAATAAGTTTTTTTATAATATTAATAGTTATATTGAATGCTAATAGATATATTTATTATTAAAAAGTTATGAATTTATTTAAATTATCTTATAATAAGTAAAATAATAAATGTATTTTTTAGAATTCATGCGATATAAATGATGCATCTGACCAGACAAGAGACAGTATAATAAACAATTCTTATTTACATGAAGTAAGCATTGGACCATACTAATATTTCAAAAAAAAAAATTGAGTATATATTCATTAAATCTGTAATCTGATACCAAAATTATATATTTGTAATAGCAAATATGTTTATTTGAGTATTGGATATGGTTAAAAATGACAATATAAATTATTTAATATAAAAATTTATTCATTGTAAAAGTTTGTATTAAAAAAAATTTAAAATCCATCACCTATTGAATAGACTGAGCACCAAAAAGTTCTTTTTAATAAAACACAGAAAATAAAATATGCCATTTTACTTTTTGAATTTCTTCATTCATTGATAATGTTAAAATATTTATTATGTTGCTTTCTAAAAATTTGAGTATTATATTCACTAGAAATATTTTATTTTGTTAAAGCTATTCTTTAAACAGATATAGTAATATTGAAATGATAACTGAGGTTCTACATGTCAACCTTTTATCATTGTATAATAAGAATTTTTAATTAATAAATTTTTATTGTTAATTTAGTGTGGTTTAAATCTTTTTATATTATTAAAAATGACAAAATACTTTTTTTAAGGATGTTCAAAAAAATCTCCAAACAAAACCTTATCCATCAGGAATATTAGGGTCAGGAAAATGGAATATGATTTGTGATGATGATGAAAGTTGGCATTATTTAACCGATACCACAGAATATAGTCGTAATTTTAATGTAAAATTGTTACATAGATCTTTAAATAAAATTACACTTAAATTGCCAACTCTTAAAAGAAATAAACCAGTTTACCAATTTATCAAGTACACTGCACCTAAAAGTATTTATCATAAGTCATTAGCATCAAATCCAAGAGTTACAAGAAGTAGACAAAGTGCTGAACATGCATCTGAAAATAATCATTTTGACGAGATTAAAAATGAAAATCATGGTGAAATTGCTAAAAAAGATAACTTTAATTTAAAAACCTTACAAGTTAAATTAATTAAAATTGATTTGGATTCTAAATATAGTAGTATGTTTAATGTGAAAAACTTAAAGGAGAATGTACTGAATGAAAAACCAACTAAACTAAAACTTAAGGATACTAATAGATTGCTCCGATCTAATAGTCGAAAATTTCATGAAGATTTAGAATTTAAAAGAACAAAAAAAGATCATTTTGATAAAGAATCTATTGTTGCTGTTGAAAGATGTGGTCAAGAAAATGTTCAAAATGTAAAACGTAAAAATACCAAACTTATTACAACTCAAAAGCGATTTCGTACCCATGCGGAAATGCAAGTATCTCCATTAAAGGATGTAACAAGTCGTGTGTTAATGTAATTTAAATCATAGTTTTCAATTAAAAATAGGTTTTATTTCTAATTTTATTGTACCACACATTGTAATTAACATGTTTATTTCATGTTTTATTTTCCAAGTTTTATTTTATTAATTTTCAAGTGTATAAAATATACATATATATCATTAGATTTTTCTTTAAGGTTTTAAGAGTTAATATTTATTTATTGTCATAATACTTTATATACATGTATAAGTTTATTTTCTAAAAAAACATTTATAACATAATTTATATTATTATTGTGTTCTTCTTATTTAATTTATTTTATTATAAAACCATATTTTCTAAATGTTGTATGTTAGTATACAAAACAGCATTTCTGTAATTACAATTGTTGGCTTATAACCTTACAGCAGTTAAATTGTGTAATAAAAAATATATTGAAAAAACATACTCAACATAAAATTTTTTGTTGGACCCTATAAATATTTATACTGTAATTAAATAAAATATTAATATTTCTTACATTAAGGCTAAATATTATGTTATATATACAGTGGCGTCTCGTGGCTTAGATGACGCACCCAATACTAAAATGAATTAAAAGAAGAAAATTAATTGTATATTCTTAATTCTACATTTTTATTAAAAATGCAATTTTTTAAATAGTAAAATAGTTATAATACATTTGTGTGTGCGAACATTAAAGTTGTTTCTCTCAATACATGCGGGTAATATATACACACACGAGTAGTGTTTGGACGACCAACAGAGTCGTCCAAACATGCTCACCAATTGAATCTCATAATGATACAATCAATTAGTGAAGTAAGTCGGTAGTAAAAAAGTAGTCGGTGTTCGTTTGACAAGAGTAGTACAGACTCCTTGGAATTTTAATATTAGAACCGTTAATACTGTTTTTTAACACAGTGAAGACTTTATAATTTGTATGGATAAAATAATTAAAAAATCTTTACATGCTAAAACAATTAATCAAGCCACTGGTATTAAAAGATTTCTAGAAGATACTGATTTTATATTTTGGTTGAATATTTTTCATAAAATTATGCCACACGTTGATTGTTTATATAGTTTTGTCCAAGCTAAAAAATCAGACCCATTCAAGTAGACAACTTAGTAAAACTATTTGTAAATAAAATAATTAAAATTCATGATTATATGTCATCAATTTGTTCAATATTTTTAAACCAATCAGACATAATACATTCAAAAAGAGAAAAACTAGCGAAGACCCAAACATTACGAAAAGAATTATTGCTTTAGGAGTATGTGATGTTTTAATAACTCAAGCAGGAAGTCGTTTTAGCTTTAATGAACATCTAGTTATTATCGAGATGGTCATAATGCCCATGCACTCAGACCTATTGATCCATTGTGCTTTAATGATCATCTAACTACAGCGTTGCTTTTTCAAAACGAATATTACTCAAAATTTAAGAATAAATTCCCAATTGATTATTTACAAAAAATTATGAATTGCTATCCTTTCTTTACAAAAGAACGTTTAAGAACTGAACTTGAGATTATATATAGCCGTGATGGTTTTCGTTTATTAAAAGGAATTATTCCTACAATTAACTATATAATAACAAATAGAATGAGCGATTTATTTAAGGAAGTACTTAAATTATTGGTCGTCATTCCAATGACATCGTCGGAAGCTGAACGCAGATATTCAACAGAATAATAACTTATTTACGAATTACCATGGAATAAGACAGACTAAACGCCTTATCTATTCTTAGTATTAAAAGTGAAATGATTGCATAAGATGTAGAATTCAATACAAGGGCCATCGAACATTTTTCATCAACAAAAAACGGGTGGATGGATTTTATTCATAAAATAATTCCATAAATTAGTTATTTTTTAATTACATAACATTTACATAAATTCATACACTTGCTATAATATACTATAACAATTTTATGAATAAAATAATAATATGTGTACTGTGTTTCATTTTATATTTAATTTGACAATTTCTTATATTTATGACTAGCGGTATTTACTTAAAGTCGCACCTCCCCACCTCTAGTACGTACGAGCCACCACTGTATATATATATAGTATTGTTATATCTCGATAGTTACCTTATACTATTATTATTTTTAAAAAGCAGTCTGTAAAATGGTACAGTTTTAAATGTTTATTAGAATTAATCGTGAAATGGTGGGATACCAACACTGTGTATTGTATGTTAATTTTATAAAAATAATAAAATAAATTTGCTTAGTATAAAAATCACATTACATATCAGTTTGGTAAACCATTTATTAATTGGAAATATATAAATTTATATAAATATAAAATTACTCAAAACTAACAATAAAATTATTTAGTTTTTAAGCTCTAGATAGTTTTGATATTGAGTTATAATAAGAACTCGGCAAAATACATTTTTATTTTAAAAATTCTTAATTTAAAGTAAATTAATTTTTACTAATTGAAATTACACAATTCTGGTAATAAGGATAATTTTTAAATTGTAATGATGACAAATAATTTTCCTTTTAATTATTCTCCTATTTATTTTTTCAGTTGAAAATCCACTAAAATTGAAATATAATACAATTTTTTGTGCTAATAAATAATTAAATTTAATGGCAACAAATTTATTTATAATGACACTTCAATATAAAATTAGAAAAATACTTTTTAAAAGTAATTGATATTTTTTTTTCTGTAAAACTAGGATCGAAAGAGGTGGTTACTTAGATGAAGCTAAGTAATCTTTTGTTATAATCTCCTCAAAAATTAAAAAAATTAAAAATCCAATTTTTTTTTTTTTGAGAAATTTTAATTTGTAAATATTTGTATTGCTTAATACATACTTTTACATTTTTTTTAGCTTCGATGCGAAGCTGAGAAGGTATTAAATTTACTATGATGTGTTTTCTTGTTGTGTCTGAACACTTAATCTCAGCTCTCGATTTTAATGAACAATAGGTCAAAAGATCACAAATCGTATTTAGTCAAAGATATTACCCTCAAAAATTGAAAAAAATTCCCTCGTTCCCCAAAAACGAGGGAAATCCCTCAAAAAATTATAAATTTAAAAATCGCTAATTTTTGATATTTTTTCAATTTTTACTTACAAATTTTTTTACTTAAAATGCCATTACTTTTTTAAAAAATGACCGAATCATTATAATTTTTTTTTAGATACCTTAGGTATTTATTTTGATATAGCATATAAAGTTAAACTTATTTAAATTTTTTTGCATTTTGTAAGTTGAGAAAAATAACTTTGAAATTTGAACTAGCTCAAATTGACAATTTTTTTAGACGATGGAAGCGACGTACGATTGCCAAGTCGGTAAAACTTGTGTCTTACACGATTGGGGTACAAGGTTCCAAACCGCGTATAGTAAGGAATTTTTTCTTAATTTTTTCTTAATTCTTTTTAAATTAAAATACATTTTCAATTCCTTTAATTATTATCTTATTTAATTCAATCATTTCAATAAAGATCAAGGATCCCATCACTGTAGTTGCCACTCGCAAGAAGAAATTTCTTGTTCATATTAAAATTATTTTAGGTTTTAGCTTCGATGCAAAGCTGAGAAGGTATTTTTTTGTGACTATCATTTATTTTCTCTGCTCTAACTTGATCTACTTTTTTCAACGATACGTCAAATGACTACAATTCGTATCTAGTTGAAGATATTATCCTCAAAAATTGAAAAAAAATTCTAATTTATCAATTAAACAGTTACTTATCCCATGTTCTCCATACAGACAATTAAAATCATTCATTTCTAATGTTTTCAAAGTATTTATTGACGAATCAAGTTCGATATGATAGATTTCAATTACAAAATTAAATCATTTTACTTTGGAATATAATAATTTTTTTACTCTATTTGTGTGTGCTACTACTAGACTATAATGTTTCAAATTTTTTTGGTAACATGTTGATATATAAATCATTTCTAAAAAAAATGATAGTTAGTTTCTCCTGAATTAACAATGGATTTTTAGATCTTTTTAACGACTTTTTTTTGATTAGTTATTTTAGTAAAGTAAATGATTAAAATGAATTCAGTTCATATTTCAATTGTAGAATATTTTTAAACACCAAAAGTTACTAGAAAATGATTACTATTATATCTATTTAAGTTATCTATTACGATAAAAATTCAAAAAAATATTGAGCTTTTCTGATAAATTTACTATAAATAGTTATTATAAAATGTCCTGAGTGCATATTAATCTTAACGATACAATTTTTTTATTCATAAAATTTCCTATCAGATAGGAAATAGATATTTCATTAGATTCTAATGATGTCAATTTCAAACTTGCAAATTGAGCTAAAGGTTATGCTAATAAATTAATTTCTTTTATTATAAACTTTCACAAAAATCAGCTTTAAAGGATTAAAAAAATAGGTTGATTATGTCATTTTCCTTACTTTTAACATATTAATAATCAAAATCAGTATTAAAATAATTTTTTTTTGTTCTTAATTATTTTTTTATATATAAATATATTATTTTTTAATAATAAGTAATAATATTAAAATTTAGAAGTAATAGAAAAAGTCTAATTGCACATTTGAAAACATCGCGAAAAGTTGATTTAGAAAAGTATATTTTTGTTTCTGATGAAAGTTTCTGGTAGTCCAGTGTATAAAACTTATAAATTTGTTATAAGTAACAAACATTTTTTATTGAAAAGTATTGCATTAAGCCTTTTAAATTTTTATACGCGTTAAAAGTAAAGAAATATACAGAGTGATTGACTAACTATGCCTCACGAATTTTCTTTAAAAATATTAGTATTATCGTATATGTAATTATTTTATTTGTTATAAATCTTTGTTGAGCTACTTGACAAGAAAAATGAAGATTCAATCTTCATCCCTCAACCCTTAAATCAATATCAACTTTAGTTTTTCAAATAGCAACCCAGTTTTTTTTTTTATTAATCTTGTTAATAATAAAAAAAAAAATTCTCAAAAAAAAAAATCAATTTTAATAAATTCTAAGCGAGATATTACTATTTAAAGTTTAGGGGATTTAACAAATAAAACAGTAGTCGGGTAAATATAGTATCGTTATTATTTAGTGTACCGATAAGAAGTGGTAGCGCTTATCGATTTACGATCCATAACGTTCTCGTCTGTAATGATTTTTTCTTAATAAACCCTAAACTTTAGAGAGCCGTGGAGCGCTTAATATTTAATAAAATAAAATATTTTTTTTACAAAACATTTTTTTTTTATTAAACTAAATATAATGGTATAAAAAAAAAATGGTGTTGCCATTTGAAAATATGAAGTTGACACTATTTTTAAGCAAAAGGGATGGTGGTAAAAATTTAAATTTTCTCGTGAAACAGCTCATTAAAGATCCATAATGATTTAAAAAAAAAAATTGTTTATAACTCTTATATTTTCAGAGATAATTCGTGAGGCATAGTTAGTCAATCACCCTGTACAACTACTTAACTATTTTTATAATATCTCCGTAAAAATTACAATATTAAATTATTGAATATCAATTTCATACTAATTATTATTTAATTATTATTTAATTATTATTTATTCATATATAATAATTATAAATTAAATAACTAATCGGGATAAAATTAAGGGAATAAGAGTTATTATTGGTTTTTAAATAATCTACCAATTTCTTAAAATTAAATACTATCAACAGATTTGCATTGAAGCGTTTCTTATGATAGTGATTTTAATCACAGTTAGATATCATCTATACTTATCCCAACTATGCCACGTCCATACTTGGCCGCGACCCCACTGTGCTACCGTTTTTTTAAATTTTTCTTGTACATTTCTTCATTTGCATTTTTTACATACTCAAAACTATTATTTGTCATAAGAGTCATTTTAGTTGCTACATCAACAGTTCTATGTTTGAAACAATCGTAATTTATAGATGTATGAATAGAAAAAAGGTATTACACAAATGGAAACCTAATAATATGGGAAGTTGGATTAAAATCCCTTTTCTTACCACATTGGAAATTAAAACCAATTTTCATAGAATTCAATTTAAATGTCAAAAATTATCCTAGTGAACAATTTTTATATAAATTTTTAATGTTATTTTATAAAACTATTAAAATACTTTTAATCAAAAAATAAAAAATTTATAAGATATAATAATTTTAATAAAGATAACAAATCAAAAATATAAATTTTTTTTCGGTTATGATATATTTGTATTAATATGATTTGATCAAATAAAATATAAATAAATAAAAATTAAATAAAAAATTAATTATAAAATAATAATGTATTTAAAAATATTAAGCAAATCTTTTTTCATACATAAATATACAATGTTAACTTTACAAAGAACATAAATAGTAAAATTAATTGAGAGTAATCATATATGCTCATCAACTAAGCAATGCTGTCAATGCATCAAAAAACCTTGGTCGATCTTTGATTTGCATTTTTACAATTGACGAATCAAAGTAATCCATTGAAATATCAATGCTTGTCTTATTGGCTACTTGCTCAAAAGCTTTTCCAAAAAAACTATGACAAAACATAATTTTCTAAATTATTTTCAAATACTGTACTTACCATTTACTGTATTCTTAAAAATGCAATTTTATGGTATTATATATTTTATCCCCAAATTTAACTTTTAAATTATAGAGATAAATCAATAACAATTAATAGAAAAAAGCATTTTTAATAAAATAAATTAAAATGACATACCTTCGAGGCATTGTTTCAGTAATAGGTGGAATTCCAATTACCAGGCAAGTTTCTTGTTCAGGATCAAGTGAAGCTGAAGCTATTAAAGGCAAACGTGTGGCTTTTGCTTTTCGAGTTGATGCAACTTGAGCTCTTAGAGCAAAAGAAGCCAACATTATCAAGCAATGTGGATTAGAATAATGGTAAGAGTGTAATGTACCCTAAAAAATTAAAAATTATTATAATCATATATATGTATGTATATTAGGGTGGCTCTTATTTTATTAACTTTCATTGATTGATCTCCGTACCTGCCAAATTTTTCATTTTTATGTGAAAGTCATTTGGGTAAAATTTGGTTTTGATAATTTACTCCCTTCAAGTGTAGAATCGGGGTTGAAATTCACTCAAAAGCGTAATTTTTCAGTTTATGATCATTATTTCTAAATGTTGTAAAGTAATTATTTTGAAAGTTAAGAATGATTTATGTTAAAAAAGGATATTTAAAAAAACTTTTATTTATTTTTTATTTAATTTTTTTGAGCAAGTAAAAATAATTTTAGAAAATTTTTGTAAATACCTTTTTTAAATAAAATATTAAAATCTATAATTTATATTCTATACATTTATAGACTAAGTGTGTTAATTTTAGAAATAATGATCATAAACTGAAAAATTACGAATTTGAGTGAATTTCAACCCCGATTCTACACTTGAAGGGAGTAAATTATCAAAACCAAATTTTACCCAAATGACTTTCATATAAAAATGAAAAATTTGGCAGGTACGGAGATCGATCAATGAAAGTTAATAAAATAAAAGCCACCCTAATGTATATTGATATTTAAATATTAAATAAACTGAGCTTAATATATTTTAATTATGTACATACTTCTTGAACAATTAAATAGTAAAATGGTCCAGCTGAAATAACTTGTTTCATATCTAATGCAGCCTGAACGTGTCTAAACATATTAGTAAGTATCCATTTTGCTTTTTCAATACCTTGATCTAGCAAATCTTTTTTAGATCTAGCATAAACAAAATTTTTATAGTATAAGATAGGAAAGATAAAAAACCAATTTTTCTTTTTTTGTGGAAAATTTAGTAAATCCTAAAAATCGGATAAAAAACTAAATGAAATTTCTGTATAAATAGGAATAATGCAGAAAACAAAAAAATACTTATTATAATTCTATATGATTAAGACAAAATATTTTTTTAATTCTCATGATAAGCTTAATTTTTAAGATTTAGTAATTTTATTTATTATATACTTTTTGTAAATTATTTTTTAAAATAAAAATTAAGGAAATGAAGTTCTTAAAATTTTATTTAAAAAAATTGTATAATACTTATGAATAATTGAATCATGAAATAAATATTGGCATGCCTGCTTCTAGACATATATATGTGTTAAAAAACATATATTTACCTTGATAATGAATCCATTGCATTATAAAAACACTCTGTGGGCGTTTTGTCACGTGACTGTAACATTAGAATTGATTTGAAATAATTTAATAATAAGAAAATACACAGTCATAAATATAAGCAGTCTAAGAGTATTTCTAGTAAACAAACATAACTTGCTAAGTATGGTGTATGAAACTAATTTTTCAAGAAACTGGAAAAATAAAATAGATTCTTTTGGAATGACCATATGAACATTATTTTCCAATTTATTTTAAATTTTATATTTATCAATAAAGTTAATAATATTAATGATGATGATATTATACAAATTACAATGTAAGGGTAATCATAAGCTTAATTTTAACAAGTTCCATCCCCTAGAATCTCAATAACATTAACTTTTATGAAAAAGTTTATTAAGATTTTTTTGTAGATATATTTTTCTATAAAAATAAGTCTAGAAATTTTTTTGAACAATTGTTATTTAGCCAAAAAATAAATAAATATGTTAATATTTTTACTATTGATACTATTAACTTGATTTATTTTATAAAACGTTCATCACAGAAAGAAAATGTTCACATAAAAGTTGTTTTAAATTAAATTTTCTATATACTTTTTACCTAACATTTTTTCTATCATTTACTATTCACACAGTATGTTGTCGATTATACAATGAAATTATACATTTGTTCTCAATATTAAGAAAAAAGATTTTAATAATTGTTTTATAAAATGGATTCTTCTTATAAAATGAATATTTGAGATACAAATAAAATTTATTTAATTGGGTATATATCATATAAAATCATCGATAGTAAAAATTGAACATTTGCATTTTCATTTTTTTTAGGCTAAATAACAAATTTTTAAAAATCTTTTATAGAAAAATATTATATCTACAAAGGTCTCTATAAAATTTTACGTAAAAATTAATGTTTATGAGATAGACAAAAAAACTACCTTTAGGGTATCATTTTTAATCTTCTTGGGGCCGTGCTTATGGTCATTAATTTTTGCAAATTATTTTTTTCAGATATTTAAACAAGTCTAGGGGGTGACACTAAGCAATTTTAAAAGTTTATAATTAACAGTCACCTTAATGTACATACGAAGTGTGTTCAGAATATAATGGGAATTTTAGTTTTTTAAAAAAATTATTTATTTATTCGTCTACATTAATGTTGGCGCCTTCAAAAAAGTCCCCATTAGATATTATGCATTTATGCCAACGCTTTTTCTAGTAATCCTCGAAACACTTCTCAAACTCGATCTTTGGGATAGCCTTTAGCACATTCAACAATGCGCTTTTTAAGTCATCTATGCTTGTAAACTTTAATGTCCTCTATACTTTTGGAAATAGAAAAAAGTCACACAGAGCTATGTCTAGCAAATATGGAGGCTGGGACATCATTATAGTATTGTTTTTGGCCAAAAATTCTTGAACAAGTAATAAAATGTGAGCAGGTGCATTATCGTTGTGCAAAAGCCATGAATTGTTTTGCCACAAATCCAGGCACTTTTTCGGATTGCTTCACGTAAACGACGTTGAATTTGTAAGTAGTACTCTCTGTTGACTTTTTGACTTTGTGACAAGAATTCATGACGCACTATGCTATTAAAATTGATGAATACAGTGAGCATAACCTTCACGTTTGATCACACTTGTCGAACCTTTTTTGGTCTTGCCAATCCAGAATGCCTTCACTGGGACGATTCAGTCTTAGATTTTACGTCATATCCATATACCCATGTTTCTTCAGTTATTATAACATATTCAGTGATTCTATAACTTCGTTGACTTCATTAAGTGACTCCTGAGTAACTTCCATTTGCCGCTGTTTTATTTAGAAATTCAACAATTTTGCTGCAACGGGTTTCATACTTGAAAAAATTTTATGGCATGAGCCAATCGATATTCCAACATTACCAGCTACTGCTCTGAATTGTGATTCACCAATTGTTCATAACCATTTCTTTACTCATGGTAGACTCACCATAGGCCTTTGTTAACATTTCACACACTTTGTTACACTTTATTTCATTTTTTACGCAAATTTTTTTTTGTACAAACCCTTTGATGCATTTTTTTAACAAATGAAAATAGCCGAGTTCAAAAAAACACGTCTAACCTTAGCAGGTTTTACTGACAAAGTAAAAAATGAATCCAGTTAAAAATTTTTTTATACTACAGGGATATATGTACCATTATGAAATTTTTTTTTTTTTGATTATTGGAATCTCTAAACCCGTGAAATTTAAAAATTCCCATTATTTTCTAAACACACCTGATACATATTATAAATCACTTGTATTGTATAATGAAATTCAGTGATATAATTTCATCTTCGAGGGCGTCAAGTAAACATTAGAGAGGCCTCTTTAACTTAAGAAACAGTGACATAAGAAAATGTTTTTTTAAAAATTTGTATAAAATTAATATTTAGTTATATACATATTTAAAAATAAAATTGGAGATAAAAATACTTATTAATTTTATTTATCATTTCATTATTTTTATGATTTTAGCTAGAATTTACTAAAATCTAACTTACATTACTTTCTAATGTTGCTACCATGGAGTAAACATAATCAGCACATTGATATCTGGTTTTAAACCCTTGATGTAGCATAAATGATGGATATGTCATTTGAAGTAAATTATGAGCATTGGATATTTTTTCCATCATACCATAAAATTGCTTACGTAAACTTAAATCCATTGAGTGATACATTTGTCGACTTTCAGCCAAAGGCAATCTTAAATAAAATTACAGCAAGTTATTAAAATATTTTCTCTACCTTCTAAAAATAAAATGTATTTTTTTATGAAAAAGGTAAAAAACATAGTGATTGTGTAAACATTAACCATTCAATTTTTCTTAAAAATTATGATTGTGTTAAGAAAATTTTTTTAAGTATTTTTTAACATAATTATTATATGAGAAATAGGATGACTAATGTTTATAAAATAATCCTGTACATAAGTAATAAAAATTTATTAATTTTTTTACTAATTTATCATACCCCATTTCTGCTAAAATTTGTTTCAACCTCTTTTCTCCTTTTATAGTCCAGAGTTTTAAAGAAACTGCTGTGAACATAGAATATCGAAGACTAGACTCAATAGTCCAATGTCTGTATAATGCTAATAATAAACTAAAAAAAAAATAATACATAAAAAATAATTAAAATATAACACATGGCAATAGACATTTTACTTGTCTACAATATTTAGATGAAGCTTCCATTACAGATTTCAGATTTTTTCAATCTTATCTACAGATAATTACTAATTGGAAAAACTCAACATTTTTTTTTTTTTTAATTTTCTAATATAATTTGTTGTTCAAAAAGCATTGTGTAAAATGGTGCTTATGACAATTATCTTATAATGGAGTTGATTTTTAACTCCCAAACTAAGTGACCAATTGTAATTTCTAAAATATTTGTGACTTTTTCTTTACAATTAGTTGAATAACTAACAAGAGTAAGTGAGTATAATGAATTAAAAACTAAGTGTCGTATCTAATTAAACTATTGTCTTTAGTATCAAAAAACACAAAGACACTTAAATTTTCTTTTTTTCAAACTCACATGTAACTGTACTAAAAAAAAGACATAAAAATAAAATTTTTTTTTCGTCATATTATATAAAAAATTAAAATATTTTTATAATGTTTTAAATGCTCATTTAATGCTTAATTAATAATTAGTAATCAACTCAACAACTAGATAAGATGTAAAAAATCATAAGCCAAATTGGAATCAATTTAGAATTAAGTATTAGGAATTTAAATCCTTTTTAATAATATCTAATTAAATAAAATAAATGTTTTGAAAGAACTAATCAATTTCATAATCAATAGTTATATTAAAATAACATCATAACACTTACTCTTTTTCAGATTCAATTCGAAGTTGTATAGAAGTATTTGAAGGTTTGGATAATGTTTGTGACATATTTTCTACATCATCATTATTTATTGAAGACTCACAAATTCGTCCTATATGACCTGCAATCAATTCAACTTCTTTTAAATAGCGCATGCGTTCAGTTTTACCTAATATATACTGCTCAGTTACTCCAACAATACCCCACCTGAAAAGAAAAATGTTCTTATTAATATGATTTTAAATCAGTTAAAATAAAATAAAATTTTTCTGAGAATTTTAAAAAATATTGAAAAATGTAATAAATTTTACATAGTATGAAGGTATTGGACTTCAGATAACAGTCTATATATTAAACAGCAATAATAGAATTATGTGGTATTAAATATTACATTATATTATACTTGTTTTTTATTACTATTTAAAGCAACTAATAATTTAAACGAGTTTAATAATTAACTTAGTAATATAAAATTTGACTTAAATTAACTTGACTTTAACGTAAAAAGAAATACATCGTATAGTTTAAAAAAATCTACAATAATACATAGTTTCTTTACAAAGGGTCAGAAATAAAAAAGTATAGGGAATCATTTGGCTGTCATGGACAAATTCTACTGTTTTATTAGGTATACAATCAAAACTATATTGTTCGATGAACCTATAAGTTCAATAAACTTATACATTTGTTAAATGTGTGCATTCAATACACAATTACGTTCCACGACTGTTTGCAATATATTGTAATAATATAGATAAATAATTTGAATTTTGCTAATTGTCTCTGTACTGTGGGGCATGGTTATTATTTTATATTATAATCTAAATAAATATATTTATTTTTATAATTGTATAAATTAAATAAATAATTATATATATCTAATATATATACATATATAGGTGTCTTACCATAGTTTACTAATTTTAACAATAGTTTATATAATCAAATTAGTAAATTATTATTTAAAGAATATATATATATATATATATATTGCTTTTTAGTCCCATTAATAGCCATAGCAGCCTTCCCCAAAGGAAGACGTCTCTTAACCATTAATAATCAGGGACAGGTGGTTAGTATGTCGCCAGAGAGAGGGATGACAATTTCAATTACCGAACTGATTTTTGGTTTGACCCTGCCTGTGACCGAGTTTGAACCTGAGACAGTGAACATTATTCACTGCTGTGTTATAGATTCGGCTACACCATCACTCTTTATAATACTAATAGAATATTACCATGACTTAATTTAGCCGTAAATAATAATTATTATGAAAAATATAAAACATTTTTACTGTTAACAAGTAATATTATACGTACCACAATAAATCAATTGATTCTCGATGCAATTTCCATGATAAGTCAAACATTAATATGGCACTCTATGAAATGATATAATCAAAATATTTACAATCTATTTATGAATTATTTATTTATTAATTAAATACCGAACGTCCATAATATGTGAACTGAGTATAATCAAATAATAACTTTTTCCTATTTTCCTCCCATTTTCTTCTATTACTTCTTTTTATTAATGCATTTTGGTCTAATTTTCTTCTTTTATTTTGTTGTTCTTCTACAGTATCATTGTTATCATCATCAATATCATTAAAATCACTCTCATCATCTGAAGACTATAACAATTAAGATCATCTTTCAATAAATTCCAAAATAAAAGAATGGGTAAACATTTTTCAATATATTAATATTAAATATTACTCTTTATTCACAGTAACAAATAATGATACAATGAAACCGTTATTCTTGGTTTGTACTAATATTGTTAGTATTCAATTCTTTTTCTTTTTCCTCACCTTTATGTCCACTACTTGGAGTCAGCCACCTTTATACTAAACTTCCACTTGATACAATCTCCCACATCATCTACGCACATATCATCCATCCTCATATCGCATATAATAACATCAATCCATCTCTTTTTTTGTCTTCCTTTGTGTCTTCTTCCTTCAACATTAATTTCTATGACTGTTCTAACAGCTTCTGATTCTTCTATCCTCATAACATAACTGAGAATTATCTACGTCTATTTTCCCTTATCTTATACTTGATTGACGCTCTACCTATACTCCCTCTTATATGTTCGTTCCTTATTCTATCTTTAGTCACTCCACTCATCCATCTGAGCATTCTCATCTCTGCTTTACTTTCTTGTGAACCACCCAACAATCTGAACCATGCATCATAGCTGGTCTCACTACATTCTTATAGAACTTACCTTATAATATCATTGAAATTCTCTTATTGCATAACATACCAGATGCTTCTCTACAATTGTTAGTATTTAGTTAAATTTAAAAATTAAAAAAACCTTTATTATATTAAGAGCCTGATTGAATAATAGAGCTCTAAATTGCATGCATTTATAAATTTTGCACAGGCCTCTTTAAAGAGTCCAAAATTTATGCAACTTTGTTATAAGATTATATAGTATGTTAGAAATTATTTTCGTTTTAGATAGGATAAACACTTCTAATCCATTCTAACTATAACCTCAGTAACAACACATTAGCAAATTTCCAAATCGATGAATAAAAATTAGTACTAATTATGTGTTTGGAATAACTTAATAGAATAATATAAATACATATAATTATAGGCCCTAGTTATAAAAATGAATATAATACATTTAAGACGTAATTATAAATTATTTATGATATCGAAGTTACTGAATATATAAATTTCTATTCTATTATTTCTAATAAAACATGATAACTAGTCAAAATAATTTTAGTGGAGTTTGAACCTCCTTACCTACAACACTGATTAAATTACACTACTGTTTATAAAATGTTTAAAGTTTCATATAATTTTTTAACAATCACAAAATTACTTCATTTTCATTAAAGATGTCTTCAAAATCTGGAATTGATTCGTCATCTTCTGGGGGAGCAAGAATTCTAACCTGTTGATGTTAAGTGAATAAGTTATATAATTAAATTTTTAAAATGCTAAGCCATTAAGGGTTATTTTAGTTTTGGCAAATTTTGTATTTAGTTATCTATAGAAAGATAATTTTATTTGGATTTAAATTATAAGTTAATTATTTTCAACATAGGCAAACATTGCCCTCGTAAAAATTTCATTAAACCTCTGCTTAGCTAATGATTTAATTTAGCTAATGAATGTGGTAAAAAAAAAACAATTCAGATTTATAGTAGATTTTTATAAATAAGTTTTCCTTATTCTATTTTTAAACATATTACTCTAATAATTATATAAGACTAAGCAGATATTTAATAAAAATAATTTAATAGGGGACTAGAATTTTAGATAATTGTATAACTTTCCAATACCAAATTTTTTTATAATATATAATTTATCTTTATTAATCTATGTTTATTTCAATAAACATAAATTAAAGTTTCTTTTTGATACTCTTAAAATTTAAATTTGAAATATGGAAGAAGATCAGACATTTTTAACTATTTACTGGTCTTAGCCTATATAATTTACAATGTTCAAATTATACATACTTTTTAACATTTTAATTTTATTTAATATAATTAAAATTTTAAATACAAAAAGTAATGCTTACTTGTGAACTACTATAGATATTGCATACATCTGTGGGTTTATGACTGTCAATTATAAAAAAAATTACATCTTCATCAGGTTCTAATTCTTCAATTATATCTATTGTTCCTCCACAATTTATTAATACTACATGTTTTACCTAATATATGACGAAAAAACTTTTAATTTAGAGACAAATATTATATCTATTACTTACATCAATTTTCTGTTCATCATAGGCTTTTTTTAATTCTGTCAATGTTTTTACAGGAACAAGTACATAAATTATATTATCAAACCGTAAAATACTTTGAAGGATTTTTACAGCACAAATAGCATCAACATCATAATTGGCCAAAATTAATATTTTCTGTATACAATTATTATTATAAAGTATTTTATAGTTTAAAAGGTGTTATAATTCATTATTGAACAGTGTAAGATATAATTTAAATAATTATGCTTAAGAACTTTCTTTAATATTTATGAAAATGTAAACCTAATCACTACCAAAATAGTTAAATATATTTTTAAAATTAAAATTCTATTACAAAAAATTTTAGTAGTAAGATATACAATTTAAATAAATATATTTATTAATAAAATTTAAACATTTTATATGAAAGTACCTACAGTTTTCAAAATAACATCGTAGAACCCTTTGACTAAATCCTCGACAAACATTATGAATTGCAATCTTAAGGAACATAGATTTTCATATTGAATTTAAAATATAATTCAATACTTATATTGAAACCAATTTACTACATGAATAATAATACAGTTCTAATTGTGCTATCTAATCTCGTACCTTGAATGTTTTATTGTTTATTTTTTAGTTTTTTGTTTTGGCGCGAAAATTAGTGATAAAAATTATAAAACTAAATTTGCCATAAGGTGGGAATGTTTATTACGAATCACTGGCAACACTGCGGCTTTCTTAGTGCTACTTTTTTAAATCATTTAAATATACTCTTATATTTATTATAAGTTCGTACTTTATTTATGTAAATTTTAGTTTCTATGCGAAGCTGTGAAGGTATTAATTTTACTATGATGTGTTTTTTTTTTGTTGTCTGTTTCCACTTTTTCTCAGCTCTCACGTAACCGATTTCTTTCAACGATACGTCAAAAGATCACAAATCGTATCTAGTCGAAGACATTACCCTCAAAAATTCCCTCATTCCCCGTAACTGGGGGAAACCTCCGAAAAAATTACAAATTTAAAAATGGCTAATTTTCGAAATTTTTTCAATTTTTTTTACTAAAAACTGCCGTAACTTTTTCAAAAATAAACATATCAATATAATTCTTTTTTTTATAGATGCATGATGTCATTACCTATCATTTGGTATATTTTTTTTATAAATCTGACTTTTTACCTGCCTACAGGGGGGGATTTAAAATGACAACTTTTTTACAAAAAATTAATTTTTTCAACTTAACTTTTGAAAGTGTTCCGGAAGGTCTGACACTTTTATATATATTTTAAATTAAAGCTAATGTAATATACTTTATCATGGTAAAAAAATATTTCGGACTTTATTTTATCTTCATGGTGAAAACAGACATTAAACTTAATAAAAAAAATACGATTTTTGTAAAAAGATTCTTTTTTATATTTTTAACTTTATAATGCTATAACTTCTCGAAAGATGTATGGATCAATATAATTCTTTTTTTTGTAGATGCATGATGTCTTTACCTATCATTTGGTATATTTTTTTTATAAATCTGACTTTTTACCTGCCTACAGGGGGGGATTCAAAATGACAACTTTTTCACAAAAAATTGACTTTTTCAACTTAAATTTTGAAAGTGTTCCGGAAAGTCTGACACTTTTATATATATCTTAAATTAAAGCTAATGTAATATACTTTATCATGGAAAAAAAAAATTTCGGACTTTATTTTATCTTCAAGGTGAAAATGGCTACCAAATGCTATTATTGTGTGAAAATTCTCAATTTTATTTTTTACATTTTTAACATTATAATGCTATAACTTATTGAAAAGTGTATTGATCAATATAATTTTTTTATGGGAAATACTATTTTCTAATAATCTCTTTTTTATTCTACATACTTTGTCTTAATCAGGATATTAATAAGGAACTAGCAGTTTATGAAGCTTTTGGAATAATCCACCAATTTTTTAAAATTAAACACTATCTAAAGATTTGCATCGAAGCGTTTTTTTTTGATAGTGATTTTAATCACTGTCAGATATCATCTATACAGGACCCAACTATGCCACGTCACTACTGTGCAGCGACCCCCCTGTGCTGGGTTTTTTTATAGTGATTTTAATCACTGTCAGATATCATTATACTTGATCCATCTATACCACGTCACCACTGTGCCGCGACCCCCCTGTGCTGGGTTTTTTTCATTCGTATACAAAGGTTCTCATAAGTATTTTTTAAAGAAATTTTATTTAAGAGATTTGTAAGTATAACATAATTTACTTTATTTGTGCCCATGGTTAGATTCAGGGTTTGTAACATAAATTAAAACGAAACACTAGTATTCAACCATTACATTTATAATTTATAATGAAGTTAACATGATTATTCATATATTTTTTACAGTTGTGTGCGAGTAAATATTAATTAAAAATACAGCCGTAAAATTAGTTGTACACCTATTTTGAATATTTTTGTACAAACGTAAACTTAGACGTATGAAGAAAATTTATTAAGATTTGTTCTGTGTTTATTATTACTGAATATACTCGCGTATTCAATTTTGTCTATATCAGCTGTCTATTATGAAGTTATTAATGATTTTTATTGTGATCCTATGACCTTTATATAACCTGGCTGGCGATTGTTTCAATATTAATTTAAATAAAATTTATCAAAAGATATACTGCTTTTGAAGGCTAAATCAAATTAATTTTTGTGAGTGCTTCCAAATAAAAAAGGTAATTTTTATTTATGTTCATCATAACAAAGTAAGAAAAGAATTATCACAGTTTTAATTTAGTTATTATGTTTGCGATTAGAGTTAAGTTAATTTTTTAATTTATATAAAAAAAAGTCAAATTCATAGTTTGTAATTAAGATAGTATTATATCTATCAAATCTATAGTTTTTGTCTTTTTCAGACTTTCGGTTTACTTACACTATAACGGTGATAATTTCATCTAAGAGGCTTTTTCAGCTCAGCTTTATAGAGGGAGTAGGCAATTTTAAAATATTTTTATCGACTAGTTTGGAAATAATTGGCGCAAATAGTGTTTTAATCGTGGGGGTACTCCATTCCCAGATAAAAAAATGTTTTCTCGCTAAGTATGAAATAATGTGCCTAACCGTATTTTTATATATTAACTAATGTTACTTTCTTGTGTAAGATTAGAAATATATTGTATTTTTATTTAAAATATGACAAATAATATTACATATAAATCTAATAGTTTTAGATGAAAAAAACACTCTTGAACATTTGTTATTAAGATAATTTCAAATTGTATCATTTATTTATAGCCTTAAAACAAAATTATGAATTAGTAGAATGAAAATAAATTATAGACAAATTAAACAAGAAAGTGTAATTCTCTTTTATTTAAAATATTTTAGTTTATTAATGACTACATCTGTTTTTGTATACAAAAACAAATGTCAATAAAATATGCGGTCATCAGAATTTTATCAATCATAATTAATACATTTTTTTTGTATTCCTTTAGGTACATATTAAATCAATTTATCAATCATGAAATATAATTCATGTTTATCCCTTGTACCTAATAAATATGTCAGCTTTATTTTTAAAATAAAAATATACATAATTAATTAGCTTATAAAATGTAAAATTATGAAATTAATAAAACTATGTTAAAATATAAAATATAGGTGAGGTGTGGACTATGTTATATTTATCACTTTATCACATTACTCTGCCATGGTATTCCTACACTCAACATTTAAAAATTTTAATAAATTCCAAAGTGCTGGTCAAAAATTGTTATAGGCTAGTCATTTTCTAAATTAGATCAGTATCTAATAAATAAGCTTGATCAACCCCAAGTATAGTTGGGGAAAAAGCAAGGAAAAAAATTATTTATAAATATTATTTTTATTTTTCTATTAAATACGTGCCTTATTGAATTCTAATGACTGTATATACATATATAAGATAAACCCAGCTTGTGCAGTTTTTGATTTAATGGTAATTGGAACCTGCTTCAATGTAGTAACACCACATATAAGGAATAAATTTATTGTACAGCACCTTTTACTATAATTATTGTATTAAATAATTGGTTATATAAATATAAATAAAAGTTAATGTCCCTTATCATTAACATAAATGCATAATTTGCAGGCTCATAAGTTTTACGGTAATTTGTGGTATTAAAATACCATTATTTCATTACTTTTAATTAGCCAATATAAGTTAGTTTTTAAATGTATTTCATCTGTGTATAGTATACATTATAATGCTTCAGGGGTATAATTTTTGGTTTTAAAATTAAAAAAAATTAAATAAAAAATCATTAGGCCTCAGTAGAATTTCAAATATTAAAGTTGTAAGTTTCAATGTATTTATTGTTGACAAATAAAGTGATTTTTTTTCATAACAAAATTATAAACCTTTGAACCTAAAAAATAAATAGGGGAATAGTAGGGGAATATTTGCAGTGTTAAATTTCTTTTGTTTATATAATTTTTTTAATTTTATTAAAAATACAAATAGTAAAAGGGTTTAAGCAAGCGGTAGGTAATAGAATATTTGCAATATTAATTTTTTTTAATTTATATATTTTTTATTAATTTTATTAATGATCTATTACGCAATAGATAGTCGGAGATTCGAAAGCGTAGTTTAAATTGTACTTTCCTTACGTCCTATGTAATGCAATAATATTTCAAGTAATCCAATGTTGATTTTGGTATTAAATAATGGTAACTCATACAATTTACACTACACGTCATATAGTCAATATAATACTTACGAAAATTGTTCAAATTTTAAATAATACGATTTAATTACAAAAATCTATGACTGATTTTACTTGTAAAAAATTCTAAACACTATATTTTATTAGAAGTAAAATTTATAATTTGTTCTTATTTAATTTTTTATGTTTGTTGAATAAGTATTTTCTTTTGAGAGAATATATTTTATTGAAAGATCGACACCAATATTTCTTAAATCTTCCTTTGGCCTGGCTAAAATAAGATTCAGAAATATTTATATCTATATAAAAAATTTATCAAGGCGGAATTGTAGTGGCCCAATGTGTCCCGTCGCTAGCGCCTTAAAAGGATGCGGCACAATAATCACCAAGACAAAAATTAAACATTAAAAATTTATTTTCGTAAGTTTCTTTGCGCTGTCCGCAGTCACGATGTTCGTTAGAACAAAGATATTAACTTCAAAGACTAGCTATTCAATACACATAAGGTTACAAATATATTCTAATCTAACATACCTAATTCAAGAATAATATCTAATCTCAACCTTTACTTTGTCCGCCGGCGAGATGCTTGTTAAAGCAAAAACATTAAGTTCAATGACTAGCTACTCAGTAAGTATAGAGTTGCAATACACTTAGTTAAATAAATTTATTAATAAATTGATTAAAGTCTCAGTATTAACTAAGAAAATTGTGACCTTTAGCTCTGTCCGCCGGCACGATATTCGTTAGAACAAAGACATTCAGCTCAGAGACTAGCTACCCAATATGAAAATCTCATACATTACACTTATAAATCATATAACTTGTAATCAGGATATTAATAAGGAACTAACAGTTTATGAAGCTTTTGGAATAATCCATCAATTTTTTTAAAATGAAACACTATCTACAGATTTGCATCGTAGCGTTTTTTATGATAGTGATTTTAATCACAGTCAGATATCATCTATACAGGACCCAACTATGCCACGTCCCCACTGTGACGCGACCCTACTGTGCTCGGTTTTTTTTTAATTCGATTCAGTTTATTGATATAATAATTTTATGATTTTAATATCGATTACATGTAGAGTGTTCCACCATAATTTACTAATTTGAACATATAATCTAATATTAATATTAGTGAATCAAGGTGGGTACTCTATAAGCAATTTAAAAAAAAATTGATCAATTAACAATATTAAGCTATGATTATAATAGATAAGACCTTTTTTTTACTAATTATGTATTGTATTTTTAATACATAATTACTTTCGTTATGGGATCAACATATTAAAAAATATATAAAATAATTAAAACGATATAAGAAACATAATCCAATCTATGATTTTTGTTAGAATTTAGACTAGTTTACATCTATCAATAATTGATTTTTAAAAGTACAATTATTGTACTTAAAACTTTTAAAAACATTTCTAAGGATGTAATATTTTTAGAGAAATTTAAAGGTTTATAAATTATTTTGAATACAATGTTTAATTGTAAAAAATAAGTCCTAAATTTTTATACTTATGTTGAACAGAAATTAATATAATAATTTTATATAGTTTACTAAGTCTAATGGAGAAAAAATGTCCAAAACATCTTTTACGTAACTTATACTCAGGTCCTGAGCTAACTATCAAAGAAGCCAAATGTATTATGTCAAAATTTGATGGTGGATCGGTTGATTTGGAGAAAGATGAAATTAACTGCATTGCTAAAATTCAATTAAACAATCCTCGAGTTAAAAATGCAATCAGCGGTAAGAACCAAAATATGTGTTATGGACTTTATTTATTAGGTCTTTTTATAATAATAAATTGTAATGATTAGGTGTAGTTGCGCTAAGTTAAAAAAAATTGTAAGTAAGGCAATATTTTTTTATTTTTAAAATAAAATATAATAAAGGCTTAATTCTTACCAAACCAGTTTATTTATTGTTGGAGACTTTTTGGTAATTCAAGAGAAAAATTTAAAAACAAACAATTTGTTAACTATTCAAAAACAAAAAATGTGTAAAAAATTTAACGATTGAGTTTGGTTTAATATATTACAAAGTTAAATTAAATTTGTTTTTATTACAGTATAAATAAATTGTAATAAAATAAATAAAACTATTTGTATATTATAGTTTATTTGTATAAATAGTTTGAATATTCGAACATGATATTTTTAAAGAAAAACCAACCAATAATACATTTTTATTGTATTGTTATTAGTGGGGCTATTAATATCTCAGTAGGGTTTGTATATTATGCCTAATACATTTTTGATAATTATTTTGACAATTATTATCGAATAGAAATTATTATTTAGGTTATAAAATTTTAACAGCTATATTTTTAAAACTTAAGTGGATTATATACAATCATTAATATTTTAATATTTACATGACAAACATTAACCAACCACCCAGCTTTTTTGGAAGTAAGACAGCTACCCTAGTGGACTTAGGAGTCGGCGTCACTGGTTGGGTGATAAGAAAAATATCTTTTACATTATTTTTGAAAAAAAATAGGGAAAATGATGATCGACTTGGAGAAAATTGTAGACGAATTGGAAAGTTGGAATGAATGTAAAGGAGCTATTTTGTACGGAGCTGATGGTAATTTCTGTTCAGGTGGAGATTTGAACATGGCTAAGAAAGCTAACACTGCTAAGGACGGTTACGCAATGGGCACTTACATGCATTACATACTAGATCGCTTTCAAAAATTACCATTTATCACCGTTGCTTACATTGATGGCACAGGTAATTTTTATTAAATAAAAAAAAGTTTATCAATTTACTACTATATTAAAATTTAGCAAAGTATAGAATTTTAATAGGTTTCATAATAGGACTTCCGATTCTTAGATAGGTCAATGATGTATTAATAAATTTTAGTATTTATGTTTATTAGTATAGTTTCATATTAATGAATTTTTTTATATATATATAATGTCCTTTCAACTAAGTTACATAATATTTGTACTGGAGAGGACAGGAAAATGTGTACAGTTTAGTTTTTTTTTAAATATTGGTGGATTATTCCAGAAGTTACATGACCTCCTATTTCCTTATTTATATCCTGATTACAAGTTTTATGATTTATAAGTGCAATATACGAATAAATATATATATATATATATTTATAATAGATAAAGGGAAATGGTGTTATTTAAAAAAAAAGTATGTCGAATGAAAAAGGGATATAAATATTATTTCTCATAAAAATTTTTTATTGATCCATACATTTTTCAAAGAGTTATAGCATAATAAAGTTAAAAATTAAAAATATAAAATCGAGAATTTTTACACAAAAATAGCATTTGGTAACCATTTTCACCGTGAAGACCGTATTTTGACATTTTTTTGGAAAACTAACGGATTTTCTTCTAAACCGGTTAGACTTAATTTATACAAAACAAATAGATCTAAAACTTAGTTTTAATATATTTTTTTTTGTAACAGCATTAATTTACGAGTAAATTGCAAAAAAAATTTAATAATACTCCTTTTAGCCAATTTTTAACTCTAAGTTGACACGGATTAAAATTATGTATACGGCCTGAACTTTTTTGTAGTTAATTTTTTTTTGCATACACACAAATTTGGTGGGTGAGTTCAAAGAATTTCCAAAATTTTAAAAATATGGGCCACCCTAATGTTGATACATGAAGTAAGTATATAACCGGTAGAGTATGCATTATAAATATACACCAGTATAAGTTATACTCTTGCCATACTATGTATTAAAATGCTATATAGATATATATTTATATAATTTTTTGTAATCAGTTTTTATTTTAAGGAAAAACAATAAAAGACATAAATAGAGTTGGCTGTGCCAACCACTTATTTCACACTGGCGCGTCAGTGAGAATATTAGACTACGTTCACTCCGATTTTATTTGTTATAAATTTAATTTATGAATGAACCCTTACTACCCACCCTGAATTGCGCTTATTTATAGTCTATAATTTTTAGGTGCATTAGGTGGTGGTGCTGAACTATGTACTGCTTGTGACTATAGACTGATAAATCATTCTGCAACCATTGGTTTTGTACACGCACGAATGGGTGTTATCCCAGCTTGGGGAGGTGCCGGTCGTTTAATGAAAATCGTTGGCCACCAAAAGACCATGGACTTACTATTAGAAGCTAAACCAATACCTGCAACTCATGCCTTACAAATGGGATTGATTGACGGTATAGTGAATACTTTCTCAGATGCAGTCCATTGGTTGCTACATAGGGTTAGCAAGTATCCAATCGATGTTATCAATGCTATTAAATATTTACGAATAACTTACCACCAATGTCCAGAAACTACTAGCCTAATGGAACGGAAAATAATGGCTCCTCTTTGGGGAGGTCCCGCTAATCAAGCTGCTCTACAACAATATATTAAACATAAATAAATTGAACCTTGATAAGTTTAATATTTATTAAAATTTTTGAGAAAAACTGTTTGATGTGTTTAAATTCAAAGCTCTATTAGCGAATATGTATAGATTAATAGAAATTTACACTTCTAATACTTAACGAAGTAAGTTTTTATCTTTCAACGTAATCATTATAACTGTTTATATGTTGTTTATTTGAATTCCCGGACATCTTAGCATTATTATTTTATACAATCTGTTAATCCGAGTTGGGAAAATTCATTTTTAAATGGAACTCGTTCTATTCCTTGCTCACTTCCTATTATAGAAACTTGATCTTTATCTGATATTGATATTGTAATAATAATATTGATATATTTTATTTACACGTTTAAAAAGCACTTACGCGAACTTAAAAAATAATCCATACTTAATGAATTGAGAGAAACATTGAACTAAAAGAAAACAATAATAAAGTTATCTGTATTATTATTATTTTTCGATTAATTAAGAGGCTTATGATAAAAGAATGACCCTGTAAATTAATATGTCATTTTCATTTTATTAAAGAGAGGATGGTTACGACTGAATCAGAAAGGGACATAGAATACATAATACAGATATATAGGTTCGTCTGTTTTTAATACAAAAAATATTCTTATTAGTTAACGTAAAAGTACATGTTTATTTATAACGTCTAGAAATAGAAAAAAAAATTAGAAACACTAAAATTTAAATGAATCGTAAATTATGTTCATATTTCTCATAAAAATTAATGCGTTTACGTTCCTCATCCTTAAATTTTTAAAGAAAGCAGTTCCGAGCATTATTCATACGAAAAGAAGTCCTGCCAGGAATCCGTTCTTTTTGAAACAAATTTCACCTAACATTGTTGTAAATAAATCAAAATTAGATCTAAAATACATATAAACAGTATGCATAGTATGTATACTATATATATGATCGATTTGTTATTAAAATTAAATGTAAATTTGTTCAAAATCAATTTTATTAAATTAATTAAAGTATTTTAATTAATAATTTTAGCTATAAAAGTGTTTTAAATATCAAAGATCTCTTTTTAAAATTAATCTATATAAAACACCTGATGATATTAATATTAATGTTTCCCTAAATTATAGTTTATAGGTAATATAACAAAACAACATTGTTTTGTTGAGAAATGTCAACACACATTAAAAAAACCTAATTATAATCGAGATTTTTTTTTTAATTTTTAATTTAAGCTAATTAGTTTTAATACTTGCACCTTAGAAACATAAACTTCCCAACAATTTTAATTCCATATCCTATGTATTTCTTAATTTCTGAGTCTTTCATGTATACACCTCATTCTAAAGTGATATCTTTACTTAGATGATCTGTCACAAAAATAATATTTTTGTCGATTATGAAGATATATGCTTTTCTTTGGAAACTTTATACAAAACAAATTCTTTATTCCTATTATTTGAGGAGATACTTTATTATAAAAAACATTTTACCATTGCTTTTAATACAAAAATGTTAATAAAATGGCTTCTCCTTGAAATAAAAAAAAATGGATTTATCTGGTTGTTGCACCAAACCCTTAATTTTTAAATAAATTATGTTTTAAATATATTTTTATAAGATTAATATAATATTAAATGTTATAAAAATACATCTCAAATATATAAGCAATTATAAGTTCGTACGTATAATACTTTATAGATTGTTTATCTAAATATCTGAGTACATTAACAACACTTAATCCAAAATTACACACATCTATTATCAAGATGTTCTAGTCTAACATCACCGAGTGAATATCTTGAATACAGTCTAAGTATTGTTCTTCTCATTTTATTTTCCAACCTTTTCAATAAATTAACTGAATAAATGTGCTATAAAATTAAAGAAAAAAATAATTACTAAAGAAAAGTAACAGAGCTTTTTCGAAATTAGCGATTGCTAAGTTCGATTTTGTTATTAGGATTTTTTTATCAGTCCTGATAACTTAATCTATTACAAAACGCAGAATAAATACAAAAAATAAAAATAAATTGTTAAAAATTATGTAGTTTGTGGATTTTCCATAATACGCAAATTGTAAATTTTGTAAATTCTATAAGTGGTGTAAAAATAATTCCTCCATCATCAAATTTTCACCAGACATTTTAATTGCCTAAAGGTAAGTACTATGTAAATTTGAAAAAAAAATTCGTACAGTTACTTTTTTTAATGAGATGATAAAGTTGGCTATTTTCAGCAAACCTTGTATGTTCAAGACCGTAAAAGCATACAAAAATAAATTATAAATCGATTCAAATATGATATAGGTTCAAAGAACACAACTAAAAGTTTCTGAAAAGAAAAAAAAATATATCAAAAAATATTTTGACCTTCAAAGTTTGCTATTAAAATATTGCAAAATTTTAAAAATTTTAAAGTATATAAAACATAAAGGTCTTGATGCAATACTTAAAAAAAAATTGTATATTATTTATTAATAAATTTACTGGTCTACAAGAAATTTTCATCAGAGACCCAAATATATTTGTCTAAACCCATTTTTGCACAGATTTCAAATCTGCAATTAGAGTTTCGTAGAAGTCCTAAATAATAACAATATCTTTCTAATTAATATAATAAATATTTATATTTGATTATTAGGTTACATATGAATAATCTATAAATATATCTTAATTAAAAATAAATTAACTTATTATACTTAATAAATTAACTTAGATGTCCGTTTTCACTATGAAAACAAAACTAAGTCCGAATTTTTTTTTTTTTTGCATATATATGTATAGTTAACCCTTAAGTATATTACAAAAACTGTATTGATCTATACATTTTTCAAAAAGTTACGGAAATATAAAGTTAAAAATGTAAAATATAAAATTGAGAATTTTCACACAATAATAGCATTTGGTAGCCATTTTCACCGTGAAGACAAAATAAAGTCCGAAATATTTTTTTCCATAATATAGTATATTACATTATCTTTAATTTAATATATATATAAAAGTGTCAGACCTTCCGGAACATTTTCAAAAGTTAAGTTGAAAACGTTAATTTTTTGTGAAAAAGTTGTCATTTTGAATCCCCCCTGTAGGCAGGTAAAGGGTCAGATTTATAAAAAAAGTATGCCAAATAATATGTAAATACATCATGTATATATAAAAAAAAAAAATTATATTGATCCATATATTTTTAAACAAGTTATAGGATTATAAAGTTAAAAATATAAAAAAGAATTTTTTTACAATAATCGTATTTTTTGTTATTAACTTTGATGTCTATTTTCAAGTTAAAAAAGTTCTACTTTCTATATGCATATTTTAAATTTGAACCCCCTCCTCGTATAAAGGGAAATGGTCCGATTAAAAAAAAAGTTATGTCTCAGCTATGCATTGAAGCTAAAAAACATATGGTATAACTTATACCTTCTCAGCTTCGCATCGAAGCTAAAATGTTTGTCCGACGATTGTTCAACTATGGGAAATTTGACACTAAAGTAAAACCAGACCTGTACTTGAGTAAAAGTATTTAAATAAAAATATTCGAATACTTATTGGTATTTAATACTGTATATTAATTCTTTTTTTCTGGAGTATTTTAAATACTTTTAAAGTATTTTGTATTTAAAAACAAATATTTTTCTAAATACTATTAAATGAGCTCTATTTTATCCCTCTTCGTCATCATTTAGTAAAACGATATTGGTAAGTTTAAAAATTTATATTCATCGATTTAATAATAAAAATTGTATGACCAATTCTTTCATTGCTTCCCTTTTTTCACGGTTATTAAATAGTGTTATTAATAAGTCTTGTAGTTAAATATCAATTTGTCGTTTAATTAGCTACAATAAAATATTAAAATACCACATCAAAATTTGTTTGTCATAATAAACCTTGTACTTTTTGATTGACTGTTTACTTATCGATTAATAACACTTTTAAATAAATTTTTATACAACAATTTATTACTTTTTAAAATTTTGCAATTTTAATACAAACATTTTTCTTTAACTTTGATGTTCAATTTATTAAAATGATTCATATTAAATCTACTAAAAATGAATCCAAACATTTAAACATGTATTTATATATTTCAGGTACAAAAAATACTACAATTGATATTAATTAATTTTAAAATTCATATTAAATCTAACAATTGTTTTATTTTTTAACATGATAATAATTTTTATTAAAGAATTCATTTTTTTTTGATAAACAGAAATATTTGGGTCATTATATGACTAAAATATTTTTATGTGATTATATTATAAAGACAACCTTAAACGTTTTATAAATAATTTATTCAGCTTGATAATTAAAACAGTTATTTATTCTAATGAAATTAAGTATTCATATACATATAAATATTATATATAAAATGGTTTCTCATAGGAGCCATATAATATAGGCTCAGTATAAAATATGTTATTTGATTTAAAAAATTGTAAAAATTACCTCCAGGTAAATAAGAAAATTTACATAAATTAAGACAAGAATTTACACGCTATGATTATAAATATATAATATTTACAATAATAAACTAATTAAACAGAATTAATAACAATAGTGATATAAAATTAATACAACAAAATAAATCCAAAAAATGCCATAAAAGAGGAATGACAATGAAATACTACCCAAAACAGCTACAAGCAAGAAATATATCAAATCAATTTAATATAAGACGCCAGTAAAAATTATAAAAGCAAGTCATTCAATAGGAGACTTGAGCAAATCACAATACTGATTTAGTGCTTCAGTTAAAGAATCTGTCACTTGAGGTGAATTAGTAGTAATTTTTATACATTGAACAAGTGACGGATAAAGCCCAACCAGTTGTTCCCAAATAGCTTTATTTACTAGAATAAAATAAAAAACAAATTTACAAATTGTATAGATTTCCATTTAAAAACAATTAAATTGATTAATTAAATATTTGATTTTACCTTTATCAGGTGTCTTTTTTAGTGAAATTATAAGTGTTGCAATGGCTTTTAACACAAATGATATTTCTGACATTCTATATCTAAAAGACATGTATAGTGTAAAATACAAATCTATTTAAGAAGTTTTTGATTTTTTAAATTAAATTTATGTATATATATACATATACCTTATAACTAAAGGTCCGAATTTAATTTTTTACATATTTTCTTGGGGTGCTCACAGTAAAATGGTGTGTGTAATCTCAACAATTTGTGAAGCTTTTAATTAAATAGTAAAAATTTTATTCTATATTTGGAGAATATTTTATTTAAGATAAATATTTAGAATACAAAAGAGTATAAATGAATATATTGATTAATTTGTAATATTTGTTTTTGTAATTGTGTTATAATTTACTTTCTTATACAATTGAACTAATCTTGAGGGTACTATCATAAAAAAATTGAGTTTGAAAAATAAGGACCACCCTAACATATAGTTTGTATGGAATGTGGGTGGAGTTTATGTACACTAATACAAATCGCTACATACCTACTCTATATATTAAAATGGTTGTAAAACAATGAGTACTAGTTTTTCTTATTTAATATCAAATTTATTGTAAGAAAAAATTATTTTTAAGGGTATTTAAGGGTAATTTTCGAAAGTTAAATGGGAATTTATAATTATTTTTTTATTATCAGATGGAGAATTTTGATGTGTACATTTTTATAAAAAAATTATTATTTATTAAAAATATTGTGGCTAGTAATCTTAATAAATTACACTCTATAATAAAAATTATGCTTTAAACGTAGTCTAAAAAAGCAATATTTTTTTTTAGTGTCAACGAAATGATAATTGGATTAAAAGTTATAAGCATTATCAGTGAGATCTGAGAAACTATATACTTGTTTGTTTGCTACAACAACACAATACAAAAAACATGACTATACACAAATCAAGTTTGAAAATTTAATTTACAATTAGATGATGACAAATTATGTTCCAATTTTATATTTATTTACTAGCTCATTTTAATGAAATCTGAGTATTATAATAAACTCTTTTCATGCTTTTAATTCTTACCTACAACAAATTATTATTATAAAATTAAGTTATTATAAATTTTTTAACTTATGATAATAATGATAAAGCAGTTAAGTCGCAACTGACACCTAACGATAAATTTTTTTACGTTCACTTATGTCGTTTAACTAGTATAAAGAAATATTATGAAATAGTATTTTAAGTATTACTATTTGCAAATAACTCAAAAATTACAATTTTTGTATTATGACATTGTTGTACCAAATAAGTAATATACATCTAATGTAATATAATATATATATATATATTATATAACAAAATTATTTAATATAATGTAATGTATAAAAATTCTAAAAAAAAAAAATAAAAAAAAAAAACCAATTTAATAATGTTTACCTAGGTAAAGGACATTTTCCTGTTAAACTTTGGTCATGACAATATTTTTTTACAACTTCTTGAAAACGATGCAAAAGAGCCGTCACTGCTAATTTTCCAGTTATAGCTTCAGTATTTTCATCTTCAATAGAACTATTGATAAGAAATAAATTTCCATTGTCTGCTGAAATCCCATCTACAAGTGAAAATTGCAACAAAGTTTCAAAACACACTTTAGCAAATTCTTCTCTTAATCGGCTGTCTACTTCATAGCCTAACAAAAATAGCATTCAAATATATAAAAGTAGTTTTTTGTAGTAATAAATATTATTCTTAATAATTTTAATAACTATTAAATTCTGGTTGCTTAGTTTCATACCATAAGAATAATTATTCTGAGTTGATAGTACAGATCCCTTATTAAGTAATACTACAATTCTCATTATGAATTCTCGTGGCACATTAGTCGCTTGAGATAAAACTTCATCTTTAAGAAATTCAACCAATTGACAGTCAATAACTTCATTTTCATTAGCTTCATCAACTTTTTGGTGTTTTGAAGGTAATCTAAAAGAGCACAAATAAATAGTAAAACATTTTTTTTTAGTTAATAATTTAATTAAATTTACATTTTTGGAAATAGAATGTTTTCTAGTAAAGTACCCAAAGGTGACCAAATCAATTGAAAATCTCGATAATTATTTCTAGCAAGAGGTATTCCTATAGATAAAATACTCATTAAGCTCACAACACAAAGCTTCCATGTATTTTGGTGGCCAGGTTCATAACGTTTAGCTAAAGGTATTGAAAAAACCTAAAAAATATAGATAATACAAATTAAATTAAATTAAAATTTCATAAAAAAAATTGAATATATAATAACATACATCAAGAATTTGCTTCAGAATATTGCCTTGTATAACAACTGGTTCAGCAGCTGATATTTGATAGAGATTAACAGCCATCAGAATAGACTTTTCACCAAACGCAATAAAATTTATGTCATACTATAAAATAATACATATTTTCATATATAATTTATTTATTAAATATATTTTTTTAAACCAAACCTTTTGATCAGATGTTCGAGAACCATTTAATTGTTCAGGGTAACAATAAACAAAACGGCAAAATTTTAACACTTGTTCAAATAGAGGACAAATGAATTTATTTAATGTATCCCTATTGGTTAGTGTTTCTTTTTGTAGTAATTCTAAGCAGTTTAATATTTCTTCTTGTAAACGAGTTAGAGCCATGTTGTCTGAAAGAACTGTTGGAGACATTTCACCACGAACTGGGTATTCAGCTGCTTCATCCAAAATGCGAAAGAAATTAATTAAATCTGTTTCTGAAAAACTAATCAAAAAAAATTCAACACATAATAGTATAACAGATAATATTTTTATAACATTTCAAACCTCATTTTAATATGAACAAAAATACAAGGAAAAATTTGAACTAGAGCTGTTAAAAAAGCCTGAGGTGGTATGCGATCGGATTGATTATTTTCAGTAGCTATTCTTAACCAAACTTTCCAAGTAATTGTCCATATTTCTATGGGTATTTCTATGTGATTTTCAGATTTACTTATATCATTATCATTATCCAATTCTTTAGTATCATTCACATAAAGTAATTCATGTAAAGAACGCAAAGCCGCTAGAGAAACCTGAGTATATTTATCAAAAGAAATTTAATTACAAATTAAACATATAAAATTATCAAATTTTATGAAACAAAATAAAATTGATATTTAAAAATAATTAAATTATTAAAGAATCATACAAACATTTTATAATTAATAATCTAAATTTATATTAACCATACTATTATACATTAAACATTTCAGAATATATAGCTAAATTACAAAAAAAAAAAAAAAAGAAAGGAAAACATTAGACCTACTAATTGAACATTTTTTAGCTTCGATGCAAAGCTGAGAAGGTGTTAATTTTACTATGTGAAAAAAGTTCAACAAATTTATTAAATATTTATTCATATATTATACTAATACATCATAAAACTAGTAATGAAGATAAAAATAAGGAAATAAAAGTTCATTTTGCTTTTGGAATAATCCACCAATTTTTTAAAATTAAACACTATCTACAGATTTGCATCGATGTTTCTTATGATAGTGATTTTAATCACTGTCAGATTAAATCTATACCCAACTATGCCACGTCCTCACTTTGCAACAGTATTTTTTTTTTTTAAATAATTTTTTTGAAATTATTAAAATTAACTACAGAATTTTTTTTCAAATAAAAGCTGTTAACACAGCTGCAAAGTGTTATTAATATTTTAAATAACATTCTATATATAATTATTTTCATTATTTTTTTATACAATAAAAAATTTATTTCAAGGAATAACAAATACAATTTTTTTTTTTAAATTGTTAAAATTTAAAATTTCTTAATATATTTTATGAAATTTTTTTAAGGCAAACAAGAAGCCATCCATAAATTACATCACACGGATTTTAAAACTTTTAAACCCCTCTCCCCGTCCTTGTCACAAGTTGTCACATTTTTAGAACTCCCTCCCCCCTGAAGTGATATCACACATTTTTTAACTTATATATGTATTTAAAAATAAACTTTTTCATAAAGTATTGACTTCATCTTGTACGTTTTTTTTTTTTTTTTTTTCAGCACAGGCTGCAATGTAGGCCGTTTCGCTGCGCTACTGTGTCGGTTGGATCGGGCTCTGCGGGGCTACGAAACGTCGGCACGAGCGCAGTTTCCCTAGCTCGAGGAATCGCGTGCAACCTCAGGTTGCGGATAGAGGAACGGCCTGACGGGAGCAGTGCTCCTGGAGGTTCGGAGTATCGGTGCTCAAGCCGACCAGCTGACCGCCAAAATTCGGGAAGCGTTGGACGGCATGGACGTCCACGTACACCGCCCAGCGAATTCTGTGTCGTTTATGTTGTTGGACGTGGAGGAGGACGTCGTAGGGTCGTTGACCGTTATCCTCTCAAAAGAGGGAGCAACGGCGACCGCCGGTTCGGTGTCAGTCCGACTGCACGGGAGTGGCAAGGGCCGCTTCGCGTGATGCCCATTAGGGCTGCGCAACCGCTAGTAGGGTTGACACGGCTACGGGTGGGTTGGGCACGTACCGGTCCGGGTCCTAAAAAACAAGGGACCGCGCTGTTACAAGTGCCTCGAGAGGGGGTACATGCAGACGCCTGCAGCGGTCCCAACCGGACCGGTTCGTGCTTCTCGTAAAGGGGAGTGGGCTACCTCGGGCAGGGACTTCCCGAAGAAGGTGGGAGGACCGGAGAAGCCTACCTAAGGTATCATCTCCTGTCCTCTCGCTACTGTGTGTATTCTGTATTTTTGTGAATTTTTATGCCAACCCACAGCAAAGCCCTACCCCTACCTCCACGCAGTGCGACCTGGACAACGCAAGAGCTCATTGGGATTAAATTCCGGACCAGCTGGTCGACGTGGTTCTTTAATACCTCCACCTGAAGAGTTAGGAAGACGTCCTAGTTTAATTATCAGTGATGAAGTAAGTTGTATCCATAGATCGTATCACCTAAATTAGGTGATTCTTAAAGATTACTATTCTTTATTTTTTTATTTCAACTTCTACCTTGCTATATCTTATATATTCTTTACTTTAAATAGTTTTCTATTCCGATTTGTTTTAATATCCTTAGAGCTCAGTAGATGAAGATCATTGCCATATTATAGTTTTCACTTTTAATTGCTTTTCACTTATAATACTTAATTTAACAATAAGTAATTTAATTTAAGAAACTGAATCTTCGTAGTCAAAATCTATAGGCTAACGGGGGAGGCTACGTCGTGTTGTTGTGACTCAGCTCTTAATTAATTTCGGGTTGAATTACAACACGGCGGTTTGAGTTTTAATGCGACGTTGGACGTCCTGAAGAAATACCTCACGGTATTTCCAGAGCGTCCAACAATATGAAAAAAAAAAAAAAAGGCTGCACTGTATATATTAAAAAGTCTGCGGTGAAGACTACCTAGATCAATCTTTTTATTCATTTTAAAATTATTTAATAAATTAAAAATATTAAAATAGTTTAACGGAGAAAACTATGACTGTCACTCAGCGAACGTATACTATTAGCGAGGCGCAACAATTGTGTGCATGCTGATACGGTTCAGCTGCGATCTTATGTACGGGTTTTGGATGACCGGCAGTGTTATCCATCAGTATAATATTAGTATATTACTATACTGGTAATTTATTTTTAGAATTAACTATGTGTACGCTCGTTGTTATCTCTAGCTACATAATACTAAATACTACTAAATACTGTATATACTAAATGTGTTTTAGTATTTTAAATTCGTAATCAGTTGCTATAATCAGTTGCTATAATAGTATAATCGATATTATTATTTTCATTTCTATTTTCTACTGCGACTTTTAAAATAATAATACGTGTATTGTGTTTTATTTTATTATATTTAATTTGACAATTTATTATACCTATAACTAGTGGTATTATATTTAAAGTCGCACCTACACCACCAACACCCACAAACTACCACTGCGTGAGAGATAACCTAATAGCGAGAGTGCTTAATTATTTATAAATATAGATCAAGTTCGAACATTTTTTATTCACATATAAATTTTGTGTTTTAGTATTTTAAATTTTAATATGTGACTTCACAAAGCTTTTGACTCCCCTGCCCCTTGTCATACTATGTCACATTTAGGTGATACCCTCCCTCCTATTAACGTGTGACGTAATTTATAGATGGCCCCAACTAGTTAAAAATAAACAAATTTTGGTAACACATCAAAATAAAAATTTAAACTGTTACCTCCATATTTCTATTTGTAGCAGCATTTTCTAAAAATTCCAATAAATATGACCATGCTTTTACAAAGTCTCCAACTTTACATAAAGTATATTTTTCGGTATTAAAAACTCGAGCTAAACCATACAATGTAGAGACCTAATAATAATTAAGTTTAAAAATAGTGTTCTAATAGTGAAAAAACATATATTAGTTTTTAATACTTGAGTTTCAGCCCATTGTTTTTGATCTGTATTACGAGAATGATGAATAAGAATATTTCTACCTGATTCTACTTTAGTGTCACTGGCTGAATTACATAATGATTGAACTTTGGTCATCAAAGGGAATAATACCTTTCAAATAAATTTTAATACTAAAAATTATGCCAAAGGTTTTATTTAGAAAAATTATAAATATTTTACCTGCCACAAAACAGCATTCCAAGATGATGGATTGAGCATTCCTCCGTGAGCTGATATGGTTGAAAAAAGTGTTTGTCCAGCTGATTTTCGTACTGCTGGTCTAGGGTCAATGCATAATTCACCTAGTTTATTTCAAAAATAAATTAAATTATCATTAGAATATTATCATTTAAATTTTTATTGGTTGTTAAAATACCTAATTTTGTAAATAAACACATCCAAAGTTTATCAAATTCTGGCATTTCAGATACCCCTGGAAAATCAGGAAATACAACCGATCCATCACTAAGTGATTGAGATAATTTATCTTTATTTTGATAAAAGTAATCTGCTACATTCCACTGTACAGACATAAAAAAAATTATGAATGCAAGGAGGTATAATCATTAATTACTGATTTTTTAATTAAAATAGAAACATAATTTACCATTAATCCAACAGCTGTTAAAGAAATATTCAATTCTCGAGTTTGCAAACCAAATTTTGATGTGGTTTCCAAACAAAGAGGTAAGCACTTCCAAGGCATCAGCGGTAAAAAGTCAGTAACAACTAATTGGAGGCATTGAAATGCAATTCTTATTAAATTTTCACTAAAACCAAAATCTATCAGCTATCATTGCTATAAATTTTAAGCTACAATTATTAATATACCCATGCCTGTCAGAAACTGCACCAACAATATTAAGAACCAATGGCCATCCATGTGATAAAGTTTCTCCAGATCCATGTAAAACTTGTAAAACACACTCCAATTGTCTTTGCCTTACATCACCATGCATTACACAAGATAATTCTGATAAAGGACTTAATAATAATGTTTGTAAACGCTAAAAATTAAAAATATAAAATTTTATTTATACAAACGTACATAATATAAAACAAAAAATTGTATAAGTTAAAATTATACACATTAAAACGATATACATTAAAAAATTATTTAATAAAAATAGAATATAATACCTGATTTTCTTTTAAAGGTGGCTGATATTTATACTGCAAAGCTGCTTTCACTAAATAAGTTATCGCTTCAACACCCCATTCACGCATTCGTATATGTGGATGTTGACACACTTCTAACATATGATTAGTTAAAGGCCTCCATAAAATTTCTATTCGAGATAAATTTACTAGGCCAGTTTCCAATAGTTTTGCTACAGCAAATAGAGATGGTTCCTAATGTGAACATATTAAGTTACTACTCAATAGATTTTAATTGTTCTCAAGACATACTCTATTACAATATGCTAATTCCATTGCTTCATGAGATAATTTACAAAGAGCATCAATTAAGTGGTGTAAAGCAACATCATTTAAATAACAACTTGATTCAAATAAACGACTAAGCATTGTTGATAAAACTGGCAAATCAGCTATAACAGCAGTTGTTATAACAGCATTAGCATCAGATCCTGGGCGACTTGCTTTTAAACTTCCACCAGTCGAAGGTTTCAAACCAAGAATCCATACAAGATGCTAATAAAAATAATTATTTAATTCTAAAATTAAATAAATTAAGTTAAAAATTAATAATTGTATGAATAACCTGCAGTGTTGTTAATACAAGGTGCCATGAAGAACCTAATATTGAGCCATGACAATGTGATAACACTAATAGAGCTCTCATGCACTGCAAATTTTTAGCAGTAAGCATAACAGGTCCTTGATTGTGAACTTGAATATTTTAAGAAAATTATTTAATAAAAATAAAATGAATAACTATTATATAATTCAATAATTTACCAGAAGTTGTTAATGCTAACGTAGCTAAAGGTGTACCCACAGCAACTACTTGTTGTTTATAATCTGACTCTGAACCATACATAGAGTTATACTGAGGTTCATCAGAATTATTAGAAAACTGAATACCTAAAAAATCAAAGAATCTTATTATTTAGTTTATTATTAAAACTAAACATTTTCTACAATTAGAATAAAGTTATTTTATAAATTATAGAAACTTTACTGAAATTTTTTTTATTCAAAAATATTTGTTTAGAAACGTTGCTTAAAAGGAAGTATATTAAAGGAACATTTTTCGTAAATATTTTATTTTATTTGTTCTACTAAGCAGGGTGTGGAATGGATATTTTTGCGAATTCATTCATTATCGAATGAATAAATTATAGTAAGTTTAACTTCTGATGTCTTATGAACTTTATTCTATGTCAATTAAATTATATAAAATTCATGAAAGTCAGTTTATTCCCCTTGTAAGATATTTTAAAATAAAATACATAACCCAGAATTTATCATAAAAATAGCATATTTTCGAATACAATAGACATTTACCTCAAGAAGAAAATCTATATTTCGAATTTTTTTTTTTTCATAGTTAAGTATATAATATAAGCTTTAATTTAAGATTAAATATAAGTGTCAATATTTCCGGAACATTTTCCAAAATTAAGTTGAAAAAGCTTAACTTGTGTGTGAAAATTGATTTGTTGAATCCCCTGTGGTCAGGTTTACAGTCAGATTTTCAAAAAATGTATATCAAATAAAAGAAAAATATTATAGGTTTCAATATAAAAAAAAATGATTTTAAATTTTATATTTTTCAAAAAGTTATGGTAGTTTTAAGTATTAAAATATTTCATGTTAAACAGTGATTTTTACATAAAAATTACATTTTTCGTTAAATTCCACGGTTATTTTCTCATAGAAGAATAGGTGTCACGACAAATTTTATATTTTAAACTTATAGTATTTATTGTAAGCTTTAATTTGACATATGTATAAAGGATGCAGTATTTCCAGAACATTTTTAAAAGTTAGATTGAAAAAATTGATTTTAGTGAAAAAGTTGCTAGTTTAAAGTAAAGGTTCAGTTAAGTAAGGCAAATTTAAAAAAATGTATATTAAATGAAAGGAAAATAATTAAGGTTTTAATAATAAAAAAATGTTATTTTGATTTGTTAATATTTCAATAAGTACAAAAAACATCACGATAGAAGATGATTCTTTTCGCAAATATTACATTTTTTGCTGAATTTCGGCGGCCATTTGCACATAGAAGAAAAGGTGTCTGGACAAATTTTTTTTTTTTTTTAACTTATAGTATTTGTTATAAGCTTTAAATTAACATATGTTTAAAGGATGCAGTATTTCCGGAACATTTTCAAAAGTTAGGTTGAAAAAGTTCTACTTTTTATACGCATGACATAAGTTTTGAACACCCTCTGTATAAGGAAAAATAGTCCATAAAAAGTATGCCAAATGAAAGAAGTATATGTAATGTATTAAAAAGAAAAAAAAAATTGTATTGATACATACATTTTTCGAAAAGTTATAGCAATTTAAAGTTGAAAATTTAAAATCGAAAATTTAAACACAAAAATAAAATTTTATAACTACAATAGGTGTTTGCACGTAAAAGATAAGGTGTCGGGCTAAATTTTATATATGTTTAAAAAACGCAGTATTTCCGGAACATTTTCAAAAGTTGCTATTTTAAATCCCCCCTTGTTAGTAGGTTAAGTGTATGATTTTCAAAAAAATGAAATCAAATGAAAGAAAAATATCTAAGGTATCAATATAAAAAAAAATTATGTTTATTTATTCATTTTTGAAAACGTTATGGTAGTTTTAAGAAAAAAAAATGAAAAAAATATTAAAATTTACCAATTTAAAAATTGTAATTTTTTGGGGGATTTTCACTATTTACGGGGAATGAGGGAAAAATTCTTAATTATTGAGAGTAATGTTTTTAACTAGATATGATTTGTGATATTTTGACATATCGTTGAAAGAAATCGGTTCAGTGAGAGCTGAGAAAATGTGGCAACAGACACAAAAAAAAAAACACATCATGGTAAAATTAATACCTTAGACCTTAGTTAATAAAGAATTTTTATTATTCACACCTTATGTCTTATAAAAGTAGTATATAATTTCTTTAAATGGCAATATTAATTGGATAATGATCGAATTAAGAAAATGATTGTTCAAAAACCACTTCTGTGTCAGTATACTTTAGAAGTTTTGAACATTTATATACGAGATGAAAGGAAAAATGTTTAATGATATAAACACTTATATCTGGGCCTCTTTCTCAGTCTACTTTATAAAACCGTTAAAACTTTCAGAAGTTGTTATCAACCAGCCATCTTCTTAACTAGATCATTTTCTATTTTATTAACTAGTTAAACATTTATGATCATTTAAAAAATTAAATTGAATTAATTAAAATTATCTTTAGTGTTTAATTAATTATTATACTAATATTTTTATCTTATAAACAGTAGAATTTAGATTAAATTTTTTAAATATATCTGTGAATTGGAAATGTCCTTTGAAAACAGAAATGTACTTTAAGGAGGTAATGTGATAGTACTGTCATTAGAAAACCCAAATTGATCATTTTATACCTTTTTTTTAAATTAAACTAAAATTATAAAAAAAACACTTTATAAAATATCATTAGGTTAAAACTATTATCATACAATAGATACTGCATATCGATTTTCATACAATTTGATTTTTAAATATAAACAGTAAAAAAAATCATACAACATACCTATGGACTGTATAGATGTGTTCAAAACTGTCAAAGTATAATGTGGCGGTAAGCACGCTTTACATACAGTTGTAATGAATGCATCTCTTGGCACTTGAAGGTCTAGTAGGCCACAAAGACTAATGTACACTTGCATTGATTTTAAAATGTTTTCCATAATACTTTCATCAGTACTGTAAAAAAAGAAGAAAGTTTTAAACAATTAAAATACTAGATATAAATACTAGTACAACAAACCATGATTCCATTAATGGGCTGAATGCACTTAACAACCCACACCAGCTTGAATCAATAAGTTGTTTATGTAATTCTATTTTTTTATTTACAGTTGGTTCGATAACACCATTTGTTTCATTAGTTATAGAAGTAACTCCTGAATTTATTATTGTTAAAGGTGCAGCAGTTGTGTTTATAATATGTACTTCATCCAAATTTTCACCACTTATAATATCTGGTTGAACTTCTATTTGAATGGCACGGACTGCATCAATTAAACATGCATATGCAACTGAAATACCATAGCCATCAGGTATGGGTGGTGGCTCAATTTTATCATTCATATCTAAGCTAAAATAAGAAAATAAAATTAAGATAATCATTTATTTTTATTTTCTATAGTATTACTAAATTGATTTAGCTTGACCAGTTGGAAAATTAATAACAATAGGTAACCATAAGCCTCTGAAAAAAAAGCCTGGTTGAGGTGATACTCCAGGTCCAACTGGCATTCCAGCTAATACTGTAGGTGGTTGACCCTGTGCAGAAGGATTACCTGTAAATAATGAATATTTTTCAGTAATCGATACATAAAATTGACTTATAAACATACCAATATTATTTATCATCATAGGAGATGGATTTAAAAATAATGATTGTACATAGTTTCCCAACGAATTTACAATATCATGAAATATTTTAGTACTATGCATTTTTAAATCATAGCAAGCACAGAATGAAGCTAACAAATCTTGTTCGACAATTAACCTATGTAACACTTCTAATGCAACTGATCGTTGCCACATAGGTTTATCTGGATCCAAAAACTTAACAATTAATGATAGAAAAATTTCACATTCAGTAGTCTGTAAAAATTTTAAATTATTTATTAGTCATGAAAATTTAACAACTCTGAATTATTTTTCTTACTAGTAATTTATGATATTTTCTAATTAAAATTGAAACAACTCGTATTAATCTAATAGTAATAGGAAAGTGAGGTTTATCCAATGGTGCAACTTGATGGGGCTGAATATTAGATGATGAAACAGAACCACTGCCAGTCATTCTGTACTTGATGTTAGGGGAAAATAATTTAATTACTAAAGCACATACTCTTTCTTTTAAAAGAAAATTGAATTCAGGATGCTGTCAACATAAAAATGATATAAGTAATCTAATATAAAATCAATTATAAAAGAAAAATAAATTGTTTTTCATACTTTAAAGAAAACTGACTGAAAATCAGCTAACACAGATTCTAGTAACTCTAATCCAAATGTTCTGGTCATTTCAGTCATACCGATAAGCCAATAAGGATGATCTGTATTGACCAACTGAACAAGATCCTAGTTATAAAAAAAATTTCTTTTATTTTAGTTTTATAATCATTTCTGTGAGAACTACTAATGTATAACAGTAATTTATTAATTTATATTTCAAGAGCATAACACTAAGATAACTCTCACATTCAAATTTGAGCTTTGAAAATTCATAAATATTTCATAAAATAAAATTTTATGAATAATTGACCAACTTGATTTTTTTTTAATACTTCAGAATTTTATAATTCTTAATAATTAATTTTTTTTATAAAAACTATTGTGGCTTATTTAATAATTTATAACTAAAAAGTCCCAATAATTTTCATAAAAATTTAGATTAAGTTATTCTAACACTATGCTCTTATCAAATATTTTCTAAAATATGTAACTAAATACTAACATGATACTTACTTGAAACATGAGATAAGCATCTGCTGCACAGGGTTTCAATCGTTTTGGCGACACACTAGATAAAACTTTAAGCTCATCAAAATTTACTTCAATGTGATTCTGTTCATTGCTCTCACTATTATCAGTTTGCTGATCTTCATGAATTACTCGTTCAAATACTAATGACACTAATTGTCTTACTGTAGCCCCAGCAGTATTTATTATAGTTGAATCTTTGGTAAAATGTAATCTAAAGCAAAGTACTAAATTCTAAAAAAAAAAAAAAATACATTTATACCCACAAATATAAACAGGATTCAAGAACACACAGTTATTTAAAAATTCTTATTTCATCCCTAATTTTTTAGCCATTCTCTCCCTTCCCAAAAAAAAAAAAATGTATATTATTAATAGTTATAATAAGATATAATTTACTTTAAGTATTAAATAATATTTATTTATGGTTATAATTACCCTTGCAAGTGTTTCACCATGTACTATAGAATTTGTAGTTAATAAAAGAGTAACACTTTGTAAAACTTTTACTTGTTCAGTCCCAGATTCCATTAGCATCCATAAAGTATCTGTTATGTATCTAGCACCTTTTTGATCAACTGCTTGATAAGTTATTAATTTTTGAATCATACCTAAGCACATCTATAAATTTATAAAAAAAGATTCATTTTGTAATTAAAAGTCTGCTTTATTTCATTTACAAATTAAATTAGTCAACAATTAGACTATATTTATATGATAATCTATAGATAATTCTCCAAAATTATTTAAATAACATACATGGGTTATATTTAAGAGCAGATACAATAGGCGTCATTGATGTAATATGTACCCCCAAAAATTAGAATAATTAACTAAAAAAAACAAAAATAGTGATACAGCCCCTCAAAATGTTCTACTATAATATAGGACTTTTTTTTTATACTTAATTACATAGAAAAATCATATATGTTGAAAATTAACAAAATATTATTACCTAAAAATTTGAACTTGACAGTTTGTTGCATAGAGCCCTTTAATTATAATTCAAATTAAGATGAATAAAAACAAAAAACTCTCATAATTTTTTTAAATATCTGTTGAAAATTAACTAAATAATATTCAATCAATTATAAAAAAAAAAATAATATATTTTAATTTTAGTAATTGTAAAGTAATATAAAAGTTTAAATTGAATTAGATTGCAAGAAAAGTAGCACAATTTTTTCTTAATAACTTTATTCAAAAGGTAAACTATTACAATTCACAACTTTTGAAGGTAAGTGAGGTAAAACTATTCTTCAAATATTCATTAAATAAGCATTTCAAAAATGGTATTACTTAAATTTTTAAAATAAAATTAGATAATTATTAAATTAAATACTTGTTTGATTAATCTAACCTTAACAATTTTAGATTCTTTAGTTTCACAGCCTTGGACGATAGGATACAATATTTGATTAATAACATAATAAATTGGAGTTTGCTGATTGTCCGACATAGAATTCCTTAATTTGACAATAGCTTCTTCTGATGCCTGTAAAATAAATAAAATATAGTTAATTATTGTTCAATTTTGAAATAATTTTAAACAGAAATAATACCAAGTAAAAAGTAAAATTACTATCAATTAATAAAATACTCATAAAAATAAAGGTAAACCACATTATTAATATATGTAAAACAAACTTGCCCTAAAATATATTGAATAATAATTTTCTAATTAATAGTCCGTTGTATACCCTTATACTTAATAAAATAAGTATAAAATGCATCAATATATAAAATATTATTAGATAATTAATTCAAATTTCATAATAAGTAGTAAAATGACAAGTCAAAATGGAGTACCTAGACAATTAACAATTAAATTGTTTAAAAAACGGTCATCAAAGAAAAAGCATATTAAAATACAGTTAATTTCTGTTCATTGAATTTTTAATCACCTCCTTGATCTGTGGATATCTTTTTTTCGTCTCCATGGATAAATTTTTGAAGTCATTTTGTAAAACTTCCAATAATTTAGAGCCATCATTTTTAATGCCCCGGTGGGCCATAATACAAATGACCAATAATTAACTCGTAACTCAAACTTATATCATTGCAAATCTATAGTTAATGAGATAAAAATCTGTATTATAACTACTAAAAAATAATTTTTATTATTAGTTTTGAATAGTTAATTATTAAGACGTAAGATTAAATAATAAGTAATAGTTTATACAACATACGTTTCCAGTGTATTCTATCTGATAACTTGAATTTCTGATAAAAGAACAGAATGTAAAAATTGATTACGGTACATTGACAGTAATATCTGAAATCGCTTACTAATACATTAAAAACACCCTGATGTAAAATGTATTGCATCTATAAACGCCAGAAATATATTCATATATCACTTGGTTAACATGCTTATCATTCATGATTTGCATTATTTATTAACTATGGTACATTAATTGTAAGAAAAAATTATGTTAATAAAAGGTTAAAAATGTATTTAATTAGTGTATCAAAGATTTGATGGAAAAACGAAACGTCTTTATACATAATGCATTTTTGAAAATATATTTTTTATCTTTTATCAACATAATATTTAACATGTTTATTAGGAATTTCTTAGTAATTAAAAAATTAAACATTAAAAAATGTCTTACGTTTATTAATACTATCCATATAATTAATTACTGTCATAACATGATAAAAACAATGAAAGTGGTACTTGTTTTTCCTAAACATTTTTTATTTGTATTTTCAAAAACAATTTTCATGCAATTTGAAATGTAAATTAGCCATTATCTTAATCTGTTTTTTTTAAAACCTGGATATATTGAAACTCAAATTTAAATTGTATTTAAATTACAGTAAGATTAAAATTATTTTAGAGAGCATATTAGCTTGAAATTATATCTATGTTATTTTTGATGAAAAAAATTGTTTTTAATTTTTACCTAAAAGTTATTGAATCCATAAATGACCAGATTAAAAAATTATTTTTGATGTTTTGATAAAATTGACATTGTTATGGTATTGGTTTTGATTTTTTATTCCTTTTATAATTTATGAAAAAATTGTCATAAAACCTCAATGATATTAAAAATATTGAAGATTTGGCCAATGTAAATTATTTGATGTATCAGAGTCTCATAATGAGACATTGACCTATTCTTTAAATCGATATGTATTATATAAAGTATATTATTATTATCATAACAGTTCTTTAATATATTGAAGACCTAAATTAGTTGCCTTAGAAACTATGAAGCATACTACTAATATAATATTTTTAGGTCAAGATAAATCTATTTTTTCTTTCCTGAGGCAAGTATAGGAACTTTTTTCAAATTGCAATGAAATGTAATACATAGCAATAAATTAGGAAAAATACTTCAAATGAATAAATTTATTAAAAAAAAATCGTAGCTCATTTAATCATTCTAATGAAAAGGTGTTCTTAAAGTTTTGTCTTAAGTGAGATATACAACTTTACTATAGATTTATTTTGGAGGGGATAGTAAAAAAAATGTCTTATGTATATCTCTCCCAAAAAAAACTATGAATACCACTCCTCTCGAAAGAACGTCCATGTTTCTTAAAAGAGAGGTTTTAAGTATGGATAAATATATGATTTTCGACTGACACAGAAATAACAGATGGTACACTAACAAAAAAAGTAACGCAATACAATAATCCTTGTTATCAAATCTGTTAATTTGCATTTGAATTTTTGTTTCAACTAATTATTATTAATTAATTAATAAGATAATTCGAAAAACTTATGTAACTTAATAAACTAAAAAATAAAAATTCTCAACATTTTTTTTTTTTGAAATAGAACAAGTTAAAATAAACAGATCATCTTGTATATTGTTTGAAATTAACGTATATTTTATATTTTATTAATATTAAAAATATATTTTTATAATTTATTAATGTGAAAATTAATGAATTTGCAAAAATGCATTCATTCCTTACACTACTGTGTAGAATAAATAAAATAAAATGATATTTACAAAAAATGTTCCTTCAATGTTAATCCCTTTTTAAGGAACGTTTCTGAGAACGAAATAATTATCAGTGATGTTTCTATAGGGCATTGAAAAAATGAATGTTGCTTGTAGCATAGTAAAAATGTACAAACTGTAAAAAAAGCAAAAAAAAAATTTCCATTTTCAAAAGATTAGTTTTTCAGAGTACCCCCACCATTAATATTACTTTATATAAAAAACAAATGGCACCACAATATTTTCTGACAAGTTCTCGTGTAAATTGAAGAGTCACTCAATTTAATTTTAATTTTTATTAATTCAACTCTAAAGTTGATGAAAAACCATCATAGTAGTCAGGTCCGCGATGAAGTTTTTCGTTAATTTCAATCATTATATAATGAAAAAAAAGTATGGATTACTTGAACTTTTTTGTTTTCATAAAATTATTACGACAGTTTTAAACAGACAATAATTTAATTTTCTAAAATTACACTCTACTTTTGAATTTCAACTTTTTGAATCACATCTTTATTCTACTTTCTAAGGAATCATTACGTCCAATCCAACCTTTAAATACATATTTTTTAGTTAAAAAAATGGCTATTATTTAGGTAAAAAAAAAATTAAATAAATGTAAAAACATGTTTTAACATTGTATTCGTTATAGTTACATAGCTTAAAGTTAAAACGCACAATGAAAAGAAAACATTTTTTTTAAGCATTTAAAAACTAACAATTTTGAAATGTTGAAAATTTAAAAAGTTATTTTATTATTAGAAACAAATAATAAAAATATGATTTTAATGTAATCTAATATGTATAAATTATTTCTTTTAAAAGTATGACAAAATGTTTATTGTATTAAAAGTTTAAGGACTTATCAGTTAGATATATTCTAATCTGATCAGTAAACACTTATTATATATAAATATATATATATATAACACTTATTATATATAGGTATCATATACTATAATAGTATATGATACCTAAATTTTAGGTCTATATAGAGATCCATAAAGTCTACAGTTGAATTCTAGATTTACATTAGACATCAATATTTAATGTCTTCTAAGAATCATTATTGTATACTATTGTGTATTATTATATACTAAATAAGCTTGTAAAATAAAACAATTTTAGGGGCAGTCTAATACTATTTTTAGAGAAATAAACAAAACAAATAAAACTAAAACTATAAGGTATTGCCAGCAATTTTATTTAGATGGGTAAAAAAATACAAAAACAAGAAGCAAATGTCACAACTTTATGGCCTAAATTCTTGAATATAACACTAGTCATCTTTAATTCAATCCTAATAATTTATTTATGTTCATAATTCTTTTATAAAAATTCACTATTATTATAATAACTTAATTAACACAATAATGATTTCAATTAATCATATTGCAAAACTTTGAGTTTCAATTTGTGATACATAAATAAAATGAATTGATAATATATCAATTATATAATATAATATATATGAATTGATAAATAATATCAATAAAAATTACATTTTTTAAAGTACAAAAATTATATTTATTCCTTTATAAAATACATTTAATTTTTTCTTTTTTTACAAACCTTTTATTTTTAAAATATTTTCTAAACAAATTGTAATAACTTTTTCAATCTGTGGACCATAACTTTGATAAAACTGTCTTCAGACTTATCCTGCAATATATTATCTTTCATTACATAATATTAAATAAATATAAATTCAGTGCAAAATTTGTTTACTTAATAATTATATTAATGAAAATAGCAAACATTATTATAGTTCTAATGTGATAAAAATACATACCTCACTCAAAGAATAAAGATTCTCCAGAAATGAGTCATTAAATACTTTCACTAAACCTTGTCTTAGATCTTTAAGTTCTTCTGGTGTTACGCCATCATCGTTGTTCTGATATGGACTACCTGATCCTATAGATAATAAAATTTATATTAAATAAATTATATCCTAGATTATACTTTTTTTATTGTGCAACTAAATTCTCGTTGTTTGTCAATATCAATATGTTGTTATATAATAGTTAGGAAAACTACCACAATATGAGAAGAGGTACAAAAAATTAATTTTACTACAAGACAACACTCGGCCTCATGTTGCCAAAATTATTTTATTACTTGTTTCGTTTAATGACATATGGTCTGGCTGATCAGCAGTTCCGCTCATATGAAGACATCATAAAAAGGCTTGATTCATGGATAGCCTCAAAAGACAAAACACTTTTATCATAACAGTATTAGAGCTCTGTCCAAAAGATGGGAAAAAGTTGTAACTAGTAATGGGCAATATTTAGTATTTTCATAAAAAAAACAGGGAGAACTTAGTTGTGCACCAATATATTTTTAAAAAACTTACTATTTAATGCTTTTGGCCGGTGTATATTTTGGACAGGACTATGCATAAAATAAAAATCTGTATGAGCCCATAAAATGTACAAGCAAACTTCAACAATATGTTTACAAACAATATGCTGGCTTTTATCATAATCTGTATCTTTTTGATTCAATTCAATTTCTTCAGAATTTGTCTCACCAAATAACTAAAATTGTAGTATAAAAGAAGATATAATCAAATAATAAAATTGATTATATTAAATTTTTATTCACAAGAGTAATAAAGCAACTCAACATTTTCCAGATTTTGTACTAAAATGAACAAAAATTCTAAATTTTAAACAGGAAAAAGTTTATGTAATAATACCTAAAAAATTAAATTTGTAAATACTATGGAGTTATATTATTAATTTGCCAATGAGATTTATGTCAAAAAATGTTATTATTTTGGGACTTTTTCAGCAATTGAACAATACATTACAAAAATAATTAATATAAGTAGTATTTTAATTAGTAAAGAAATGAGTAAAATAGTACAAATTTTTTATCTATATCAATATATAAACTTTAGGCAGAAATTTATTGAAAAATTGATATTGAATATACTGATATGACATTTTTTTCTTCTAATAATTAATTTTTCTTATATTTTATGTGGACTTCAGCAATTATTACTTATTAGCTAATTTTCCTCTAAGTTAGTCAAATTAAATAATTTTGGTTTCTGGTATTTTATTTTATGAATTTGCGCTTTAAGATTTATTAAGGTGTTATATATTCATGATATCAGGTTATTTAGTTTCATAGCCTGGGTTATATACCTTAAAAAAATAATTATTAATTAATAATAACCGATAGAGTACCTGGATTGGTGATGACTGACTTTCACCTTTCGTTTTTGAATTAAACTGCATAAAATAATGTTCTACAGTCTGAACCATTGTTGAAACAACTGAACCCATTGATAGTTGATTGGTATAATTATTTTCCTCTTGTATTATTTTAAGTAAAAATAATATTTCTTTTTAGTTAAATTTCATAATAATCAAAACACATTTAAATAAATATTTTACCAGTAGAATTCAAATTAAATTGTTCACTATGTATAGATACTTCTAAAATTCTTCTTTTGAACTTTTGACCTCCTGTTGCCCATCCACCATCCATCAAGTTGGATATATAGTTTAATAAATTTAAGGTTATCTGATAAAATAATATAAGTGCATAAATATTATACAATATTATGTTATTTCAAGATATTTTTTATTTACCTTTAAATAAAGAGTGATATTTATATCACCATCATTAGGATTACTTTCTTCAGAACATTTTTTACGGATAGATCTTATAACAGATAAATTAACAGCAAATCTTGTAAGAGCTTTTTGCATTAAAACACTATAATGATGAAATAATCCAGCAATATCTTTATCACCACTAGAATTTATTTCTGAACTAATATCTAATGAAATAGTAAAATAAAATATGTTAATAATGGTTTAAACAAATATTAACTAAAAACTTACCATCATTGGTCACATTAACAAACATAGATGTTAGTTGATAAAGTTCTTTTAGATACCACTGTTCACATAATGGTGCAGCATTTGTAAGTGCAATAGTTATAACATCACGATGACTTATTAAATAATAAACTACCTATGAGTAAAAACATTTAAAAAATCATGAATCAACAAAATTAAATTTAGAAAATATTTATTTTAATTACTTGAAGAACAGACGTCATATTTTGATTTCCCAAAGTTCCCATTACTGTTTGGCATAAACACATAGCTGGTGAACATATCATCATATAACGATCACCTTCATCAGGTAGGAACTCTTTAATTGATCGCTTAAAACTAAAGTGGCGAAATATTATATTAGTTTGTTTTATATGATTATATACTATAAAGTGTAAATATAAAAATTAAGACCTTGCTTCTAATGATGGGTGAGCATCAATAGTTTTCATTGATGATAAACAGGCAATAGCTTGGTGGTTGAGTAAAGCGTCAGCACCAGTTGAGTAAGTAGCAATTTTATTTAAAAGACTCTAAATTAAAATAATTATTAGAAGAAAATAATTATTTATGAATAAATAAATTAGAATTAATCAAATATATAAAAATCTTTTTTAGAAATAATACACAGCATTTTGAAAGTCTTTATTCAATTTCAAATTATTATATTCTATAACAGCTTATGTTAATTATCCATTATTTCATTGAAAGCTATGTTATACAAGTCTATTTTAAACACTAATAGTATATATATATAGTATAGTATAAGTAATTTCTACTTTCTAAATGCATTTTTAAGTTTTGAACTCCTCTTGTATAAAGGAAAATGGCCCGATTTAAAAAAAAGTATGTTGAATGAAAGAAGTATATAAAAAAATTGTATTGGACCATACATTTTTCAAAATGGCAGTTTTAGGTAAAAAAAAATGTAGAAAATTCGTGATTTTTAAATTTGTAATTTTTTTTTAGAGATTTCTACCATATACTAGGAATGAGAAAATTTTTTTCAATTTTTGAGGGTAATGTATTTGATTGGGTACGATTTGTGATCTTTTAACGTATTGTTGAAAGAAATCGGTTTGGAGAGAGCAGAGAAAAAAAGGTAACAGATACAAAAAAAAAAAAACACATCATAGTACAATTAAAGCTATTTCAACTTCGCATGGAATATAGGCTAATAACCATTGTTGAAATTAAAGTTTAACTACAATAAAAAAAGAAGTTTTTTTTTTCCCTGTATCCCAATTAAGATTTATTCCAACAAAATAAAATTTATCCATCAGTTTTCATCTGACATACAAATTTATGCTCATATGCATACACATGCACATGATGGATGCGCAGCTCTATTTAATATTTAAACCCATTCAAACTTTCAATAGAAAACTTTGCTTTAATAGATAACATTAATAATAATATAAATAATATTAAATATTTTTAAACAGTTATAAATTCATTGTTAAATGAAAAAGATTTTATGGTTTCTACATAATTATCATGGATATTAACACCAACATATTTTCATTAGATAAACATTAAAATAATATTTTAATATTATTATACTTAATAATATATATTTGTACATACCATTTTATTTTCATAAACATATATTGGTTTTAAAGTCTTATTTTTAGCTGTTATTAATTCTTTCAATTCATTATCTGACTCTATAAGACTAGATATAATACATTTTAAATATCCTTGATTGGAAATATATCCAATAAGTTTTGGGTTTATGTCAATAAGAAGTTCACATAAAGTATGAGACAAAACCTAAAATAATTATAGTTAGAATTTTTAGTGAATTTGAATAAAAATAATATATATCTTACTTTGCATATATCATGACCAGATGTTAAATCTACACATATAACTTCAAGGATTCTTTCGCTTAGATATTGATCAAAGTTAAGTGATTTTATAAATTTAATAGATTCAGAATCTAAAATAGGTTGTTCAAACTGCAAACTATTTTTCTGTTTAGGGTTGCCAGTTAATGTTCGGCTATTAGTGGCCAAAAGGTTAATTAATGCAATCAAGGCCGAGTATAAACTTGCTCGAAGTTTTTGAGAGGCTAAAATTTGTATTATTATAATTAACTACAAAAATAAAAAGTTTAATATTAATGACATAAATTAATTATATATAACACCTGATTGCTGAATGCATTTTAATATATTCTGAAGCATACTAGAATAAACACTTGATTGCCCAGTAACAAAAGAACCTAAGCTCAAATCTAAGTTTACAGAACATAACTCAAAATGTTTGTCAATAGTATTCTTCAAATTTATCAGTAACAGTAACTGAGAATTGGAAATCAATGTAGATAAATCTGACATCTGTGGAAAACGTATAACCTAAAATTGTTGAATTTTTATGATTATATTATTAAATAAAACTAGACTGTAATAGACAAATCAAAAAATTTTTTAATTATATTATTTTTAAAATTAACAACCTTGCTTTGAAGAGAAACCAATAAGTCAATAACAAATGAAAACCTTTGTTGAAATTCCATTGATGGTAAATTTGCCATACTAAATATGACTGCAGTCAACTGATGCCAAGCATCAAAATATTTTATCATACAGCTAACTTGTAAACGTTTATCGTTAATGCTTACAGCATAGGCCAAAAACTCCTAAAAAAATGAAAACTAATCAGTTATATATTGTATATAAAAATTAAAACTAAACACAAAAAAATTACCTGAATTTCTTGAAGTAAATTAGTTTTAATAGTGGATGAACTGTCAATTGATTTCAATTCATTCATTAAAATTTTATGCAATTGTTTTACATCAATTAATGGGACTTTTCCAGGAATTTCACACTCACTCAATAGCTTTAGTTAAATTATTATTATCATTATTAAGTTTAATATAAATTTCTAATTTTTATAAAAAGCCATACTTGATTAATCAGTTTAGTTTCAAGATACTTTAAATCTGGCATGTCCTCAGTAGGTTCATCAAACTCTAAATCAACTATTTCTAATAGACTGAGCAACTTTTTTCCATCTTCTTTAGTCTCTTCTTGATCTAGCAATAAAATTATGTTGTAATAATATATTTTTTAATTTTTATTTTATATTACTTTTTGTTAGCTTACCATGATCTCTAACTAATGCTGTATGATCAAATAAACTAGTAAACTGGAAATGTTCTGGTCCTCCACTATTTAATTTTTATATAACATAAAATTTAAATCATAAATCTATTATATAGGTGTTCTATTATGATTTAATAATTTTAACATTAGTTTATATAGTCAAATTATTAAATCACGGTGAGATACTCTGTATACTAGTGGATAACTATCATAAGTTCACCATTTCTTTTAATAAATTAAGGGCATTTTTTAATTTTTATTAAATAAACATGTCAAAAAATTACCTTATTAGATAAAAAATTGGACATATTGTAGTTTACAAAAATGATTTATTCAAATTACTTACACATTTTTCTTTTCTGCAATTCCAATGAATAATAATATTAGCTTTGTTAATGTCATCAATAAGTTTTGATGTACATGCATCTTAATCTCAACAGCAATTATACGAAGTAACCAATTCATTTGAATTAAATCACTACCTTCAATAACATATATCAAAAATTTACTTATATTACATTATTGAAAATCAAAAATATACTTACATACATTTTAAAATTTATTTATCATTATTTTAAATACATAACCTTAATTTCCATACTTGATTAAATTCATAAAATAATACAATTTTCAACTTACTGCTAACTTTTCTGGAAGTATTATCTGTATAAAATGGTAATGCTGATGCATGTCTTAATATAAAATCACTCCGTGATTTTAAATACACTAAAACTGGACGAGATGTTCTGTTGCTTGAGACCAAAACATATATCATTTGATAACAAAGTTCTAGTAACTTGGCATGATTCTTACTAACAGTACCACTAGCCCGACTTTTCAATGAATCATCAAGAATATCAATAATAGAATGCAGACAATTTCGGGGATACCCTCCCACTCCTATTAATTTAATATATTTGGTTTTTGGTTAATTTTTATTATAATTTAATGTTTTACACAATAAAAACTTTTTTAAAGATTGAAAAAATATTTACCAGCATTTTCAATGCAAGTTTTATGAATATTTTCTAAATTGAAGCCCAATAAATAATGAGCTAAATTTGGAGGAGAGGAATTCATGCATTGTAGTAAGAGTTTCAAAATAGATTCTTTACATTTTTTCATAACAGATACATCTGATGTTTCTTCCAAAAACTACAAATAATTACTTTTATTCAGTAATATAAAAACATACTATACTTTTTAATATATATTTTTAATTAAACATTTTTTTTTAAATTTATTTACAAAAAGTAAGATACCTTAGATGATTCTTCTTCTTCTAAACACTGAACAAATCCATGTCTGATAGAAGTGGTTAATTGAGGATTTGAGGTAAAATATGAAACCATATGAGATTGTGGAATTGGATAAGATGTTATTGTCATTAATATGCGTATAGCATGATAGGCATGTTCTGGTAGATGGGCATATGTTACAAATCTATTGATAAAAATTATTATTTAATATTAGAGTAATAATGCATTTTTTATTACATGGTATCTAGTAAAATATACTGGTAAATACAATTTTTTAGTTTGGATTTTAAATACTAAGCTATAATTACTTGCACAACACTAATGATGGAAAAAAAATTTACTTAAAAATTGTATGATTTTACAACTATACTTTAATTTTAAAATTTAATTCAATTACGCATCAAAGAGTAATTACAACAGTAATTTTAATCATTGTTAGATATCAATCAATACTATCCTGTTATCTAAATAACATAAAATCTTAGATGTCATTGGCCTGATACACTTTTGAGCAATCAGATAAACAAATAAATTACTAATCTCAAAATAATACTGTATTTCTATTATAATTATATGAAATTTGTTACATCAATTCTTAGACAAAAAAAACTATATTTCTTTCGTTATATTTAATTTGATAATTTTAAAAGTTCAACACTACATTAGTCTAGACTGATATGTAACATACTAACAGACATCTCTTGATACAGCCACAGGAAACTATGTATTTCATAAATTATTTAAAAGGAACAAAACCAAAAGTTTTCAAAAAAATATTGTAAATTTTAAACTTCTGTAAACTTATGAAAGCAGAAAATTATCTTAGAAATACAAACTCAAAAAAAAAAAATTATAATTTTTGACATAGATGTCTGCAGAAAACAATCCTTACACTATTATTCATATATATTTACATACTTAGTTAAATCAATTATATAATCTGGCTCATTTGTAGCTACATTAATGCTTATAAGAGTTTTATGAAGTCCAGTAAATATAAGAGGTGATCCTGAAGCAATAGAAGCATTCAGAAATGTTTGTTGCAAGCTTAGCGTTTGCTCTAAAAGACGTAATACAACTAATGTAGTTTTTTCCATAGCTTCTTTTCCACTAAATGATGAATACATATCAAACATTTGACATCCAGTATGCATTATATTTAATAACTAAAAAACAAGCAATTTTATGATAAAAAATTGTTATTCAACATCAAGCATTGAAATCTTACAGTTCTTAAGAAATCAGAATTAGTGCACAAATATGTCATAATATGAAAACCTGGAGGTGGATTAACACTTATTGACGTATTATCGGGCAATACAATACTATTCCCTACAAAATCTGTTACATGGGGTTCATATTGATCCAAAAACTTTAAAGCAAGTTCTAAGCATAGTCCACTTACTTCCCACTAAAATGTGATAAATAATTATTAAAATCATAAGAGTTCAATAAATTTATTAAATAACCAAATTACTTTTTCACTTTGTTTTTTATAACCTCTTGATAAACATTTGAGGAATATATTATGCAAAACAAAGTTGAGGTAAGGATCAAATCCTGGTGTGCGTGTGCTTGACCCCAATAAATTTGGTACGGGCTGTTCAGTCAACGTAGTTAAAAGTTTTAGCAAAGCTATAGTCAATGGATATTCCTCGTTACGAGTTTCAAGATCTTCTAATTCAGCCTAAAAAATATTTGATACTTATTATTTAATAGAAAAGATTTGAAAAATTTAAACAACTTATCATATAAAATAACTATTTTAGTATTACAATTTTGCTTGGTTACTTCTTACATAACTATAAGTAGAAATAAAATAATATTTTTGGTAAGGAGGCCTTACGATACATATGTATATATTTTTTTAACAAAATATACCTCTTATTTTATAATTTTATGATATAGCGTAATATCATAACAAGAATATAAAAGTTTAATGTTAAAAAATTAATTTTTAGTTGGCCAAGTTAAATTTAAAAAAGTATACATAAAATTATTGATTTATTGTTGACCACTAATTTATTCTAAAATAATAATTAAAAAAAAAATTCTTTGGTTTTTTTTATTAGTATGTATTGCTCAATTTTTGAATATTTAAATATTTTAGCTTCAGTGTGGAGCTGAGAAGGTATTAATGTTACCCTGATTTGTTTATTTTTATTTATTTATTTTGTATAGGTCACTGATTTTTTTCAAATATACATCAAAAGATCACAAATCGTATCTAGTTGACATACATAACTCTCAAAAATTTTCTCTTGTTCCTCATAAATGATGGAAATTCCCATAACAATTACTATTTTAAAATGATAAATTTCACAGTAGAATGATGCATCATGATAAAAATAACATACCCCATAGCTTGGCTTCAATATACATTTAAAAATGTTAATAACTCCCAAATACTGACTCATAAGCTGTTATCATTCAGTTATTTTCTTAGTTATATATTTTTAATTATATGAACTAGTTAAATATGTATGTTTCTATTTAAAAAAATGATTTTGATACTCTTATAAGGCATATGGGATTAACCTAAATAATATTTATTTAACCACTCTAAAGTCGTGAAATGAATACTACTTAAATGTGCAAAAAAAAAAATTATTATTATTTTAGAAGAAAACTAGAGGGTCAAAGAGAAATGAATCACTCTGTATAATATTATATTTTTATAGATTTTTAACATATAATACATTGGATAATTATATATGTAATTACTCAACTCTGTTTTTATGTAAAAAAATAAATATTATTTTTAAAAAATGTTGGAAAGTAAATGAAAACTTATTTCTGCCAATATATATGATGGTTACTATCTTTGTTCGTAATAATAGTAGTTACTGTGAATAAGCTCTTTTTTCATGTCTAAGAACATGGTCTTTTTTTATTAAAGTGTAAGTTTATAATTCCACTTTACTTCGTTTTAATTTAAATTTTACTATTTTATTCATTAATTTTTTCTGAATCTCTTTCATACTACATACAGTGGATAATTAAAATATGGTTACATTAGGGCCCATGAACCTTGGGGTTCTTTCTAACTTTTCAGAATCCTAATTTATTTTTTGATTTTTACATTTAAACTGAATCAGAAAAAGAAATTTTATGTTATTTGTATTATATATATATGCATATATCACATATGTTATTTATATACTTTCACTAATAACTATATACTTTATAATGCCTGACATAGTTCAGTACTTTGCTGAGGGACTTGTACAATATTATAAAATAATGTTATAATTATGAACACATATAGGAATTTAGGTCAATATAATAAATATAGTTTAAAAAAACACGCTTTTAAAGCACATCAAACTAAAAATTATTTTTAACATTTTCGATGTGCTTTAAAAGCGTGATTTTTTAGTTTTTTTAAACTATATATATTTTTCACTTTTTAGTTTCATGTTATGATAGTATTTACTATCAATATCTTGGTTGTTACGGGTAACAGGGAATCAGAGTTCGATTCCGGGGAGGGAGTCTGAGAAACGGTTACCACATCCAAGGAAAGCAGCAGACGTGCAAAATTACTTAATCCCGGAACGTGGAGATAGTGATGAAAAATAATGATACGGAAATAACCCTCGTAATCGGAATGAATACTTTATACCTCTTAATTAGAATAAAGCGTGTTAATATATATTTTTAATAGTAATTAGAATATATATATACATGTAAAGCGACTTAAGTACGTAAACATATCATGCATAGGTATAGCCGTGTTTTGTGGGCGGGTGGGTCGGACTAACGTTAAACTTGAGGTATAAACGGCAGTAGGAATATATACGTAAGCTGTATGCACGCAGATGATAATGGTCAGTCAAAATAAAAATTTGTTTATATATATATAATATTGATGACAAGCACGCGTTACAATACAGTACGGGTACAATAACCAAAAATAAATTTATATAGGAATAGTATTGCCGGTGTGTGATGAGCGAGGCGTGGGGTGGGGTGAATGCGTTATGACAGTCAAGTCTAGACGACGGAATATGCGATAACGCATGGTGTTTGGAGAGTTACAAACATACATAAATACATACAGGTGAAACTCATATAAGCGTGTTAAAAAAAATGGGGTTTTCAATATAGCATTGAAATAAATAATCAAGTAAATAAATAAAAACATACCATTATACCACGACTTTGATAGTTACTAATTGTTGGAACAGTTACAATAATTTGTGAAGCTTCCAAAGTGTGCCAAAAACTCAGAGAAGTAGTAGGAGGAGGAGGTTTCACAAGTGTAGCTAACGCTAATATTAAATCTGCTTTCAGAGATATTCTAACTGGACAAGAAACTAATCCCAATAGAACTGAAAGAGCTTCCCACTCTGCACGTTCTACTATAATAATTTTTGACTTCACACTATGCTCTAACAATAAAAAAGTTTATGTGTAAATTTCAAATTAAAATAATATTTATAGAATGATTAATTACAAACCTGCAACATTTCTGATTAATTTTAGTACAGCTTGAAGACCTTGAATTTCTAAAGAAGTAATACCTTTCTGACTACTTCTTTTATAAACTGTATCACTCGGTGGTATATTTTCTTGTCTCAAATTTGTATAATATCTTAAGAATGTTTTGAAAAAATGATCCCATGTTAAATTTGAATTTGTTGCATTAGTATAAAAATGATTGAATACATTTTCAGCACCAATTTCAGAATTTGCTAATTCACTTAATAAATTCAAATATGGTACAAACAACATATGAGGTAACATATCACCAGTTTGACATATAAATCTGTATAATGAAGATTGAAACTTTTGAGCTGTTAAAAACGATGACATCTTTATAGTTTTCAACTGTTCTCTTGAAGGAGGCCAATAATCTAGATTTAAGTTTAAACCAAGAGGATCTTTTGAGTATAGGCCAGCCATAGCCATCAATAATTGTTCAAAATGATTCTCTTCACCAGCAGGAGGTTCTAAACCTTCCTAAAAAAATCACAATTTTAATATTACACAAATTGTCATTTGTGGCCAACCCCAAGTAGTTGGGATTAAGACGGGGAAAAAGAAGACACAAATCGTCATTTGTAAAATACAATGTTTACTTGGTAATATATAAGCATAGTATGTGCTATTTCATCAGATTTGTTACGTATTTCTTTAACAGCATAAGGCATCATAACTATAAATTCTGTTATTAATTGATGAAATTTTTTTACCATAAATTCCTAAAAAAAAAGGTTTTATTAATTAATAATAATAATAATAACAGTTTAAATTTACATACCACATAATGTAAACAATCTGACGGAAAAATACTTTGATTTAAAAATCTAAATACTTTATTTTCCATAGAATTGTTAAATAAAATTTCATCAATTTTCACTAAATTTTTATTTTTAAAAATATGTTGAGTAGCTCTTAATTTAGCAAATGCAACAGCTAAACCAAATGTAGCAATACTTTTGAGTTCAGACCATTCCCATTCTTGTGAGGTGAGTTCTGAGTAGGCAGATGATAAAATTTGTTCTTTAGTATCTAATAAAAATATTTAATAATAATAAATACGCTTAAACAAATAAATATATAATTCACAAATTAAAAATATATTTATATTTAAGGAAAAAATTAAAATCTCAAGATCAAAAATTAAAAAGTTTTATTAGTAACTTTATTCTAAAATTTACAACATCAGATATAAAATATATATCACCAAATATAATAAAAATAGTCATAACAACATATTATTCATTTTCCTCATTATCATATTTTCAAATAGAATTTTTTTTTTTATATCCCAATATAATATAGAAATTGTAAAACAAAAACAGATTCATTTTTTAAAACTTTAAATGGAACTACTGAAGAAATTTTAGTTACGACCATATTCATTGGAAGTGAAAATATAGCTTAATTTATTTTGCCCCAATATATTTAAATTTTACATAATTAAAAAATGGAATAGTATTTTCAAATTATTAACTATGCAGATTTTTAACAAGCATGTTTAATATTTATAACAATAATTACCACCACTTATTTCTTGTGAATTGTTCATACAATCTAAATCAATAGCATACAAGAAAGATGTAATCATGAATAGATGAACTTTACAAACGGCACCTTGTGATTCTACATCAGGTTTTATTTTTCTTAAGTGATGCAATAAGCTGTTCAATAAAAAAGTGATATTAAATAAAGAAAAGACAACAGTAGAATTTTCTATTATTTATAGGACACATGTAATTTTGAATTTTAATTTAATATTACTGTCCTAAAATGCAAAAAAAAAAATTGAATTATTTTAAATTTATAATGATAAACAATACTGTAAATAATTGATTGTATCAATATTCTAAATTAACAAAAAATTAAGAAGAAATTGTATATACATTATATAAAAGATGTATATGTTCTCGATTGAACACTATGTCAAATTTGCTACAAAATAAAAAATATATTGTTTCATAACACTCGATTAAGACTTTATAAAATGTTATTCAAGAGCTTTCTACAAATAATAAACCATATAAATTGATCTAATAAGAATTGTGTTTACAAAATTATTACTTTTGTTGTTAATAATTTTTGGATTAATAAATTATACATTATTATTATTATTATTATTTATATTAAACTTAATAACTTTAAATTAATAAATAGTGTTTAAAATACTGGATTCATTAATATATCAATAGTTAGAAGGCAAATTGTTATAAACACCAGTAATGAAATTTTTCAGAGAAACAAAAAACACATTTTTATTACATTATACCATATAATATTCTTTAATAATTTTTCTCTATTAATATGAATAATATCAATATTAAGTGTAATCAATTAATGCATAATTTTTTCATTTAGAATAACTTTAAAAAATTGATTAAAAAAAAAAAAAAAAAACACTTTTCAATTTGCTTTCTAATTATCAATATTTTTTAGATTTAACTATTTGCTTTCTAACAAATAAATTTATAGGTAAAAGATAGATATTGTCATTTAACCTTACCTCACTAATTGTTGTCTAGATAAACCAAATTGAATAGAATAATAAAAAACACACTCTGCTAACATCGAACAAATTTCAGTAAATAAACTAACAACAAGTTGATGATGTTTAGGTCCACCAATTGCTTTATTTTTTTGGAGTAACTCAATTTCCTTTGATAAGTCTTTACTTTCTAATAAAACTTTAATTTAATTTAAATAAATAAATTGTTTTAAACAAGAAATGTAATATGATAGAATTTAGTTATCAACATAATAATCTTACCTAAAATGTTATTGAAAAGTCCATCATTCATTAATTGATCAACAAATTGACCAAGATGTTGAGCACAAGCAGGATCAACACGTGGAATCCATGTGCGACCTGTGCTTCCTTCTATAAGTAATCGTAAAGAAGAAACAAGCATACGATGTGCATTGTAGTAAAGCAATATTGCTACAAGTCCTCTACATAATTCTGGATACTTTGGATTTTGGTACCGTGCTGTTAAAATGCAGAAAGTAATATAAGAAACGAATATTAAATAATTATTGATTCATTATTACCAGTATTTAAAAGCTCCAATGACATTAACTCATCCAAGTCATACATATCAGATAAAATTAACACTTCTTCTGCCATTTCTTTTGGTAGTGCTAACATTTCAAATTTATGAATTGGTTTACCATCAGCCATTACTTTTAAAATTTGTTCTCTACTTTTGGCATTTTTTGGCTAAAAGTAGTTTACAAAAAATATTTAAACAGTAAAATTTATTAACTTTTAAAAATTAAATTTTGAATATTAACAATTATAACATGCCTACTTTATAAAAATATCAAAAATTTTTTTTATGAAATTCTTCACAATAAACATAAGAAATTAATTCGCAAAAAATAGATAGCTCTATATCTTCTAATCTTAGAAAAACTATTATCAACTTACTGGGTTTTTGAAAATATTCAAAAAATGAGGTTTGGCAGCACGTAATATGCGTTTCAAAAATGCAACGTTTGGTCTGTCATTAATAAATATAGTTTCAAGAACTGGTAATAATTCTGTATAAGGAGACCATGAACTTTGTAATATTGCGGCTGAAATAGCAAAACATTAAAATTAAACAACAATTATGTTTAAAAAAATATTCTAAATTAATATACATATATATATAAAATAAATTGAATTTCAAGCATTATTGATTGTTCTAAATCTAAAAATTAAATATTTAAGGTAATATTAAATGTATATAACTTCATTCACTGGTATGTTACTCAGAATTAAAAATAATATTAGAAATAAAACTGAAAATTCTGAATTAGTTAAGTGAAATTTCTAAACAAAATTTACTAAAACAAGGTTTTTTATGTTTTCATTTTAATATTAAATAGAAAAAATGCAACAAAGTAAATCTAATTAAATGTGAAAATAATTAATATAATAAATAATATGAACTAAGTCTGATGCCTTCTATTCAAAAAGATGTATAATTTATAATTAATAGACTAATAAATACTACTATTAAAGTATGTTGCCTGATAATTCAATTGATATTTAGTTGATTCTTAAGTATTATCACAGTATAAATATCAAATATAAATTATTTTAAGACATTATATATCTTAACATAATAAAAGGGGGAAAATTTGTAATATAAGATTCTTATATAATTATTAGAATTATCATAATTTTAACATATTATGTACATTACACAACAAACTTAACATATATAGTATGATACTTAAAAATAATAAAAAGTTAAGAAATATTATATTTGACAAATAAATAAAATAATTGTACTAAATTTAATTTTTTTAAGAATTATAGATAATAAAGTTAATAGAAATAAATTGTACTTACCCTCCATTTTAGTTAATAACTAAATATTTATATTTTCATTAAAATAATAATTTTAATGAAGATAAACTATTGCATTTAGTTGTATCAAATGTCAATATAACCTAAAAAAACAGGAGCAAATTGGCGGGTTTTAATATTTAACCGGTTAACACTGATAAACACATAGATAATAAAAGAATTCTTATACTATTTACGGATTAACAGCACATTTTCAATGAGATCATAACATCTTCAAACTGATAAATATTGAAAATAAAGAGGTGCATGTAAATTTATAAATTTTTGTTAGAAACGGTATTTTATAGTAAAACGTTTATCCGCACAGAATTATTGAAAGGAATAATTTTTAATAACAATGTTTTCAAATTATATCAGGAATCGTACATTTCGGAATTAATATTTATTAGAATTGATATTTATACGAATCCTTGAAAATAATGAAAAATTGATATGGAATTTCACGACTGTCGTTTGAAGTATGTAAAAGATGCCCCCATGAACTCAGTTAATAATCAAAAAGAAATTTTTTTTTTAAATCTTAAAATTCCCGTAAAATTATTTAGCAAAAGTCTCCGCAATTTCTAGTGTCGGCTCTGGAGAAAAAACACCATTGATTGATAACGATTATTGATATAATTTCCATATCGATTTTGATATTATGTTTGAATGTCGCAATATTTTCGGTATCAACTTGAATGAGATTGTCAAATATAGAATTTTGAGTTAAATTTAAATTTTACATGGACCAATCATATTTCAAAATTACGTTAATCGTCATTTTTAATATTAACATTATATGAATTCTTGATTTTATTTATTATTAAGTCTTATAGAGTTGTTGGCGCCGATGTCACCTATAAAAAACATTGAATCTTCAAAACATAGTATTCCACATCAACGAAAATGGTTAACCTTACTATTAACGTTTATTATTGTTGACATATTGAAGATAAAACAGAAGTCATAAATATGGAATTTTCTTTATAAGATGACTATGTCCCCCTAACGTATCCCTTAATAGCTTTACAAATGAGTTAATCCTTTGAATCTTAACAGACTCAACTATAAACCTCTTCTCCTATACTAAGGGGTATGTCAACGTCTGGCAGCTTTAACCCAGAAGAGTAACAAGACTAAGGGTACTCAAGTATTATCAGCCCAAATTACTCGTTAGATTACTACCAAGAACGTATCTTTTAGAGACCCAGCTGTGTTTTAAAAAGACTTATTATGCCTTTACTTTTAGTAATAAAGTTCAACAATGACACAAACGTAATTATTAAAGATATAAATAAAATAAATAATGATAACGTACAAAACGAGGATACACTCAGAGTACAATAAAGTAATACACAATAGAAAAGACTTGTTGTCAAAAACATACAGCACGAAACCCACGGAACTCCCGAGGTACTTTACCCAACTATTCAGTCCATTTCGTCTTATATACTAACACATTTTGTTTTTTTTTTAACTAATACAAAGTTAATAATACGACAATTTTTAAAAATGTTTATAAATATTTACTTCCTGATCTAGTAATAAAAGATCAGGAAATTACAATAAAACCAAATATTACAAAAATGTTTTACTTTCAGCTTTAAAGATAATAGACTATATTACACCCTCCTATCAAGAAATTCTGGTAAAACCACTGATTCATACATTTTTCTTTGACTTCTCAAGTTTGATAATAGTAACCTTAAAAGTTAATTAATTTCCTTGAGAATTATCAGGGATGATACTAGAAATCACAAGTCTCATACAAAACGATTTTGCGGGACTTATAACATTTTTTTTAATTAAAAAAAGGATTATTTTTATTTAGTCATTCATTTAATTTGCAATGCCCTTTAAAACACAAGAACACATCCCTTGTACCAGTCCTGAGGATTATTCTTAAAAATTATTAAGACGTCTGGGTACCGACCGCTTTTTAGTCAAAAACAACCCGTTTTTGTTCCATCAGTACGACGAAACTACTGATGCGATAAGAATTCTGAAAACATATCTGAATTCAGCATCATGTCACTTAGGTATCGGTCAGGACATATTTTTAAAATTTCGATGTTTTTAACCCTTTATTACAGTTTTCATTTTCGAATAATTTTAAAATTTTCAAAATAATTTTTTACGTTGAAGGAATCACAATTTCAAAAAAGTGGCCTGACCGATACCTAAGTGACATGATACTAAATTCAAATTTGTTTTCAGAATTCTTATCGCATCAGTAGTTTTGTCGTACTGATGGAACAAAAACGGGTTGTTTTGTACGCTCAAACTAATGGTTTTCAAACAGTAGCTGTTATATGTGACATGCTCGTGCGCGTATGTGCATTATCCGCTGCAGCTATTTTATTGCCCATAGGTTGCTAGGGCAATACCGACTGCCTAAAAATAGTTACAATGCATACTTAATATTATACCTGTATATATGATATTAGATTATTTGCTTTTATCTTATTTGCAAGCCTGTCATCATTACATAGTAAGAAACAAATTTTGTTGTTGTATTCCTATATAAGTGTCGCTAAAAAAATGGGGAGTCATAAAAAAATGGAAAGTCATAAAAAAATATCTAGTGAGGTACGAATATATAAAAATAATTTTCATACACTTTCTTAGTTTCGATAAAAAACTAAGAAGGTATTAGTTTTACTATGATGCGTTTTTTGCTTGTGTCTATCCATATCTGTACCTACTGGACATTTATTGTTCAACGATACGCCAAAAGATCAAAAAATATATCTTGTTGATGTATTCAGCATTATATTTTAATAATTTCTCTTTAAATCTGTCACAAAAACGTGTTTTTCTCAGTCGCACACTATGTTATTAAACTAGATCTAACACTAAGTAACTGATGTTATGAATAAAATGAATTTTAAACTACATACAATAAAAAAAAAGGAAATCATTTTTTTAAAAAAAGGTGGTCAGATTTGAGTGATAATGAGATATAACCTATATTTAATATAATAAAAAACACATTATTGTAAAATCAAGATATCACTTCAGCTACACATGAAAAATAAAAAATAAATACAATATACATTGTTTTGGTAGAATGTTTCCAATTCTCAAACTAATATTTTACTTGACATACCTCAAACAAGTAACGAGGAGAATTTAATAAATGAGTGAGTAATTTTTTCACGAAGAAAAATTTTTAAAGAAGGGCAAGGTTAAAATATAATTTATTATAAACAAACATTTTTTTTTTTTTTAGAAAAATTGGAGATGATAGTTTTTATGATTTTTACCATTGTCACCCAGTGCACAAACTCTTGATACTTGTAAAAAAATTTCTTCAGAAGTTGACCAATTATTCAAAAAGAGTTAGTTTATTTTTTATAGTATTATTTTACAATGAAATTAATACACATATTTAACTATTTTAGGTATAATTTAAACAGTCGTAGAATAATAAATATTGAATATTTTTTTAATAGTTTGAAATCAATTAAACACGAGTTATTTGCTTGTAATTTTTCAAATCTTGTATTTAAAACTGAAGTTCAAAGGGGTTTTTATCAGAATTTCACTTTGAATGTAATTTTTGTAAAAAAAAAAGAAATTATTTNTCAGAATTTCACTTTGAATGTAATTTTTGTAAAAAAAAAGAAATTATTTATTCAGAGGATCCCAAATTAAATGATTCTCTTAGTATAAATACTGCAGTTGTTACTGCTACTTTGAATACTACTCAGGGGTTTACAAATTTAGAACAGTTTTCTGCTGTACTAAATGTGCCATGTATGAGTAATAAGACGTATCAAAAATATCATGATTACATTGCTAAGCAAACTGAAAAAACTGCATGGGATTCGATAGAGTTAACGGGGAAAGAAGAAACTAGGTTTGCAATTGAAAATGGATAAGTGAATGATAAAGGACTTCCCATAGGAACAGGCTTATAAAACTTAAATATTTTAGTGTGTAAATAATGTAATTTTGTAAATTGAATTTTTATAATTAAAATTAGTTTTTTTATAGTTTTATAACTTCAAAATAATCGATGTGGATCTCATATGATTTAACTTGTTTTCTGTAAATATTTAGTTTTTCTTAATCGTCGAAAATAAATAGTTTAATTATTTTTATAATCAATTAAAATTTGTGAAATCATGACATGTCTATTAGTATTTACACTGGTGCTAAACTAGCTTAATATAGTTTTTATACTACATAAAATAAACGTGTGTCGTTATCAACATAATCGTATTGCATCAAAAAGTAAGGCAGGTACACAACCGGTTTTGTTATCGACTATAACACGACGAAAATACTCCCAATAATGGACACTCACACTAATAATCATTTATTTCTCACACAACGACACTGCGTAACATGTAAAAAGCGCAAAATTGCCTATATTCGACCCCTGAAAAAGGTCAGTACCTAGACGCCTTAAACTAACCATTCAATTATTTCAACAGTTTTTATTAAAGTTGTCACTATATTAACTGTTCAATTTTTCTGTGTAGAAAAATATTAGATAATATACTTATTCCTTGAACTGTACCCATAGTTAAAATATTATCACAAAAATGATAAAATTTTACTTATTTATGTCATTAAATATACGTTATCATAAACTAATCTTGCACTATTACACTTATAAATAATACATTTTTTAAAAGAAAACATTTAGTACAAAATTTTAACAAAACCTTTTTTTTACTTAAATCACATTTTATACGCATTAGTTCAATATCTTTTAAAAGTGTCAAATTTTTTAGAACATCGCCATAAAAGAAACTTTTTGATATTATCTATAGCTATATTTAAACTTTAATTTTACTCATATTAGTAATTGAACTAAAAAAAAATGTTAAAATAAAGTTTATTATCCAGAGTATTACATATAAAAATTTTAATTGAATTCATGTAATTCAATAACCTTTTATGATGTTTTAAAACATTATAAAAGGTGCCCAAAAGATTTCTATGGAGCGATCTGAGCCACTACTATTATTGTGTCCCTGGACCTTGTCCACTCTCGGCACTACACTACACTGCAAAACAAATTTTATTAAAATTTTAGATACTTCAATCAAATTTTTTCTGACTTCCTGTTTTTCAGATTTGTAACAGACCTGTGATATTAAGAATGCATATTATAAAGTTGAATTTATTTTTTGTATCAGTGTTCTTCATTTCTTTTATATAATATTTCTCATTTATAAATAATTTTACCAAATAACTGCTCAGATAAAAAAACTAACCAACTTAAATTACATTATAAATATAAAAATGTTTAATATTTATCATCACAATTTAATGTTACATTGCTATTATAAAACATTAACTGTTAATTATTTTCAGATTCTAAATAATTGATTTATTTTAATTATAATAGGACAAATATCAGAAAAAATTAAATTATGAATCTACTTCACTATAAATATTTTCTTCTTGAGTTTTGCAACTATCATCTTCTTCATTTTTTTTGTCCTTATTTGCATCAGGTACCCATAATCCAGAATCAACACACTGTTTCATATAAAAAGCTGCATCTGCTTGGTCCATATTTTTAATAGTATCTTGAAGTAACTGAATGTCTTGAGATTCAAAACATCTTTTTAATTCCTTGAATGAAAACAAAAATATTTATGTAATAATATTTAAGTAAAATATTAATTATTACTAGGCCTCGTAGACAGGTAAAAGGTCAGATTTTCAAATAAATAGACTCAATGAAAGGAAAATACTTAAGGTATTTATAAAAGAAAAGTAACTTAGGTTTTCAAAAAGTTGAGTTTTAAGAAAATTTTTTTTTTTAAAATGTCAAAATTAAACTTAATACAATTTAAACATGTAATTAGGGGTTTTCCCCATTTGCGGGAAACGAGGGAATTTTTAAATAATGTTTACAACTAAATATAATGTATCAGTAAGATGTTTTGATGTATTTTAGATAATAATCATTCCAGTAAGACCTGTGAAAAAGTAGCAACAGACACATAAAAAAAAACCCAGCACAGGGGGGTCGCGGCACAGTGGTGACGTGGCATAGTTGGATCAAGTATAGTGATATCTGATAGGAATAAAATCACTATAAAAAAAAAAAAAATCGCTTCAATGCAAATCATTAGATAGTGTTTAATTTTAAAAAAATTGGTGGATTATTTCAAAAGCTACATGATCTGATAGTTCCTTATTAATATCCTGATTGAAATAAAGTATGTCGAATGAAAAAGGGATTATTAAAAAATATTATTTCTCATAAAAAAATTATGTTGATCCATACACTTTTCAATATGTTATAGCATTATAAAGTTAAAAATGTAAAAAATAAAATCGAGAATTTTCACACAATAATAGCATTTGGTAAACATTTTCACCGTGAAGACAAAATAAAGTCCGATTTTTTTTTTTTTGCATAATAAAGTATATTACATTAGCTTTAATTTAAGATATATATAAAAGTGTCAGACTTTCCGGAACACTTTCAAAATTTAAGTTGAAAAAATTAATTTTTTGTGAAAAAGTTGTCATTTTAAATCCCCCCTTGTGTGCAGGTTAAGGGTCAGATATAAAAAAAATATATACCAAATGATAGGTAAAGACATCATGCATCTATAAAAAAAAGAATTATGTTGATCTGGTTATTTTTAAAAAAGTGATGGCTCTTTTAAGTAAAAAAAATTAAAAATTTTTCGAAAATTAGTGATTTTTAAATTTGTAATTTTTTTGGAGGTTTCTCTCATTTACGTTGAACGAGGGAAATTTTTCAATTTTTGAGGGTAATGTCTTCAATTAGATACAATTTGTGATCTTTTGACGTATCATTGAAAAAATTCGGTTCGGTGAGAGCTGAGAAAAAATGGTAACAGACACAAAAAAAAAAAAAAAACATCTTAGTAAAATTAATTAGACCGTAAGGTCCTAAATGTGAACAAAGCCAGTATTAAATATATATATATAATAAAATAATATTATAAAATCATGCATTTTTTTTTAGTCATCTTTTAATGAAATACCTACTTGAAGAAAAAATTCATAATAATTGACTATTAATTATTAAACAGGTACATAAAAAAAGATAATTTTATAGTTATTAAAATATCAATTCGTAAATACCATGTTATTTATTTTTTCTGTTGAAATATAGTATATACAATATATTGCAATGTGAAGACATAAAATGTTAAGGCTCTGGAACATTTATAGTCGAGCTTGGTAAAAGTTTCAAGAAAAAAACTGATGGAAGAGTGAATTTTTCTTAAAAATATTTAATACTTTTTAACGCTTACAAAGTACAAAAAATTTTCCCATCTCTTTCATTAAAAAAAATAATTTTGAAAATTGGAGCTTATTAGATAGTTTTTTTAGCAGGATTCCAAATGTTCTATTATATAAAAGATTTAACTAAACCAAAATAAGGACATCAGCTATTAAACTACTAACTGTCTTATGATGAAAACACATTCTTTTAAGAGTAGATGATGTAATAAATTTTATATCAAAACAATATTAGGGTATTGGTTGTCATACAATAATTTATATCCTTTAATAATTTTTAAATTTCTGTATTAATTCTAGAATTCTTTAAAGAGCATGAGTTTTTTTTTAACCTTAAAAATGTCTGCATGTAAAAAAAAAAGTTGATACAGTTACTAAAATGTTTTATTAATATTTAAGTTAACATTATAAAGTTCTGACTTACGAATAATATAGTACCGTAATGCTACAAAATGTCTATTTTAGATATAATAGAAAATTAAAAAAACTACCCACTTCTTTATTCCCCATAAGACTACTGACATCTGTCATACATTATTTAGATGATTGGCGTCACTTTTTAGCTTACAACATATCATTAATAAATAGTGATTATTTTTCTTACATCTGGCAGACTTTCAAATACTTCAACAGGATCAAGTCCACCCGGTCCAAGTCTAGCCTGTTTTTCTTCTTCTTCTATTTCTGCTTGAGCAATACGCAGTTTTTCTTCTGCTCTTTTTCGAATACGATCTTTAAACATTGAAAGCTCTTCATCAAATGAATCTTTATATTGTTTTTCTGCCATTTGTATTCTAAAAAAAAATATCTATCTGTAATTAATACATGTATTATACAACAGACAGTGACCAATAATTATAGGTATTATATTAGGTATATAAGTACAAATATTTTCAAAAAACGGATTGAACTAATTTTATTATTCATTTACAAAAGATTATTTTATATTAAAAACATAATACTGAATGAAAAATACTCCAATACAATAAGGTTTACACAATCAAAAAGTAGGAAGGTAAAATATGCACTAATATTTAAACTGAACCATAATTTTGTAAAAAAAAAAATATGTACTGAGCAAACTTTCAGAAATGAAAAAATGTATTAATATCATTCATTTTATATATTTAAATACAAATAAATAAATAAATACCTTGAAAAAAATGATGGGACACAAGCTCGAGGATCAATATTTAGTTGCCGAGACAATTCCAAAATATATTGCATACAAATGGTTTGATGTGCTACATGTTCCATCAAGTCAGATTTCTAGAATTAATTTATTTTGGTTTATTATTGATCAAAATTACTATTAAAATATATAGTAATTAAGTAACTAAAAAAAAAAGTAGATGCATAATTAATTTAGTTATAATAAAAAAACTTACACCTTCCATTTGTAAATCAATACACCAAATTACTAGATAATTAGCAGTATCTTCACACACAAGTTGAGGATTTTTTTGTAAATATTCTTGACTGTCTTTATATTTTTTAAACATTCCAAATGTTTTTAATTTACTCTTATTTTCTTCAATGAACTTTTCTAATCTTTTGGCCTTTTCTTCTTCTGTCAAATTTTCTTCTTGAGGTGGACCTTTAGGAGTATTAACTATTGTTTTAGTAAATCCTGGTTTACTAATAGTATCTACATTCCATGGCATAACCTATAATAGAAATAACATAAATAAATGATTCTTTTACTAAAATCTAACTATAGGAAAGTAAGTTCATATCTAAATCTAGATAAATTGTCTAAAATTCACAAAATTTGAATATCAAAAATAGTTAGGTGAATTATTTTCCAGTTTTAATTCAATGAATAAAGTAACTAAATAAACATTATTATATATGTTTGTTTATTCTTAGATTATATTACAAATTAGCAAATTGATAATTACTTTAACTTTGATACATAGCTGTCATTAAACACAATTACTACTGAACCAAATTTGATCAATGATACATCAAGATCAAAAAATGAACCTAGTTGTTGCTACTAGGGTCATAATTTTGAAAAATTCCCCTCAATACCCATAATAAAGATAATTGAACCCAAAAATTATATTTTCTATAAAACAATCAATGTCAATATTTTTAGTTTCCTCTTTATATTAAAATAACTTTAAAAATTGAACGAATTATTACAAAATTTTAGCTTCGATGCAAAGCTGAGAAGGTATTGGTTATACTATGATGTGTTTTTTTTTTTTGTGTCTGTATACGCTCAATCTCAGCTCTCAATAGACCGATTTCTTTCAAAAGTACGTCAAAAGATCACAAATCGTATCTAGTTGGAGACATTACCCTTAAAAATTGAAAAAAATTCCCTAGTTCCCCGAAAATGGGGGAAATATCCAAAAAAATTACAAATTAAAAATCGGTAAACTTTATCATTTTTTTAACTTTTTTTTTCTTAATACTTCCATAACTTTTTGAAAAATAAACAAATCAACATAATTTTTTTTTCTACTAAAACCTTAGATATTTCTCTTTTGTTTGATATCAATTTGTTGAAAATCTAACACTTAACCTACTCAAGGGGGGGGGGATTTAAAATAGCAACTTTTTTACAAAAACTAACTTTTTCAACTTAATTTTTGAAAATGTTCCGGATATACTGCGTCCTTTAAACATATATCAAATTAAAGCTTATTTTATGTACTATAAAATGAAAAAAAAAAATTTGTCTCGACACTTTATCTTCTGCATGTAAACGGCTGCCGTAGTTAAAAGAACGCTATTTTTGTGTTGAAATTTTCGATTTTAAATTTTCAATTTAAAAATGCTATAACTTTTCGAAACATGTATGTATCAGCACAATTTTTTTTTTCTAAATATATTATAAGTATATCTTTCATATGACATACTTTTTATTAAAATTGGACAAATTCCCCTTATATAGGGGGCGTTCAAAACTTGAAATATTGTAAAAAACATAGATCTTTTTCAACTGAACTTTTGAAAATGTTCCAGGAATACTGCGTCCTTTAAACATATATCAAATTAAAGCTTATTTTATGTACTACAAAATGAAAAAAAAAAATTTGTCCCGACACTTTTTTTTCTACATTTAAACGGCTGCCGTAGTTAAAAAAACACTATTTTTGTGTTAAAATTTTCGATTTTCGATTTTAAATTTTCAACTTAAAAATGCTATAACTTTTTGAAAAATGTATATATCAGCACAAATTTTTTTTTTCTAAATACATTATAAGTACATCTTTCATTTGACATACTTTTTATTAAAATTGGACAATTTCCCCTTATATAGGGGGCGTTCAAAACTTAAAATATTGTAAAAAACATAGATCTTTTTCAACTGAACTTTTGAAAATGTTCCAGGAATACTACGTCCTTTAAACATATATCAAATCAAAGGTTATGTTATATACTATCAAATGAAAAAAAAAAATTTGTCCCGATGACCTATCTTCTATGCGCAAATGGCTACCGTATTAAAAAATATGCTATTTTAACAAATTTTTTTTTTTTAAATTAAACACTATCTACAGATTTGCATCGAAGCGTTTTTTATGATAGTGATTTTAATCACTATCAGATATCCTTTATACTGGACCCAACTATGCCACGACCCCACTGTGCCGCCACCAATTTTTTTATTAATAATATTTCAGACATTTTCCTTGTCCATGAAATATTATTTTTAAAAATTTAATTATTAATCCAGATATTGTGAGGCTTAAAAATCATATAAAATTATTTTCAGTTCATATTTTCAGAGATTACAATTGTTATCAAAATTTAAGTATTTATCTGTTAATCACCAATATTATAATATGGAAAATTTGAAAATCATATGAATGTAGATATTATGAGTTAAAATTTTTATTCAATTGTTATAAATATTTATTAATAAAACATACTTTTTCTTTATTTTTAAATTCTTCTTCTTTTTTTTTTAACTCTTGTTCTTCAACTGTAAGTGCACTTAAAGCTTCTTCAAGTTCTTTCTTATTTTTACCTTGATTTTCGGCTTCGCTTAACTGTTGTTTAGTCGTTTGAAGTTTTTCTTGAAAACTTTTAATAAATATATTTTAACAATGTAATGAAACAAAATCCGTCTGAATAAAGATAACTTACATTTTTTTCTTGGTTTCCAATTCTTGTTGTTCCCGCTTAATCTCTTCCATCCGATCTACACGAGCTTGATGTCGCCAGCGAAACAGAGATGGAGTATCAATATTTGGATGTGTTTCATCTTCATCATCCGACACCTAGATTATAAAAATTAACACGATAAATTTTTATTTTAAATATTTAAAAATACAATTAAAATAATGGATGAATACCTCAATGTTTTTCCATTTACTGTAGTCAACCATTGTGAATGTATATCATAAATTTATATTTATATCTTTATAAAAATTACCATAGAATACTAACACCGGGGATATGCGAAATAATTTAATTTAGTACGATTACCATTTAATGTCATTTTCATCTTATCGTATTTGATTGCAAGAACTTGGAAAAATTATGATGCGCATGCGTGTTTAATAAAATGATTCTTATCACTCTTTTAAAATAAATAAGATATATTATTATTCCTGCAGATAATCATGCAGACAGAATCAAAGGATATACCCAAGGTGAATATATTCACTATCTAAAATCTTGTAAATCCACTTTGGATACACTCCAAAAAAAAGTTTTTCTAAAAAGATTCTCGACAAAAAACCATTTCTATTTTTTAAATGAAAAATGAAACCTTTTATAATGATAAATGGACCGTATCACTGTTTAAAACCGTATCACATACATCACTGTTTAAAATATAATATATAATATTCATTACATTATATTATAATGTATATATTTATATGAGCTTTAAATTTGATTTAAATATGTTCTTAATATTTAAAATTATAAGAATGTCTTAAAAATAGAAAAACCAAAAAAATAATTTTCTTTAATTAAAAATAAAATGTAATAATAAACATTGTATATTATTTACTTTGCGATTTTTCTGGCTAAATAAAGTGAGATTATGATGATTTAGGGGGCCTTAGTAGTGATTTGTCGACCTTCTCAGTTTACGCCTGCTTACAAGAAATTCTACGGAGCCCAGTGTCGGATTAAGGATTTTAAGGCCTAAGACTAAGTGACCAGTTTGGACCGAATTTGATATTAAAAACAAGCTTTATAAATACATAAATGATTCATAATATTTATTTTGAGTGGCGTAGCCAAGGGGGTGGGGGCTAAAAAGGCTATAGTTCACCCTATTGACCGTATTTTTCTTATTCTTTTGAAATATTTAAATTTAAATATGGAAATTGTGTAGCAATTTTTATATATTGAAATAGTAAATACGTTAATGGTAAATTAGCGTTAATATGCTATCAATATTTACTATCACATATCAATAAAAATTTCAATTTACACATTGTAACATGTGTAGATTATAATGTGAATATTATAATTAATGTGAAAATTATACAAAGTGTAGAAGACTATCGTCTTCTACACTTTATAAAATTTAGCCCCCCCCCATTCGAAAATCCTGGTTACGGTTCTGTATATTTTACGCAGCCGACACAGCGCTTTACAATAAAAACATTTGAGTTCAAATAAAAATAGTTTTTGAAAACTTTTTAATATATGATTAGACTATAAACATTTGGTACCTATATGTTTACTTTTAAAAATTTAGAAATAAATTCAAAACAAATACTGTTTTCTCGCTTTAGCGGCAGCAAAATCGTCAATCAACTCATCAATGTCAATGTATCTCACTAAGTTACTCTCAATATCTAATAAAGCTAAGAAGCCAAAAGCTCTTGAAGCATTGTTGACCTGTGATTGTTTTTTACTCGTTTAAGGACTGAAAACGAGCGTTTTCTACTACAATTCGTGATCATTAAACACAAATAGATTCGTAAGGCAACTTACAAATTTGGAAATGATTCTGCAACTCCCGCCTACACAATTACTCTGTACATCCACAAGCAAGTGCTTTCTTTCTTTGATTTCTCAATATTATAAACTGTTTTAAAATGAATTAATTGCAGATAATCTTCAGTTTTTTTGCAGAGAAATTGCTGAAAATGCTAAACGTCTGATATGCTTTATCGTACTAGCAAATATGCTTGACCAAGACAGATTCCAGCTTATTCAAAATCATATCAAAAGTATTAATGCAGAATGCTTCACTTGCTGCATCTTGATAGCCTTCAAATCCCCTTTTAAGTATAGATCCATCTTGACTTTCATCGCTTTCGCTTCTTCTTCATATTGGTCAAATTTACCTTTAAGTAATAAGAAAGTAAAGAATAATTATAAATAAAATAATAATTTAATATATATTACATTTAAGTTCACGGATTTTTTTAACAATAAAACTTTTTTAGTTTTGGACAGGTATTTTTTAAAATAATTTGTAAAGTTTTTAAATTTTTTCGGGAACAGGGTTAGAGCGTATTTACATTAAACGACCATATGCTCTGAGATAAGGCCAGTTTGTCGGAAGAATTTTTAAGTTTGCAAGAATGAAGGTGTAGATAGTGTATAGCTGAAAAAAAAAAAAAAATTGAAGCTAAGCCTATAGCTTTTCTAGCCTAATGGATAATTCGGCTCTGACCGGATTTTTCTAAAAAAGAACTCGTTCTCCTTTCTGTTAAAAAAATATTTGAAAACCTTCTAGGATTATTATAATTAATATTATAACCATGGTTAAAAATTTATGAATAGGAAATATTTTAATAATGCTGTGCATTATTTGGAAGCGAGCTGCAACAGGATGAGGGGACTAAGTTCCTTTAGACACTCGATTGTATCTATGATCCTGTGTTTTTAAGATTTTATGTTTTTAGTGTAATAATTTATTTAATATTATTTAAATTATTAATATCAGAGTAGTATATTAAAAATTATAAAATGTTGATTCATAGTATAAACATAATACTAATATATAATGCATATATGATGTCAATGCAAAAAATATTGTTGATAGTTAATGTAAACCAACTAAAAGTACATTATTATTTATAAATTTTAAGGTTTTGTAAATTTTGTTGATATTTTTCATAAAAATGGATTTGTTCACATCCCAAGTTCCTTAATTTTTAAAGGAAGCAGTTCCTGGATTCGTTCCGATTATTTGAACAAGTTTTAGTAATCCTTTTTTTTTTTGGAACGAATTCTTTCCCAACAAAAGTACTATTTTCAAGTAGCTTCCTGTAATACTTCCAAAAAACCATTTCATAACATAATAACAATTATTCTGTTTCAGTATTTCAATATATTCAATAAGCAAATTTACTTTTTAATTCATATTTTAACTGAATTATAATTCTTTGATGTTTAAATAAATTATTTGCCAATTTTTCAATTTTGAATATCTTTTACCCTTTATTTTTAGTAGTTCAATGAAGGTATGCTCTATATCACCCTCCAATCGGGATTTACTACTGGTAAATAAGTTGATATATTTTATCAACTCAATTCATGATTGATTAATATTAATAAGAACTTAACACGAAATACTTATATATTTTAAATGTTTAAATATATATGAAATACATTTTATACAAAGATGGGCAAGTTAATGAAAATAATTAACTCAAGTTAAATTAAGTTAAGTATGATCAATGTCGATCAATTAACAGTTAAAAGTTAACAAATTATAAATTTAACTATCTATGTTAAAATTTTTTTTCAACTTAACTCGTTTAAAAAAAGTTTATTTTATTTAAAATTCATTTTTTGTCAAAAATCACTAAAATCATTTTTTATTGTTCGATGATGTAAGGGAAAGCGAAGAGTCCTTTTTCAACTTTTAAAGTTGAATCTTTTTCTTCTTTTTCTTCGCCTTAATCCAAACTACATGGGGTCGGCCTTCTTATCCTATTGACATGATTTCCCACAACACCTACGTTTACATCAGTCGTCCTCATATCGCATTTAAAAACATCCCTACATCTCTTTTTTGGTCTTCCTCTATCTCTTCTTCCTTCAACATTCATTTTTATAACTGTTCTTACAGCTTCCGATTCCTCTCTCCTCATATCATGACCAAATCATCTAAGTCTATTTTCTCTCATCTTATCTACGATTGACAATACACATATACTCCATATTATGTGATCGTTCCTCATCCTATCTTTTCTAGTCTCTCCACCCATCCATCTAGACATTCTCATCTATGCTATACTCATTCTCTGCTCTACTTTCTTGTCAACCTCTCATCACTCTGAACCATACATCATTGCTGGTCTCACTATAGTCTTATAGAACTTATTTTTTAGCCTTATTAGAATTCTCTTATCGCATAACACATCAGACACTTCTCTCCACTTCAACCACCCTCACATAATCCTATGTCAATACCACCGCTTTTTGCCCAACTGATCCAAAATACTTAAAAATTTTCACCTCTCGTATCACACCCTTGATTATTGTTACTGAAATCCTTATTTCACATACCTCGCGTCCTCCTTGATCAAACTCGTACTCTATATATTTTGTCTTATTCCTACTTATTCTTAAACCCTTTTCTTCAAGAACTGATCTCCATACCTCTAGCTTAGATTAATTTTTACCCTATGCTATCATATTAACACTATAGTGAACAACATGCATCATGATACCTCTCCTTGTATTTCTCTAGTAATTTCATCCATCACTATAGAAAATAAGTAAGGGACTTAAAGCAGAACCTTGGTGTACTCCTACTCTTACCCTAAAACTTTCTGTTACTCCGCTCACACTTTTTTCCCTGATACAAGTGCCATTATACATAACTTCTATTATATTAATGTACCTTTTCGGAACTCCTTTTCTTATTAATGCCCACTTCAAAACCTTTCTCGGTCCTCTATTATACGCTTTCTCCAAATCTTTAAATACCTTACACAGATTTTTCTTTTTTTTCTCTAAACTATTCTATTACTTGCCTTACAAAAAATAATGGCTCCATTGTTTAATAACCAAGCATAAATCCAAACTGATTTTTAGATACGGATGTCTCATATCTTATTCTCTTATCTATTACCTTTTCCCAAAATTTTCATACTATAACTCAGAATCTTTATGCCTCTATAATTTCCACACTCCTGTATGTCTCCTTTACTTTTAAATATCAGTACCACAATACTATTTGTAGCGAGGTGTAATATATATAGAAGTAATAAACACTTTTATGATTTAATAACAACTATACTATATTACAACGAACTAACAAATAACAAATAACAGCGAGAGACGAAGCGCTTTTAAGACAGAGTGCGTAAGTGATTGACTGATCGATTGATTGACTGGAGCGACGATCTTGCCCTTAAATAGTCAGAAGAATCTTCTAGAGGCGGCGGCGGAACTCTCTAGAACATTCGACCGCCACACGCTTATGTAGAGCGACGAATCTCCTAGAGGCGGCGGCGGCCGAACATTCTAGAACATTCGACCGCCACATATTCCTCCATTAATTTGGGATTTCCCTTCTAATAAGATTTTATTTCAA